AGGCCGCACCGGGGTACGGGTGTGGCTGATTTCTTCGATTCTGCAGGTCTCGCCCAGGGTTTTCCACAATCTGGGCGGCCGGCCAAGCGAAGAATGGCTCGCTGCAAATCATGTCGCTTATCGAAGGGTGGCTTTTGAGATTTGGCAATCTGCTCGCACGGGCGTCCAGACTTGGCTGTCGGCGATGCTATCGCGGATCCTGCGCATCTTCACATTGCGATTGGCAATGATGGCTGGCAGAGGTCCAACGGTGACAGCACATGCGGGGGAGGATCGTGTCCAATATCGAATGCCACGTCGACTGGACATTCCACTCTAACTTGCGAGTCAGGTGTCAAATGACACGAACGCATGGAGAAGAACTCTAAAAATTTGAAAAATTTCCCAGACTTTCCAACGGCCGGCAGTGGCTTGCTTGGGGACTCGGGAGCGGGAGCGGTCAAGACACGACTCGCATCTGAATAGCTGCGATCCACATAAACCGGGGGCTAGATGGGAGGATGAAGAGAGTTTAGGACAACGATCAGCATCGCGCGCCAGGCGCCGAGAGCACAGACTGCCAGCGCTGGTGTTTTGCCTGCCACGATATTTCTATTTTGCCCGAGAAGGGGCAGAGTCGCGCGACGCGAGGCTGGCGATGGCCCATGACGGGCGGTCAATCCGGCTCACCGGCGCCAGAGGCATGTTCAAAGCGAAAGACGGGGACGCTGGCCTCGTCTCGCAAGGCGCGTGTCGTCATTCTGCCTCGAAATTCGATGGAGACATAACGCGCAGGCCTAATCTGGACGACGAGTCCATGCGGGAGGATTGTAAGGAGCAGGCGAAATGTTCCGAGACGGTTTGACAGGCGGTGCCAATGCTGGACAGCGTGCCGTTGGCCGAACGGATGGGCAAGTGAAGGAGCTTGGCCTGGCGAATCGAGATGTTGATGATTGGAACGGCAGGGGGGCGATGAGTGAACGGGTCCATGGCCTGGGGGCTAGAACCGACGCTGGGGAACGGTTTGGGTGCCCAAAAACAAGTTTTTGGAGGCTTTGTAAGTGCCGCGAGCGCCGAACGAACGAACGAACGCCTCTCTCCTCCCGAAGACGGTGTGGCCCGGCTGGGTGTCACGGATTTGCGGCTCGTCCGTCTTTCTCGTCCTCGAATCGAACCATTGGAATTTGTTTCTTGGGAGTGGCGCTTGCGTCGTCTTGGGATGGCTTCTTTGTGGAGTTGAGCCACGCGGCGGTTGGTCCTTGGGGGCTGTGTGGCGGCGTGCGTGCGTGGAGCTTGGGAAGGGAAGGGGAGGATTTGTTCGGGCCAGGCGGTGGTGTGTGTTGTCCGGTGTTGGCTTTGCCTCCGGAGGGCTGGGCTTGGTTGGTTGGCCGATGCCGCGTGGGTGAGATGAGGTTGGATCTTGGGGTGGTATTTTCTGACGACCTGCTGTGAGGCTTGGAACATGGGTCACGAGTCCGAGTGTTGGGGGAGACGAGAGCTGCAGCAATCGGCAGCGTCAAGGGCGGAAGAGAAGGACTGGGAGAACACGCCATCGAGATTCATCGTCACTCTCGACTGCCCGAAGCACTCGTGAGAAGGTTGCGGTGAGTCGGGATATTTCCTTCTCGGCAGAGGACGAGGCAAGACAAGCTTAATGGAGTCTGGATGGAGTTCGCGGTGGGGAAGGCGGGACAGGAACGGGAGTCGCGGCGCTGCATTATGACGATGTCGAAGCCGCTTTCTGACCGTTTTTGATTGCGGTTTGTCTGTAGTGTCGTCCGCTTCATCCACATTTGCTTAGAGGTCGATTTCCTCGGAGCTTCGGCTCGAGGCGAATTTCTGTACGACTGGGCAGTGAGTCCGGGACTTTTTTGGAGCAGAGTATCCGTACACAATCGTCACTTCAGGATTTAGACACGCGGGAAATAAAAAAGAACCGGGTCTGCTGTCGCGTGAGGTAAGAACTGGAGTAAATCGCATCGGGTTCTGCGGAGCAAGCAAGCAAGTGGCATTTCTAAGATGGAGAGGATTTGGGATGAGTGAGACAACAGGCGGCGGCGGCGGCCCCACGACCACATGTCTCTTGTGTGTGGATTTTGTGGTTTCGCCCGGCCCGCGACGTCTTAGGACGGATTGGATGGGTAATGGAGAGAGAAAGGTAAGGTAAGGCAAGCCAAGGTGGGATAGCACCGACGGACGAAACGAACCGACTTGGCCTTTTGCGAATGTCGGGATGCCGATTGTGAGTGGTTTAGATGTCGCATTGTTCCTTTTCTGAGCGAGAAGCCGGTTTGGGATGGGGGTTGGTCTTCGGTGAGCTTTTGGTGTTGGTGTTGGTGCTGGCACGGCCCAATGTGAGTGGTGGTGACGGGTAAATTGGCGCTGGTTGTGTGTGTGTTCGCTCTGTCGCTCGCTCGCCCGTGTGTAGTGTGTAGGGATATACGATGGCTGTACAGAGTTAAGTGCGTGTCTGTCTGACTGACTGACTGGCGGGATGGGATGGGATGGGCTGGGGTGCATGTCATGTAGCGCAGGATTTTGGGGACGTGGTTGACTGAGATGGTGCGAAGGTGAGTTTGTGTCTCGTGATTTGGCAGCGTCCTGATAAGAGATGCGATGCGGAGGAATCGTATCGAGTCTAGCCACCGCGGGGAGATGGCCATCTAGCACTTTCATCCCATGTGCCATCTTACGCCGGTGTTCTCTCATAAGGCTACGTCTAGTCCGTCCGATGAATCTGTTGTCAGTTGTGTGTAGCTCTCGTCTGTAGCCACGACATCACCTCCGGCAACAGTCACGATAATACGGGAAATAGACTCATCTCGGTCATCAACCTGACTCTTACACGATTCACGAAAAACTCTCTCAGAGTGTTTTCTCTCTCTACTCATCAAATCTCCGCCCTCCCAACGACCCGGCCAACGGGGAAAAGGGAAAAACCAATCCAGCAAGTTCAGTCCAGCGTCTCCTCTCACCGTCGCATACCTTATGGATCCCGGCCGTCCGCGGTAACCCCTGAAATAATACGGATATCTTTTTTCTGAGTCTCGTCCTGCGCAAAACGACATCATCCTTACGATACGGTGCCTTACGGGGGGACCTAGGTAGGGAGCCACCTTCCCAGAAACCCAGTTTTTCGGGCGTCCGTCCGTGTGAAGGAACGACGAGCCCCTGGTTCTACGGATACCGCAGTTTTCTTCTTTTGCGACGAAGAGGCTTTTTTTTCGTCGGTATTCTTTGCTTTTTTCGTGTTGCTGGTTGGATGAAAGGCACGGCACGCATCCCCGGCTTGAATCCCGATTCCGAGGAAATGGAGTCTGCAACGAGGCGGGAATAGGAAGCTATCCGAAGAAGTCATCCGTCTCGGACGAAGAGAGAAGTCATTATTCTTCTCTCCGGCATCGTCATCTCCTGGCCGCCGTCGTCGCGTGGTCCACCACCACACCCCGTCTCCATCTGCTCTCTCCCCACGACAACGATCCAGGGGACCGCCTTGCTTCCGCGCACCTGTCAACGTCTCGTAATTTGTTTTAGCCTTTTTTACGAATTACGTCTCTCGGATCTTTCTGGTGTGTTGTTATTTTTCTTACTCTTTCATCTTTTTTCTACCCTGGATATATCGAAATTGACAACGTCTCGTCATCCGCAGATAATCCGAACACAACTCACGCGCGGCTTACACACTCGTCGCAAGGTCCAGGGCACTTCTAGAAAAAAGAAGTGTCGAGGTTTTTCTCGTATTTGAAGACGGGAGCATCCACCCGTCCAAATTATACGTACGGGACCTGAGAAAACTAGCTTCAGAGCTTGAGCCTGGGAGAATCTGGACCTCTACCTACTTGCTGCTGCCTTTGTCCCGTATCAACACTTTCTTTGTTGTTTGCCGGCGGATGCATCTTTATCGGTGCGTACCTAATCCCTCTCTCTTTCCCTTTTCCGTATCATTCAGTCCCCTTGTCAGTCCTTTGATTGTCTACCTACCTACGGTGTCGATGGTTTTCTTCTTGAATGCCACACCACCACCCACCCCGGCAAGCTTGTTCATCTGTCCGTCCCCCCAATCTTACTCTTATCTCATCCATCTCTGGGGTGTGTTGTGTGTCTGCGAGTAAGACGGCAAGACGTGTCTGTCGAACACACCTTACACACTCGACCTGGAGTTGGGAGAGTGTCACCCACGATTCGATCTGCATTCAGATACACACTGGACCGGCCTGGCCCAGACCTTCGAGGGGGGGCCCTGTCCGTCTGCCCACCAGCGCTATCGACATCCCGTACTCTGTATGGAAACTGGATCGAATCTGGGTGCCCACATCACCACCACCACCGCTGCCACTTCCAACACACAAGCATCCATAATATCTGCACACCCCCCGGAAGAGCTATTGGATCTTTTTTTCCTTTCTTGATTCTATTTTTCTTTCCTTCCCTCGGAAAAGTATCACGACTCACATTCATTTATATCTTCAGACGCCTGTAAAGGTATCTCGACTCAAAGGTCATTCCTTTTCGTCTCTTGTTCGGCGTCTCGAGGAAAGAGAAGTCGAAACGAAACACGCACACGCACACGCACGCGAGCCCGCCGCAGCTTACACCGCGCGGATGCTACCACGAGGCCCTCGTCGGCAATCCTCCACGTTTCGCGCCATACGTCACTGCTCCCGACCCTGCAGCTGAAGGAAGAAACGGAAAGAGAGGACGTAAAAAAAGGGTTCACCGACACGAGGGCAAGCAAATGCGCATCACCAAGCAGAAGAATAGCTACGGGACAAGAAAAGAAGGACAAACGACAAACCGAGCTTGAGCAATTGCAACACCAAACCGCACCTGCACCGCTGCGCTTGGGTCGCATCTCGGAAACGCCGTCCCAAGATCACCATCGACCATCACCAGCGGCCCCCGTCCGAACTCGAGTCGCAAGCCAGGAACACTGACAGCAAACTCCAAACGGGAAAAAAAAATCCCCCTTGCTGCAACTTAGGCACCGACCGTCGAGGGGCTCTTGCGACAAACCAAACCAGATGGCGGGCTACAGATCGGTCCGCAGGTCCTCGACCTCGTCGGCGGGATCGGACTACTACGACGACAACGATGCACACACGGCCGCAGGATCAGGAGTGGCAGCTGTCAGCGCGGCAGCAGGCTCGAGAAACAACAACCGCACGACCGAGTCCTCGTCGCAGCCGTCTATATCCGCCACCGCGACCCCGAGTCCGTTGAACTTTTTGTCTCTGGCCGAGCCGACTTTTACGCCTCTGTCTATGGACAGCGACCTGTTTCCCGACGATCACGAAAAGAGCGAGAGGAGGAATTGGAAGAGCGACGACAGCCCGAGTCCCGATAAGCAGGCCGAACGAGAGAGAGCGACTGCGACTGCGAGTACTACATCACCATCATCACCGCCCGCTGCTGGAAAGGGGGCGTCTGCCGGGGTGTCTTCGTCGTCGCCGCCCAACACGAGGTCTGATTCAGGTTTAATTTTGAACGACGGCGCGACGGAAGCCATGCGAGTACCACATGTGTCTGCATCAGCTGCACCAGCATCATCATCGTCACCGTCAGGGGCGGTGGTGTCGTCGGCGGTGCAGGAGAAGGAACAAAATGTCTCGGGTGCAGGCCATGTGGATGTAACGACACAAAAAAATACGGATTATCCTCAGCCCAGCCAAGATAACAGGAATGCAACCGCAGACCGGGAGGGAGAAGTAGCACCAGGAAAGGGAGAAGAAGACGAGGAAGAAGACCAAGAAGACGAGGACGCAATCTCGCGTATGAACCCGCGGCAGCGCTATGCCGGCTCGACACCGCTGTCTCTCGATCCGCTGCAGGTGGCCAGGGGCAGCAGTGCCGCTACAGACACTACAGCCGCTACAACCAACACCACCAGCGCCAGCGCGTCCCCCAAATCCCCGGCCCAGTCCCAATCAGGCCCATCTCGATACCACCGCGCTTCCACTTCTGCGTCCGCTTCTCCTCCTCTTCAGGTTCAGCCCATCGCACCCCTGGCTCTGCGGACGAAAAATATCGCCCAAAATAATAACCAAGTCTTCGCCGCCCAGAATACGAGTTCCGCCATTACGAGCCCCCTCTCGGCTGCATCCCACACCTCGCCGTCCACCGTACTGTCTGCCCCGGCTGCATTCACCCGCCAACAATCCACCTCGTCCCTGCGATCGAACAGCAGCCTCATCTCCCAGATCCAGGACACTTTGCAGCAACAGCAGCAGCAGCAACAATCGAGAAGTCGGTACCGTCATCGCCACTCTTCGTCGGGCTCCAGCATCGTCCAGCCCGTCCCGAAACCAATCGTCCGCACGGCGTCCAACTCCAATACAGACATCCTCAAACACCCCGTCCCCGATCTCAACTGTCGCTCAGGCGCCTACGTCGGCAACGTCGCCGCCCTCGAAAAGACGGCCGAGCGCCTGTCCATGACCAGCTCCATCGAGGACGCCATCCGCGACCTGCATGGGGAACTGAAACGCTCCGACTCCCGCCGCTCCTCCATCCTCGCCGCGAGCGTCGCCGCCGCATCCCAATCCCAGTCCCAGTCCCCGATCGACGAGTCCTCGGCCCAGCCCGGCCCCCTCCGCGTCATCCCTCCCGTCGCCGCCTCCATCGTCGAACTCAACAACGCCGCCCGCCTCGGCGGCTACTCCCCCAGCGGCTACGTCATGTCGCCCAACCACTCCCTGACCGGCCGCCTGCGTTCCGGGTCCAAGAACTCGGCGAGCGGGAGGCCCGAGATCGATGTCGATGCCATCCTGTCGCGTCACGGCTCCGGCAAGGGATCTACGAGGAGCGCGAGGTCTGGCAAGCCTTCGCTGGCTGAGATTGCCGAGTCAGAGCCTGTTGCTTTGACGCAGCGGGCGCTCGACGACGCTGATCGGGCACCGCTTGCCGACGACGATGCTACGATCCGGCGACCCAATACCCATTACGAAGAGAACGGCGGCAGTACCTCATACAACGTTGGTGGCCATCTGGGCCAGGATGAATCTGGGCTTGGATTGGATTTTGGCGGTGGTGACAGGCGAGATTCCGAGGACAGGCCAGCAACGCCAAGATCAACAGCCACCTTCGACCACAAGAACGCTTTCGACGACTTCGATGGTGTGCACTGCCAACCAGACCAGTACTCTGAACGCGGTGGCTATGGCTACGACTCTCGTGAGCAAAGCGACGGCGAATTCCACGATATGCCGCCGCCCGTGCCCCATACCATGCCGATGCCCGAAATCCCAGAGCCACCATTCGAGCCGGAGCCTCGACCCATGCCTCGCGCGCCGAGGGCCACCCAAGTCAGGCCGCAGTCGTACTTTGACGAGCTTACAGGCCAGGAGATGCTCTACTACCCTGCCCGCGTGCCGGCAATGCTCAACCTGCCGCCCAAGCTGTCTAGGAAGCCCAAGGCTGATGTGCGGAATGCGAGACACTCCAAGGTCCTGCAGGCCATGGGCCACCCTGGTTTCGGCAAGGCCGAGTACCTCCCGCAAGACCCCGAAGCAGCGCCCGTGAGAGAGTCCAAGATGTGGCTACCCGATCCGCTTGCTGGTCACGGTATGTCGACGTTTGGCGATGATATCGACGGGCAGCGATCTGGAGGCACATCCATCAGAGAGCCCACCGCGGCTGTCGAGTCTGAGACGCCTGCCGGGCAAAAGGATGGCCTCCTCGCACGCGACGAGGATGAGATGCCGCAAGCGCCTCCGCCTACCCAGCAGCGCCGCAAATCCAAGATGCCCAAGGCTGCCGATCTCCCTCCCCAGCTGCGTGCGAGCGCCTTTTTTGATCTGCCGTCCACGACGCCTCAGATTGAAATGAAGGACGGTTCGGCCATGGCGACGCTGGAGAGCATCCTGGATGCATCCGCAAACGCCCCCGTCAGCGCGTTCACCGACCACGCCTTCGCTGGCAAGCTCGGCTCCGAGGTGTACGGTGCGGACAGCAAGAAGAAGCGCAAGTCTATGGCCCCAGGAGCCCTCCTGCCCGAAGAGCACATTGCCGCGGCGCAGAAGAAGAAGGGCATTTTGCCTTTCGGTAAGAAGTCGGCCGACACTTCGAGAGCCAACTCGATGGCCCAGAACGATGAGAACAAAGCCCTGTCCGACAACGTCGACGGTGAGCCGAGGAAATCCGGGGAGAAATCCGACGATGAAGAGGAGGAGGAAGAAGAGGATGAGTTCGCTCATGTTCTCGACGGGCCACCCACTACGCTGCTTGCGGAACTTCAACTGCGCAAGTACCAGCAGAAGATGCGCACGCAGATGCCCAACAGTACCATTCCTGGTGGCATGCACTCGACGCTTCTCGAACTGGACGCCGTCGCTGAGGCGCAGAAGAGGCACCGCGAGAAGAAGAAGATTGCCCTCGCCTGGGAGGACGGCGCCAACGACGAGAAAGAGAGCTCCGATGATGAAGAGGTGCCTCTGGGTGTCTTGTATGCCAACCAGGGCGTCGTGGCCGACCGCAACCGTCCTATTGGTTTGATGGAGCAACGCGAGATGGAGGAGAACGAGCCCCTCAGCTCGCGTCGTGCTCGTCTGACGGGACAACCCACGCCTGCAAGGACGTTGAGGCCACAGAAGAGTGCGCTTACACTGAATGCCGGGTTGAGCCAGCTTCATCTCAACCGCATGCCCTCTGCAGAGCACGTTATGCCTCGAGAAGAATCCGACGAGGAAGAAACAGGCGAGACGCTGGGTGAGCGCATGCGCCGACTCAGAGCGAAGGAAGAAGCCGACCACAACAACCTCCCCAAGGCTCGCCCTGTCAGCCAAGCATTCTCCGTTGAGATGCTCAACCAGTTTGGAGGTGGCGACGAGAACAAGGACGAAGATAAGGGCAAGGAGAAGGAGGTTCCGCCTGAGGAGGAAACGCTCGGTCAGCGCAGGAAGAGACTGCAAGCTGAGCGCGAAGCCCGCGAGCGCGAGATGATGTTCGGCGGCGGTATCCAGCCGGCTGAGGTTCCGCCTCTGCGCAAGCAACACAGTCTCGCCGACGTTCTTGCCAGCCACCCGATCATCGAGAACCCCGCCGCGAAGGACCACGTCAGGCTCCAAGAAGAGGAACGCAAGGTCAAGGCCCAAGAGGCCAAGATGGCCGCCGTCCGCGCGCAGATGCCGACGAGTCTCGAAGGACCTAACACGGTACGCACTGGCGGATACAAGAACGGGCAATTCAACGACGGCACGGGTGGCACCGGCGGTAACGGCACCGGAGGACTCATCGACAACGTGCGGTCCTCGAATACCGGCCTCGGTGTCAGCATGGCGCCCGGCTGGAACCGATCTAGCGTGGCTTTCAGCAGCTACGGCGCGCCGATGCAGATGCCGCAACAGCAGCAGCAGCCCGCGTACGGAGGGCTTATCGGGCAGGCTGGCGTCAATCAGATGGCCAACAAGCCGACGATGGCATCTGGTTACGGTGGCTACGCTGCTGGCGGCATGGGCGGAATGAACGGCATGAACAATATGAACATGAACCCATACGGTGGTGGCATGCCGATGCAGATGCAGCCGATGGGGATGAACATGGGCATGCAGCAACAGATGACGCCCATGCAGATGCAACAGATGCAGATGCAGATGCAGCCGGGGCAGATGCAGTCCATCGAGCGCTGGCGGCAGAGCATCCATCACTAGCCGTGAAGCCATGGACCGCGACCGACTACGGTCGCGACTACCTTACCTATACAAATAATACGGCGATCTCAGATGGTCTGTACATAGAGATACACACTGGCATTGCGAGGGGCGTTGGAAACATGTTTCTTTTGTTTTATCCGGGGGATACAGAGTACAGCAAAGCAAGCATACAAGCATTGAAGGTGGATGGATGGGAAGGAGGGACTTGGGTACCAATTGCATAGTAATTGCGAGAGCGATGGTTTAGTTGTTCCGTCATGACGGCAAGTCGTTCAGACGTTGTATAGATATACACGGAGAAAGGAGAGAATTTCTTGATAAAACTGTTGTCATCCTTACTGGCATGTGACTCTGAAGCCGTATTGGGATCATCGTGATGTGATGTCCCGACGGTTATTGACCCGAGATAGGCCCCGTGGATACGGATACGGACCTGCGGGTTAATAATAGCAACCAACATTAGCGAAAGAACATCCCGCTGGTCGGTCGTCTTACACTGGTAACACTGCGCGTGGTCGGGAACGCCTAGAACTTCGATGCTTCCCACCTCAGCCCTACGCCCTCTTTTTTATTCCCCAAGGGGCTTGGGAACGGGAATTATGATGCGCCCGTGCATGAAACGGACCATGGATAATTCTGGTGCTGGACAAGTGTCCCGAACTTTTTGGAGGCAACCCGGGTGCTCGAGGCATGTGCTTGATTGCTCTGTGTGTATAGACTGCCATTTCGCACGGTGACTATCACCTTGATAACGTGGAGACGTACCGTTCGAGACTGATAACAGCACGGTGCCGACACCCCTGAGCTAGACTGGGGACCTTTTATCTTTTTTTTATCGGACCGCGTATCGCAGGCCCATTTACGTAGCTCGTTGCGCGTCCGGACCGAACATCTGGTCGCACTCCCCATATACTCGATCGCTTCCAATCCGCCCGTTTCTCGATACGACAGACGTAAACGAAAGGCTACCTCCTACGACACCATACCACCGAATCCTAGTCTTGGGAAGACGGAAGCCATTGGAGGGGTGAAAGGGAATGGAGGCATCACCGCTCACGAGACAACCTCCGCCAGAGGTGTTCAAGCCCAAGATCGTACAGCTGTACGAGAGTCTGTTCAAGGTTGGTAGAGCTCCCCCATGCACACACACTTGCTTTCTCGGTCGAGACAATCGGCGCAATCAGGCTTGGAAGCGTGCTAACCCAATGATCTCTGTAGGTGCGTGATGCGTGTTTCCTCTCGATAGTCGTTGCCGGAGCGAGTTCCTGCGCCGAACGAGCTCCGGCTCCGCGATTCCCGGTCTTCCCGACGATTTGACCGATTGCGAATTGTCCAATCCCAAATTCCTCCCGCTGTTTACTTGCTCCTCCGCACGAGCTCGACCTCCTACACGCCGACCGAATTACTGACACACGCACGCAAGGACGTCGACGAAGATGAGCGCTCCGAGGGCTTCTGGCGCGAGTTCTTCCTCCTCCGGCCCGACCGCGCGGCGCTGAGGAGGATCCTGGACGGGCTGGGGCCGGCGGATATGCTCGCGCTCGAGGAGCACACGAGGGAGCTCTTCTCGAGGGCCGTCGTCGCGGTCAAGAGCGGGCAGGGCGTCGCGGATCTACATGCGCTGGATGTAAGTCGCCGTCAACACCCCCCTTTTCTAGGGCATGCGCGGAGAGGAGGACAATGGCGCAGGGCCTGGGAGATAGATGGCGGTGGTCGCTGACGATGGGACAGACACTTAGCATATTCCTCTGCTCGGCCCTCTCGAAAAAGTACGCCCATCCTAGTTCCGACGTCATCAACGTTCTCGCCGGGATCGACCACGTCGATACGATCTTCACGGACTTCGTCGGCGCTTTGGACCAGATTATACGCGGGAGCAAGAGCTTGGAATTACGGCAGAAGGCTATCGAAGTCGTGCTGGCTGTCACGGCCGGCGCGTATCAGACGAGTCTGTTGACGTATTTCATCCAGCGCGACCTCTTCCCTGCCGTGATGAAGGTATGCCGTGGTCCCCCTTGGTTTTTCAGGTTCCGTGACGCTGACAGGAGCAGTTCATCCAAGACGCCGACTCCACGACCCGCATCTTCAACGCCTTTACCCTCCTCGGCCTGCTGGCCAACTACAACAAATTCGAGTTCCAGAACCCGTACCAGATGCGCCTGAACGACTTCGTCAACGAGGCGACCATACGCAAAATCATACGCTGCGTCGGCGAGACGTGTCAGAACCTGAGGACGCAGTACCTCGACGTCCAGGAGGACCTGCCGGAGGGATGGTCGCTGAACGGGACGTTGCGGATGATCGGGCTGGGCGCGGTGGCCAGGGGGCCCAAGCCGGAGAAGAAGCCGGTCTACGACGCGGAGACGATGAAGACCATGTTCACAAGCCTGTAAGTCCCCACGTGAGACGAAGTCTTGTGTGGCGGATGCTAACGAAAGGCACAGACCCGGCGAGGAAGCCGCCGTGTTACTCGCGACATACGACTTCACACACGCGAACAAGCTCTTCTGCTTCAACCTCGCGACCTTACCCCCCGAAAAGGGTCAAGAACAGCCCCTCGCGGCCTTCACCTCCCTCACCTCCTACCTCCTCCAGCACGCGCACCTCTCGGAGCGGACGACGCACTACTCGCACCTCAACCTGATGGTCTTCCGGCTCCTCATCGAGGACCCGGTCCTCTGCAAGCGGATATGCAGCGACGAGAGCAAGACGACCGTGCGGCTGTGTCGGCAGCGCCAGCCGTACCTGCCGCTGGTGCGCGGGGAACGCATGCTCGCGACGGCGGTGCTGGACACCATGGTCGACGGGATCACGCACAACCTGCGGCGGCGGCTCGACGTCGGCATGTACACGCTCTGCGTGGGCATCGTGCTGCGCGTGGTGAGCTACCTGTCGCGCAGCCGGACGCGGGTGGCGTACCACTGGGCGGACCTCTTCCGGGCGCTGCTGAACCTGGTCAAGTTCCTGACCACGTACGTCGCGGACCTGCGGGACCTGGCGCAGGTCGACCTGCTGGTCGACAACGTGGTCAACCTGCTCGCGCTGTCGCTGTCGGCGGGCGAGGCGTTCCTCCCCGGCCCCGCGGCGTACGACGACCTGTTCTACAAGGTCGTCGAGACGGGGGACACGCTGCTGAAGTTCAAGGAGAGCTACAAGCTGGGCAAGAGGCAGAGCAACTCCATCGACACGCTCATCAGCGTGAGCACGCACTACAAGGAGCTGTTGGAGGGCGGGCGGAAGAAGGGGAACCTGACGAGCGTGGAGGTGACGGAGGTGATTAAGCAGGGGTACGAGACGTTGAGTATCCAGGCCAAGGAGGGGCTGGATACGTGGGAGCGGTATAGGGAGGCGGACGAGAGGACGTTGTTGAAGAAGATGGCGAGGGCGGCTGTGGCGGATGTCAGGGCTGTTGTTGAGAGGGGAGGGGGGTGATGGTGATGGGGGCTGAAGGTGGGAGGTAGATTGTATGATATTAATGACACTGGGATGATTCTAATGAGTTGGATGTGTATGTGAGGTTGATGCTCTGGGACGGTGCATTTAGAATGGAGCCACGGTTTTGGAGTTATGCCATTTCTTGTTTATTCAGGGACGAATACTTGGAAAGCGACGACGGATAATGACCAGAGCTAGCGACGAGGACACCACCACCAATGACGGCCAGTTCTTCTCCTAGTGGGTTCCAACGCGCAACTCCAGTTCGTCGGAATGCCTCTGAAAGTAACGGTTGAAGTTGATCTGCGACCGCTCTTGTGCGGTCGAGACAGGACCTCCAGTCTTTCTTCTGTCTCTTATGGATCTCTTTTGGGTCTGCGCCGTCGGGGCGGTCTCTCTTGGACGAGCCAGGGAGAATCCAACTGGCTCCAAAATTCTGGGGACCCAGGAGTTCAAGTCCATCGGGTCTGGTCCGCGTTGCACGAAGTACTTGTCGATTACGATTTGGATTATATGTCGCAGGACTGGAATTTGTTATTTTGGCGCTTTCTGGGATGGTGGTGAGTATATTCTGGAAGGCGCGGGACGGAATGTTCTTTAAATCATCCCACTTGCTGCAAGCTGCCATCTTTTCGAGTGAGAGATGGAGGAGGAGGTTGCGGTGGGCGTATATGTGAATTGCTGCGATCATGTAGCCGTGATTCAGCCCTGCTTGGTTGCACGCCCTCCAAACCGCCACTCTGATAGAGTCGTCGTTGAAGTTGACTTCATTGCGCCGCATTCGCTCAATGAGTTGGAGTGGTACGGAATTATGTCACTCCACGGCTGTCGTTCCTGGTCGAATACTCGGCAAGTGGCTGCGGATAAAACCCAGAGGCAACATCAGAGGTGGTGGGAAGCAGCAAGAGCAGTGGGGACAGAGTTGTGAGGATTAGTGCTACAGAGAAATGGCCAGGGAGAAGTTGTACTTGGTCATCTTCTCTTTCAGAATGATGCATACGTCGTAAACCAACTCGGCTTCGTGGACTCAATATGAGCTCTTCATGGGTTCTTAAGGTTGAGTTCGGAGGTAAATTGTATGATATCAACAGCACTGTCATGATTCGAATAAGTGGAGTTTACAACTTTGATCGGGATGGGTTTGCGGTTGTACGAAGCCGTATGCTAGAAAAGAACTTGAGTGTGGGGTGATTTTCTACCGAGTTACAATTGTGGATGAGGTTGATGATTGGGATTCTACTTTTAGTATTGCGGTTGAATACTTGAAGAGTGATGATAAGTGACAAGGGAAACAATAGAGATGATGAGCAAGAACAAAGGCAATAATAGAGGTGGTTCCTAGACTCAATGCGAGCCCTCCTTCATCAAGGTTGAACACCTCAATTGCTCGGTAGCAGCCGAGAGAGCCTTCTGAGTTTTCAAGCAAACCATGCTTCACCTGGAAACCAACTGAGTAATGCTGCTGAGCTCCTCAATGTGTCAAGATAGTCTCCGAGGGCTTGGGGTTGAGGTAAGACAAGAATTGAAGAGTCATTGCGGCTGCTTTGTCATGCCCACCGACCGTTGACAAATTGATGGCCTCTGATTGGCCGACAGGATCAGCTTACCGAGACGCAGTGGCCATGTCATAGCCGCGCCACGGGGACACCCAACAATCCTGTCAAATGACCAATGACCCCAGGGCCCCAGCTTGGGTGTTTGCTTTGCGATGCTCCGAGGCTGCTATTGGCAATCATCCACCCGATCAACCGACCGACTTTTGCAGCAAACATCCTCCCAAACCACCTTTTCCTTTCGTCACCCTCGGACGACCAACTTCTCTCTCCCACCTAATTCTATTTGATCCTGCAAATACCCGACTTTTCATAGCGCAGTGAACGTCTCGGCTTCATCAACAAACAACGCAAAAAAAGCAAACTCCACATACCACAAGATGAACGCCCCGAGGATACTCACCCGGCTGGCGATCCGCCGCTCCTGCACCGCGATGCATTGCGCACCGTCATCACTCGCCGCCGGAGCCCGTCGCGCATACGGCAGCCCGTCCTTCCAATCCTACCCTCTCTACCCAAACAACGCTCCCCCGCCACCCCGAACCGACGGCGCCGAGGGCTCCATCGCGCAGCCGGATGCTCTTCCGAAGGTCAACGAGACGAGACCGCCCAAGATGTCCCAGCTGTCCGCGCACCAGCCGAGTCCCTCTACGACTACGACGACGACAACAAATGCCTCTACCACCACCACCACCACCACCACATCAACAGCCGCCACCCCGACACCCACAACGACAACGTCATCAGCACCAGCCAAGCCCACCCGCCCACGCTCCAAGCTCCGCGCGCGCAAGGCGGCTATGAAGCTCACCCCCGCGGCCGTCGAGCAGCTTCGTGCCCTGCTGGACCAGCCCGAGCCGAAGCTGATCAAGGTCGGCGTGCGCAACCGCGGGTGCTCGGGGCTGGCGTACCACCTCGAGTTCGTGGAGAAGCCCGGCAGCTTCGACGAGGAGGTGGTGCAGGACGGCGTCAAGGTGCTGATTGACAGCAAGGCGCTGTTCAGCATCATCGGCAGCGAGATGGACTGGGTCGAGGACAAGCTCAGCCAGAGGTTTGTGTTCAAGAACCCGAATATCAGTGAGTACCCTTCTTTGCCCCTCCGCTCAATGAGGGTGATGGTGGATGAGCATTGACTAACGATTGAACAGAGGAAGAATGTGGTTGCGGAGAGTCGTTCATGGTATGAGCAGCGGCTTAAATGACCAAAGCGCTGCGTTTGTTGGCGGGCTACCTAGACTGGCTGCATCACATACATACACTTCTTCATCACTGTAGACTTTCACTATAGATTGAGAGCCTAGTCGGTGGACGGCATCGGCATTGTACAAAGTGCCGCAGCGTCGTGTACATCACGCTCTATTCCGAGCATCAAATTAGGGGGCTTTAAGGGACGGCATTGGGAGGCGTTTAATTAGGTGTAATGATACCTACGAAAAGACCTAGATCATATCAAGTCTAGGCGAGAATCAACAATATTTGTCGAATGTCACGTTCGATCATCAATACAATCGATGTGTCCGTTAAATATGGCCTCAAATTGTCCACACCACTCCAGGTTCATTATCTATCACTCTCTTATTCGTAGTCGAATACTTGGGTAGTGACTCCGAATAGAGGTAGTGAGGAAGAGCAACAGCACTAGAAGCAGCGAGGAGCGATGATATCATCGGCGTTCGTCTCGTCGGTGGCGGGAAGAGACGGGATGGCATGGACAGCGTATCTCCGAGTCCATTGCCGGAGCCCGACCCCCACAATCCAACTCCCGCCGAACGGCAGGCGGCACCTGGCAGAAAATGGAGCAGGCAGGGCACCCCGGCGACATGCGGAGCGAGGCGTCCCGGCCCCACTAGAATTCGCGAGAGCTGCACCGTGAACTCAATTAAGGCGCGTCATCGCTGCCAAAATCCCCCCAGACCGCGTTCTGAATGCACCTTCCACCCAAAAAACCACCACGTACGCCGCAACACCACAACCAATCGCTCGATCCTCCTATCACGACACAAATAAAGCCATTGCCACATGCGCCGAGACGCATCGCCGTTACAATGTCCGCAGTAGACTGCCCCATCTGCAACAAACCCGTCAAAGCGACCCTCATCAACTCGCACATCGACTCCGGCTGCGCCTCTCACATCTTCAACCCAGACCGAACCTCCTCTCCGCCGACGGCCACGCAACCGAACGGCGCGCAAACAACGCTCTCCTCCACGCAGGCGAAACGACCCGCTTCCTCCTTCTTTTCGACACCAGCGCCGAAACGCCATGCCCCGCCCACGAAAGTCCTCACCACACCCGCCGCCAACGGCACGAAGCCGATGGCAGGCGTGAAACGCAGCTTCGATGACGGTCCAGGAGCTGTGTCCTCTTCCTTCGGCGGCACCACCTTCGTCGCGGACGAGGAGAAGGACACGACACCAGCCCCCGAGACGGGACCAGTCGCGAAGCGCACAAAGACGGCGAGGGCGGCCCCGCTGGCGGAGCGCATGAGGCCCAGCACCCTCGACGAGGTCTGCGGCCAGGACCTCGTCGGTCCCCACGGCGTGTTGCGATCCCTAATCGAGTCGGACCGCGTGCCGAGCATGATTCTCTGGGGCGGATCCGGGACGGGCAAGACGACCATCGCCCGGTGTATCGCGAAGAGCGTCGGGTCGCGCTTCATCGAGCTCAACGCCACCTCCTCCGGCGTCGCCGAGTGCAAGAAGCTGTTCGGGGAGGCTGCCAACGAACTTGCGCTCACGGGGCGCAAGACCATCATCTTCTGCGACGAGATCCACCGCTTCTCCAAGGCGCAGCAGGACGTGTTCTTGAAGCCCGTGGAAGCCGGCACAATTACGCTCATTGGAGCCACGACGGAGAACCCGAGTTTCAGGGTGCAGGCGGCGCTGCTTTCAAGGTGTCGGACGTTTACGCTCAGCAAGCTCACGAACGAGGATGTCGCAAGGATCTTGCTGCGAGCCATCGAGGAGGAGAACACCAAAGGCAACGCGATCAGCAGTCCACTGATCGACGCCGAGCTCGTGACATACCTCGCCGCCTTCTCGGACGGCGACGCGCGGACGGCACTGAACCTGCTGGAGCTCGCGATGTCGATATGCACGCGGCCGGGCATCACCAAGGCGGACATCAAGGCCTCCCTTACCAAGACCCTGGTGTACGACCGCGCGGGCGACCAACACTACGACACCATCTCTGCCTTCCACAAGGCGGTGCGAGGCAACGATCCCGACGCCGCGCTGTACTACCTGGCGCGCATGCTGCAGTCGGGCGAGGACCCGCTGTTCGTGGCGCGGCGGATGGTGGTGATCGCGTCCGAGGACGTCGGGCTCGCGGATAACACGCTGCTGCCGCTGGCGACGGCGGCGTACACGGCGGCGCAGCAGATCGGGATGCCGGAGGCGCGGATCCCGCTGGCGCATTGTGCGGTGGCGTTGAGTCTTGCGCCGAAGAGCACGAGGGCGTATCGGGGGTTGAACAACGCGTACGCGGCGTTAAGGGAGCCTGGTGTCGCGGCGCTGCCTGTGCCGTTGCATCTGAGGAACGCGCCGACGAGGTTGATGCGGGAGATGGGGTACGGTGCCGAGTACAAGTATCCGCCTAATTACCGGGAGGGGAGGGTCAGGCAGGAGTATTTGCCGGAGGAGTTGTTGGGGAGGAGGTTTCTTGAGGAGAGGGATTTGGGGACGGAGGTTGATCCGGACTTGGAGATGGAGACGGAGTCGTGAGCCACGACGGGAGTCGTGGGTTTTGAATTTGAGGCACGGGGGTTGGACGTAACCTCTGGACGGGCGTCACTGAGTTGGTACAGACAGATTTTGACGCCCTGAGGGTCGTGGTGCATAGCGCTGAGGATTGAATGGGCTATCCTTGGACATGATGATGAATACACTTGTATTAATATTCAACAGACTTCCAACTGACGGACGGGCTTGTCATCGTTTTAAGCCCGTGATTCAGCTCGCCGAAGGGTGCGATCCTGGAAAATGTCACTGTGTCCGTTCTAGTAGTGCCCTTTTGCGCCCTTTCAGACCTAACTTATCTACTCGAGCACATCACCGGCAATCCTTACTCAATTTCGAATACCCTATTCTTTGCCGCCCCAAAGGCTGCCTTAGCATGGACTGATGGAGCACTGCTATCAACGCATTGAACTTCACCAACGCCCAATCGATGATAACGACCGGTTACACTATTTTTGTATAGAACGAGGTACCCGATTTCATTGCCATCCTCTGAGACCCATATCTGTAGTAGAATGAGTTTCTTAACCGCCAACCTGTTATCGCAGGGTCCCTTGAAGTAAAAAGACACCTGTGGCTCGGCTTTGAAGAAACCGGAGAAATCTTCCACGTAATCTTTCACATGGTCTAGAACGTGATCATCAGCATTGTAGTGAAGGTTAGTGTAATCCCTCCAGAATGGGAAAAAACAGGCCGAATTCCTCTTCGGCAGTATCAACACATCTTGACGATGAAAACTCAGCGGATACGATGGCGCGTGGTCGAAGAAGCCGGCCCAGATACATTCAACGGCAGGGGCTTCAATTGTGATAAAGCCCCCTAGAACTGGCCCAAAACGGTCATCACCCGTAAAATTCAGATTCTCTTCTCGTAAGGCGAGAGTAGATCTCCTCCGGGTGTCGGTGGTTGGGTGAGTGAAGTCCACCCTCGCAGGTAATGATACCCATGACCACGACGGCGCCACGTATTGTTGACCGCGCGGGAAGCGCTTGGGATTCAGATTATGCCAGGATAAATCAAGATGTAAGTGACTTTTCCGTAGGCCGCAGAGGTACTCCTGCCCCGGCGAATGCGGTGTCTGGAACGACAGAAGCTGCTTCGCGACGGCGGCGACGGCGGGCAGTTTGTCCTTGGGGTAGGTAATCCCCAGCGAAGAGAACGCCGTGACCAAGTCCTGCCACAGATCCTCCGGTTTACTCTTGTACTCTTTGCGCAGGGCTGCCCCGTACTGCTGCTTGTGTTCCGCGAAGCTGGCCTCGTCTGTTTCTTGGAACCGTCGCGAGACGTAACAGTCGAAAATCAGCTGCTTCTGGGTGAAATACAGCAGCCGTGGCGAGACGAGCCGCTCTTGGAAGATCCAGGATCGCTTGAGGAGCGGGAACTGGTTGAAGTAGTCTTTGGAATCGTACATTTCGTGGAGGTTGAAGTCTTTCCCTTGGGGGATGTAGCGAAAGGCGTAAACGGGGTATCTTTCGCCTCGGAATTCTACGTCCAGAAGGTAGAGTCTCGAGGATTTGACATGTTTCTCACTATAGAACCCCCCGTGACAGTTGGTCGAGAAAGTCGAAGCCAGCGTGATGTACGCGTTTGAGTAGTATTCGAACATCCGTGTGGATTCCGATTTCCAGTCCTCGTCGTCACCCTGGATGATGCACATGGAATCGATCCATATGTACTCGAGATTCAGTCTCCTTGCGTACAGCATCGCGTCTTGAAAGGTTCGAGGAATGTGACCCCAGGGGATGCCCTCTGTTGTGAAGCTGTTGATGTTATGAGCCGTGGTGGAACAGGGCGGCGTTACTTTGCCCCAGCAGTGGCTCAGAGCGGCATATCGAGAGTTTCGAGGTATTCGAGTGTCCGAATTGTCGATAAGGCGGGCGCCAGATATCGTCACGTCCTCGGGAACGTAGACTAGCCTCGTGGGAAGTCGTGGCTCCTTGGATTGGAACGCATGACAATTGTGAGTGTTGACACATTCATCAATCAGGCTCTTGGCCCAATCCAGGGAATTCTCAGACCCCGGATCGATCGAGGGATGGCTTCCGTGTGGATACATAATTGCGCCAATTGGTGCTTGAGATGGCAGACCGCAAGAAGAGATGTAGACGCTCGCCAACTCATTCCGCCGGTGTTCGTCCCAGAAGTATATGCCGGATTTTGTGACGTAGACCGGCCCTCCGAGAAGCCGCTCACTCTCGTTTTCCCCAAAGTAGAGTTTGCGCGAAAGAGCGAGTAGAATGGCGCAACAGAGATTACCGGCAGATGCGGACTCTCGGAGCGCATGTGGAAGAATCTGTGTTCGTTCGTCAGCTGGCGAGATCTGGCGCCGTTCCAGAAGCTGTTCCCAACGCCCATTCCATTGGCAAGTCACACATAAATGCTCAGGATCCCGTGCCTGGTCTGCGCGCCAGTCGTCCGGGAGTTGTAGAACTTCCAGCTCTGGGATGGCGGCTCTGGCGGACAGTCTGTCGAGCAGATTTCCAGCCATCAGAATCAACACTAGGCGTCAAGATTGCAAATACTTGAGCAGCTTGTTGAAGAAACAAACTGCTGCGGAGAAGCGTTAGAAATCTAGAAGAGAATTGTGACCATTTGTAATAGAGAACAACTCGTTCCATGGACCTCAATGAGAGAAAGGTATTTGTCGTATGACGGGGGACGCAGCCTGCACGAACCAATGGCAACTGATACAGCATTCCTATTATTACTACCCACTTATCGCGGGGTAAGAGACAGTCATGGGCAACTCCGTTCTTATGCATCAAGCTGCCGTACGATCAATTCACCTCTGGATAGGTGCCACTGCAGCCTTCCAGTAGGTACCCTAGTTGTAGTGAGTCTTTTCCCATGCAAATGATGAAGCCTCTTGATGTTTTCTTAAGAACTGTAGAAAGAGCAACACATTCTTGACGTTGTGAAATTGTTACAATACCTTACGTTGCGCTCTAAGATATATCTTTGGGTGACATATTCAACCATTGTTATGCACCACGACTTTTAGGTAATGCTGACGTTGAGCCAGAGCTACACATCATGAACAACACTAAGACGGCTGTCGATTCAGAAAATAACGTGCTCGATATTCCGGGCAGGTCCAAGTTGAAACCCGGTGTCGTCTTAAGAGATAAGTTATATCACGTCCAAGCGAGAGTCAAAGCAACGTAGCTCGACTTTTCCATCAGCTCTCCTCCTCCCCGACCATCTCCATGCCCTCAAAAAGGTCGATCCAGTCATTCAGCGCCTCCTTGACAAAAACTTCCAAGTCCCACGGCCTGTCTGACACGGAATCCTCGTCGCCGTTCCACAGATAAATGTCCGCCTCCACAACTTTCTCAGCCGCAATGCCATCACGGCTGCCCACCACACTCTGAACAACCTCAATCTGATAGGTTTCTCCTTCAAAGTCATCCAGCTTCTTTCTTTCCGAAGTTGTTCGCGGTTGTAGAAGGTAACCGCTGATGGACGAGCCCTGTTCTTTCACAGCAGCTAGATAGCAGCGCTACCGCAAGTATAATCAAGTCAATTTTAACCCCCATACTTACTAAATTAACTTTTTTTTTTCTAGGATTTAACTACTTAGTAAACTTATAATTAATATAATTTAATTACTATATAAAAACACGTATAATATCCTAACTAATTAGAAAAAAGTGAGGCTATTCCTCATAGTGACAATAACCCAAAGTTCACAGGCGAAAGGACGCCTCTCCACAGCCAGTTTTTACTAAGCTAGATAGTCTCTATAGTGCCCAGCAGCATTGAGAGCCTCTAAGAGGTAAGGGTTAATTTAGTAGTACTAAAAGCCCTCTCGCAGTCCGTCGCCATCGCCAGCACTGCGAAGACGTCAAGGGCAAGCCGGGAGAGTGCCGGGAACGTCTCCACATGGTCCCTCCACCACCGGACGGGATCAGACGTAGCCTCCAGAGGCTGACGAAGGTAGAGATCAAGCTCATCCGTCCTAGGCGGCGTCTGCCGGCGCCGGCTGTTGACCCACTGCCGGTAGTGCACATCCTCTCCGTCCCCAGCCCCAGGATCAACGGGCAGTATGCCGGCCTGCCAGCTGGAGGGGAAGACCTCAGCAGGCTCACGATACCACCAATTGAAGTACTCTATGAGAGACTTCAGAGCCTTCTCCACCCATCCCTCCTAGTATTCCTCACACCATATATCTCATAAGTATAAGATACTATATAATAGGTACAGTATAATCACACCAGAGAAGAGTGGGGAGTCCCCAAGCTTCTCATAATAGGTAAAGAGCTTCTACCACACTTATTCAACACTACTACAGAGGAAGGTCTGCCACTCCTCATCAAGAGACTCAAATCGGGAGGCAGATCAAGAGGCTAGCAATACCCAGTCCTTATATATATAATCAGGTAGGGCTTAGAGGTTATGCTAACGGCGTCGTTATGCCCAGCCGGCACACTTCTAAGATTACTACAACTACTAAGAGTTACCCTTATTATTATTACTGATACTAGGAGATATACTAGCGTTATAATAGATCTTCCAGTCAACAAGATGCAAGAGAAGGTATTCAATACCCATCATAACCTCCCAGAGTCAACCATACCCATCATCAATACCCCAGCCCTCACACCGCTTCGTCTGGCGATAGAAGGGTTCAAGGATCATCCCAATCTCTACGAGAACCTTCCAATCCTCGCCAGAGAGTAGATCCTTCTCTAGGATATACTAGGCAACGTCGTTATTATCATTATTAGCCAATAAAAATGCCTAAATCTCTACCTTCTTCTTTACAGCCCTCTCAATCATAAGATATATACTATTCCATTAAGTATCATTATTCAGTATAAGTTAGGCCTCCCAGCGTGACTTAGAGAAGATCCAGAAGTTGGAGTCTCCATCAACCTCCACTACAGCCTTCCCATACCGCTCCATTCGCTATAGAGAGGACCTAACAAACTTAACGATATTCCGGAGCCAGCCCATAGGCCCAAGCCTCCACTAAAGCTCCAGGTCATCATCATATCAATCGCAAAGCCAGAAGAAGTCCAACTCCACCTCCAGAGTCTCCTTATCAGCGCCAAACAGGAAGGCCCAGGCAGCAAGGTTCAGCATGTAGCCATAGCAGCGCATACACCAGGCCTTAACGTCATCCACCATCATCTCTAGAGAGATAGTCTAGTAGAAGGCCTAGAGGCAAGTGTCGTTATTCATAGCGTTATCAGAGACCGTTACGCCAACCCAGGCACAGAGGTCATACCAGTCAACAACGTCAATAAGGGTCTACAAGAGGCTACAGCCAGAGTAGTTGCCATAGTGCTGCGGGAAGGCCAAGAGACGGGACTACGTGGTACCGTCAGCATAGATGAAATAGCCAGTAACTGCCATAAAGGCGTAGATATTCAGTAACGACCATAGATCAAATGAAAGGTATATCTTTGAGGCCGCAGAGTGAAGTTCAGACTTCACGAGAGCCTCTCCGCGCTGGCAGAAGTCATCAAGACGGTCCCAAATCGCCATCCAGCCCCACGGGATCTCCCCAGCGACCTCCATACTATAGTACCAAAACATCTACTGCACGTAGGTGTTCTCAAAGTGGACAAATAGGAGATCAGCAGAGACGACAGAGGCCACGCAGAGGTCCCTCATCATCATGATCTTAGACTTTAGGATATTACTGTTAGGGCGGGGTCGTTTATACAGAGGGGATGAGGTGACAAGGGTGCAACCGTCAGAGTCCTCATCTGACTGCGCAGAGATCCTGCAGACGTTATGGCCACTACAGCTTTATTAGTATATAATTTATATAGGAGGGAAGCTAGGGATAATATACCAAAGTAAGTGCTCTTAGGGCGCAGAGGTAGCGGCAGCGCCAAACAGATAGGGAGACCCCTTTACGTTACATCATCAACAACTCCAAAAGGACGTGCCAGCACAACCCTAAATAATCTCAATAAGGAACTCACCATACTCTCAGATCCAGCTAGAGCGGCTATAGCCACACCTTCATAATAATTATTCCTTAAGAATAAACTTCTAACTACTAATAATAATAGGATAGAGGTCGTTAATCATAAGATTCAGAAGTAGGTCAGTTATTAGAGCCTCCACAATCTATATCAAGATCCAGAGGCGTGGGGCACCCAAGATCTCATACGCATTAGCAGCAGCAGCAGTAGTAGTAGTAGCAGCAGTTAATATTATAAGTATAAAGTTAAAGTAGATAAAATTAGCTAAAAATAATAAGTAGAAGATAGGATAATTAATAACTCTTACTAGTAGCAACTAATTATAGGCTTATATATACCATTTAAACTACTATAATTACTTCTACTCCCTTAGAGATTTTCAAAAGGATTAGATTTTATCTAATAATATAAGGATAATTAGTAAAACCATATTAAAATATATAAATATCATAAGGTTAGTAACAGCGTTATATCTCAGAGGCTAGAGATGCCTAAATAACTAGGGCCCAGGCTAATCTATAGCCTCTCATTAGCTAGAAGTAAAACAATTAGGTATTTCAAGTCAATTAAGAGATATAGGATTAACTAATTAGTAGCGGCAATAATATCACTTTAACTAGTTGATTTAGGTAACTTAGTAAGGCGCCTTGTACTTGCGGAAGCGCTGCTGGATAGTCGCGGCCACGGAGAGCATAGCGGGCAAAGTCTTGCACTATAGCTGGGCGGATGAGGGCTGAGATTTCGTCGGTACGTGTGGCGTCGCCGGTCAGAACCCAGGCGAGGAGAGGTTTTGCGCATAGGGTTCCGTAGATGAAGACCGGTCGTGGAGTTTCGTCTCTGGCCATGTTGGGGATAGTTGCCTGGTTTGGTGTATTTGGTTTGGCCGGTGATTTTATGTACTGGGCTTTTCCTCAAGATTTCTTTATTTCTTATCCTTCCGTGTTTCTTCTGGCTTGTTTTATAGAGGAATTCCGGGTTCGGAAAGCTTTCTCAGATTGCGTTTTGCACCCACGAAACCTTTCAACAGCCACAAGAACCCAGAGGCTTAAAAAAGGGTCAATTCCCATCAAGGTACACGTAGGGCAAGTTTCATTCAGTTCGGGTACCACTAACCAGTGATTCTTTCCCGCCAGTCCCTTTCGGAGATATGTCATTTTGATATATAATAAACGATCAAATCCCGCCTACAGCTTCTTTTCTTTCTCTCTCAAAAAACATCAGAAATTTCCTAATAAGGTCATCTCAGACTCAACAAATCAGTCCAATAATCGCAAACAACTATTCATTCATATACAGCTACCTCAAAGCCTGTATCCTCCTACCATTCACACTTAACGACGCTTCGTTGTGAAGTGTGCCCGCTGCGAAGTACACTTCCATTGCGAACTCGTTGTCTACTGTTGTCAAACCTTCAGAGCATCACCGTCGCGAAGGACGTGACGTACGATAACCGGTTCAAGCAATCGTTCTTTACGAGTATCCAATTACGATGCCCCTCAACGAGGACGAGTTCGCCGCCCAGCGGCAAGATAAGAATGATCGAAAGAAGCAGCAGACATCTCAAAAGCAGACCCAGAAGCAGGAGAAGCAGCAACAGAGGCAACTGAAACAATACAACAAAGAGGAGAAGCAGAAGTTGGAGGATAGGCATAAGCAAAAGAAGCAACAGCATTGTCAACAACGGAGGGAGCGGCAAGAAAAGCAGAAGTTCTTGTAAACGACGAATAAACCAATTTCGCTATTGGGCTCATTTCAACGCAGCAACCGTTTTCCTGGTTCCGGTTTTCGATACTCAAGTTCCCGCTACATTTGCCTGCTTCGGCATGCAATGATCTTTCGACCCTGGGAAAGGAGAGGAAAGGTCTGGTAACAGGGTACGCGGGGGATATAACTCCCTAAAATTCAAGTTCTCGATACGTCTGTCAAGAAGACTGTCATGTGATTCCTATGGTACATGGGAAGCACAAAGATTGTGGGAATATGAATATTTGGCTTGTTACTGTAAACAGTGCCTGTGCCAATGGAAAAGGGAAGAGGCAGGGATCAAAAAAGGAACGGGGACGAAGAGTTAACTTTCCTAACATGGAGTAAGTTTCCGCGGGCGTGTAGCTTCAGGCTTTCGAGGATTCTGGCAGCGTGTCATCCAGTTTAATGATAACTACGTATAAAGCAACCTAGGCGGGAAGAAGGTTTGAGACTTCGGATTCGACGCAAATTTCTCTTCAACTTGGGCTATAATCGCCGTACCACTACATGCTATCTTACCAGATTTTGTCAGCTTCTCCATTTGCCTGAAGCCTTCTGAGCACCCCCTCGGTCATGTATGGATAAAGGTCACTCTCTCTCCATCTTTCCATGCTGTCGATATCGGTCTCGTCAAAGGGCGCATCGCTACCCGATGTTGTCGAGCTGTTGTCATGGATGCTTTCCTTATTTGGCGGGTAATACTCTGTTGATATATGAATTGGCTCCTTTGTTGACGACGGTTGGTTGGTCTTTGCAGTGGCTCGGCTGGTTGGAGTTGCGCGTCTGATCTTGGTAACAGCATTGGGATCAAAGTCTTGGGCGAATCGTCGAATGGACCTAAGCGCTTCATCCGAGACTGTTGGCCCACACCTATTCAAGGCAGTTTCGAAGTGTGACAGCTTCAAGACCCGACTCCCTTTCTTTTCTTCTTCGGCCTCAGCTTGGCCGATCAATGCTGCTTGTACGCACAAGGTTTTCAAATCCGAACCAGAGAAACCGTCCGTCCACGAAGCCAAAACAGCAAGGTCTAGGCCAGGTTCCCTCTCTTCTTCGCGTAAGAGTATGGCAAAGATTCTTTCACGTGCTTGGTCGTTCGGAAGTCCGATGTACAGCCTCGAGGGAACGCGCCGCAGTACTGCTTCGTCCAAGTCACTTGGATGATTCGTTGCCAGAAGCAGAAATGGAGGTCTTTTTGCCTTCATCAAACCGTCAGTCTGGCCAAGAAACATATTCAAGAAACTGCGACTCCATGCCGTGTCCTTGGTCTGACGCTTGCGGAACATGGCGTCCGCCTCATCGATGAAGATGATACTGGGCGACAACTTGGCTGCTAGGTTGAACAGGGCCTTGATTGTCTTTTCCGATTCGCCCACCCACTTGCTCTCGATATCAGCGGCTGAGACATTGATCATGACCGCCCCATACTCATGAGCCAGTACTCGAGCGAGATGGGTCTTCCCGGTCCCTGGGGGTCCGTAGAGAAGCGCGCCGTTGATTCGGGATTGGCGGAGGAGCTCTGTTTGCGCAGCTGGATCCGCGTTGGCTAGGTTGACTATTTGGGTTACGGCCCGTTTGAGGTCATCCTCAAGAACAATATCTGACCATCCTTGATCGACGTCGCCTTAATTCAAGACAATTAGCAGATGAAATACTCGCGATGATACGCACTTTTGCTCAAGACCACATACCATAGAGAACAATTTGTTCAAGAAGCATACTCTCCCACTCGTACCTGCTTGGGTCCCCTTCTATCTCTTCAATTGCTTCCCGTGTCTCCTTTGAAAAGTCCTTCCAACGGCTTACTGGCTCACCCTCAAGTCGATTCCTTTCCTCACGCCATTCCGAAAAGGCGTCAAGCCGTTCAAAGGCTTCGTGTACGCCGCTTATACTTGGTCTTTTGCTGATGTGAATAGCGAGTAACTCAATCACTGAGGCGTCCAGTGAGTGTTCGCCAAGTTTTCGATAGGCCATGCTTTCTTCTTCCAGTGGCCATCGGGAATATGGTTGCAACAGCTCGTTCGCAGACCGGCCCAGACGACTCAATGCTACCTGCTGGATTCTCTCAATGTTGATTCTTCTGTTCTCCGCTCGGAAGTCCTTCTGGAGACGCATGGATTGGGATTCCGAATGGATTGGTAGCATAGGAATTACCGGAAGGAGAGGGTCGAAGCCAAGGCTGGACACCATTTCGAGGTCTGTAGCTTGCGACAGAAGAAGTTCCGGAATGGTCGTGATCGGATAGTAGTTGTACTCTTGATAGTCGTATATAGCCGGCTCTGTGAAACTGTCCATGCCAATAACAATGACGCGCTTTTCTGTCGAATTCGCGTCTTTGAAGGCGTCACGGAGTTGAGACATCATGTGCTTCCCTGCCGGCGGCATAAGAAATTCCTTCAAGTCGGGCAACATAATGATGAGCGGCCGGCAAAATTCTTGATGCTCACCAATGGATTCTGGAAGTGTCGTTATGGGAGAAGCTGAGGCCGCTAGTAGTGCCTCGAAAGGAAATGCGTTTTTATCTGTTGCTGATTCCGACTGTTCGCATTGGAATCGTTCCGTTTGCTCGTATTGTTCCGTTTCCTCTGATTCTTCAGTCTTTTCTAGGTCTGCAGCGAAGCTGTCCTGTGCTGCTTCAATTTCCGAGGTGGAATGTTCCATGTTCGCGTGTCCTTCGACCTCATCTTGGAACTCGTCAACTTTGGCGCCTTGCTCATCCTGTACCTCTTCTCCGTTGGAGCCGTTTTGTTCATCATTGGCGGTTAAATCATTAAAGAACAAGCTTAATGGCGACCCCGATATGTCTTCATGAAGCCCTCGCTCAGTGGCTAAATGATGACAAAGCCGTTCCATATCGGTTTTGCTGATACTGATCAAGTCTGCCCCTTGGCTTTTGGCAAAGTACTGGACCACAGCTCTCATGAATCCTTGCCCTGAATACCCAGCAGGCAAATCCGTTCGTAGCACTGCTGCATCGTTTGAAAATCCGGGGAAAGAATCTGATGACTGACTATCGGTGGCTGGCTCTAGCGAGCTCGTATATGCATTCAGAGTGTAATGTAGGCCTTGATAGATAAGCTCTTGGACTTCGTATGACTCGATATCTGGCAATGTTGCCGTGTGTTTGGCGTCCTTGGGTTTCTCGGGGCGGTTCGATTCGTGCAGAACTAGAGGGATGGGGGCTGAAGATAGTTTCTCAAATGTTTGAACGCAGTTGGCTAGGAACCAAGACGGTAACTGTGTCGAACCCTGATCACAATAAGTTAGGGCATCAAAGTCTCCATCGCTGTGATTTGTTTACTGACTGGAATCACATCGCGAACACCTGGCTTGACGGAAGCACCCTTGGTGCTTGATGTCTCCATGTCGTCTTCTGCTCTTCTGGGCTCTGGGAAGTTAAAGTAGCCGGAAAGGGCATCGTGAGGCTCAGAGCCAACTTCTTCGTTGTTTATATTACATGACATCGTATCTCAGATTCATAAGATGCAATGCCTGTCTGGTAATTAGAGCGTTGAGAGGCCGGCAAAGGTGAAGAGAACGCGCCGCGTTGGAGGGCCAAAGGGACTTTTGACCAGGCAGAACCCCTCAGCAACTTAAGAAGTCAAATTCCCTAGAAAAGACCAATTAAACCTGCAGTAAAGGTACCCGCACGACACCGAAGTAGGTACGAACGATTGGATTACAAGATTGTGCACATGGAGAGATGTTCGTAACAGCAAATTAAGACAATCGAAGAATCACTTCAAACCCACTCTTGATAATTGGAGTCTGCCAATCATCGAATGCTGCCCAGCAAAATAGTTTGCAGACCGAATAACGAGCTGTCAGCATACGTATGCATTGATGCCTTGCGCAATTACACCCCTGTGCTTACTGCTGTGTATGTTAGAAAAAGTGTGGACATCTGCTGTGTATGTTATGAAGGCCTTTTTCCATCAATACGACCAAGCGAGTAGGAAACTTCTATGCATATATCCCGTTATAGGCATTTTTGCAAATCGTTTGTCCCGACACCGTGTTTTGTAATTTCCTGATTATCTGGCTGCAAAGTCGGAAACGCTGACACGGTTGTTCGATTTCCGTCCTCCTTTATAGCCTCAGCAAAGATGGGAGATTACTCTCTACGTGAGCATGCCCTTGAGGCCCAGAATGCGAGGCTTCACTTTGAACTGATGGAAAGATTCAATGGCACTGCTAGCAAGAAGCCTCCCCTCTCTCTTCGAGACCCGAACGGCGACAGGTTCACAATACCAGCAACGAGCATGCCCAAAGACATACATGACGATGGGGGTTACATTTGTAAAGCGTGCGAGAACATCACGCTTGAGATCATGCGGGCCAGAGAAGGTTACCTGCATTCTGCGGACATCGGCGACCTGATCAAATCGGCTGAGGAATGTCCAATCTGCAACCTGATACAACAAGCTGTGTCTGCATCCTCCAGCGACCTTGTCCAACGCGGAACACGCCACACAAATGTGCGAGCTGTTATTGATGCATATGCACGCAAGACGGCACAGAAGGAAGGAATCTGTATCTCGAGGCCTACGCCGATCGTTTTGTTCCTGACAGAGTCTGATGAACTCGGACGGTTGGGGTTCTCCCAAGTCATGATCGGGACCGCTGCGTTCACGCTAAACCCCCCACGCAAAGTCTTCGGTCTGCCGCTCGAGGTTCTGATGCTGCATGGGGACTCCTGGGATGGGCCGCAGCCAATTTTACCAAGAGGCAGCGAGCAAGAGGTTCTGTCACGCTTAGCGGCGTGGTTACGCCAAAGACAATCCGAGGTGCCATCTTGGAGCACACAGGCTGACGAAAAGCCTCTCCCAACTAGGATCCTGGATCTCGGTGACCCGAGTGATTTTGATGCTGAAGATGATTCGCCCAAAACTCGTCTCATTGAAACATCTGGAAAGCTAGGGCACTATGCCGCTCTCAGCTATGCTTGGGGAGGATACAAGGCATGCCGGACGTTGAGAAGCAATTACGAAGATATGTTGCTCGGTATCGAATTTGAAAGTCTGCCCGCGGTCTTTCAACAAGCAATAAAAGTTACCAAAGGCTTGGGACTACGCTATCTCTGGATCGATGCTATCTGCATTATCCAAGAAGACGCCGACGACTGGAGCCGTGAAGCAAGTCTTATGGCTGCAACCTACTGGAACTCGGCGATCCGCCTTGCAATTTCGGACTGTCAAAACCCTACCGAAGACTTTTTTCCTCCAAAGCAAATTCCGTCCGTCAAGTTGTCACACCTCAAAGCTCCTGAGCCACGAGTTGGCTGGGAAGGTATAAGTGAGCGGGGGCGATCGGTGTCGGACCAGGAGGAATTTCGAAGGAAATGGAAGCAATTGAAAACACAAAAGATACCTGTTTCAATACAATCAGAAGGAATTGGCGGGCGCTCAGCGTTATTACGACCAGGTGGTGGTGGAGAGGGAAGCAAAGGGACGAATCACTTTGTTCGTGATGGAAACAGCATCCGAAGGTTGGGAGATCAACGCCCGTACTCAGCAACGCATGGCGATACACTCCCAAAAGCATCAAGCTCAGATCAAAATGAGGAGTTATCTGCTGAAATTTCGACGGAGACAGGTGGTAAGACTGGCGATGCCGACACAGAAACGCTAAGACATATCCACGATATCCAAGATCGGGCTTGGGCATTCCTTGAAGAGCATTGGCAAAAGTCCGAATGTTCCCAGGCCAGACCATCGAGACACTCATATCTCACATTCTCACCCTCTTATTCTTCCGATATCAACATGGCCAGTCTGAACTCTCGTGGTTGGGTTCTGCAGGAGCGTCTGCTTGCGCCAAGAACAATCCATTTTACGAAATACCACATATACTGTGAGGATAGTGACGATATCTGTGGCGAGGATTGGGTGCGCCAGAAGTTCATTTGGATGAGCTGCATTGTCAAACCGGCAAACCGCGCTCAGGTGGATTTATTTCCGAGCAGGAAGTTCGGCTCCTCCGTCTATACGGAACGTCATCTTGGGTCAGAAGAAATATCGATTTGGGCTCAGCGGTCGCTCTACACTAGAGAATCTGTACCCAGAGTCGAGTATCCATGGTTGAAAATTGCGGAGGCGTTCAGCAAATGTCAGCTGTCTTACCAGACTGACCGTCTTGCCGCCATTGCCGGTCTCGTCATCCAGAAACAGTCAGACGTCGATGACATATACGTCGATGACCGCAACTTCTGTGGGATGTGGGAGAAGACTTTGCACATTGAACTAGGATGGGTTTCAGCCGGCAAAGGTTCTCTAGAGTACGTGCGAGAACTCAAGTTTCCGTCGTGGGCGTGGATTTCATATCGTGGAACCATTGCCTTCGCCAAAGATCAGACCTCAACTTCTTCGGAGAGTCGCACGCCACCGCTGCACACTCGGGCATTTGAACTCATTGAAGCCGAAGCTCCAGAGCTCACGACCACAAAACCACTCACCGCACCAGCAAGCCTGACGCTCAAGACTAGACTGAGAAAAGTCCACGCAGTTTCGTTGTCACCAACAAGCTACGGACTTGAACAGCTATCACGGGAAGAGTTAAAGAAAGTGTCACCATTTCACTTCGACCCACGAACAGATTCGATGCCTATCCCACTATCGCATTGGTCTACGTGCCGAGACATGGTCACCAGTTGTAAAAAAGTCATCGGGTTCCTGTCACTTGATGACGATATTATGGTAGCAGAGGAGCTCTTTTGCGCCCATGTCTCGACGTTGACGGATGAAGCAACCTCCGATGCACAAAAAGAAGCTTGTGAGACAGGAAAATCGATCGAATTGGGAGCGTATCAAGTTCCTGTCTTAGCATATGCTTTAGTCGTCATGAAAGTTGCAAAGAGCGAAGATGTATGCGAGTTTCGGAGAGTGGGATTTGCAGAGGTCAACTACCATTGGATGATGAATGGGGTAGAGACTGTGCTGAGAGTCTTTTGAGAGTCCAGTCTACTGAAATACTTCTGCAAAAGTCACCTGGTGACTTTTTGCTATTCATGAGACTGTCTTTTGATTACTCTTTGAGTCTTTTATTGTTCCTACATGGGTTTCTGGGACTGTAGTTGGTGTATCTTCGGGCGGAACCAGGTGGCCTTGAAGGAGACTTTCTCAATATATTGGATTGGTTTCTCAACTTCTGTCCAGTCCGAATCAACTGGAGTCACTTGAATCTGGCATACACGCATACTAGGTAATAAAGCTGTTCAAAACTGTACAATCTCCCACAGTGCTAATTTCGTCCTTTGACTAGTCAGACTTCTATGAGAATCACATCTTTCGCAGAACAACATGATAGACAAATGCATACCACCATAACCCGTGGTCACACATTGGTCTTGAGATCTGACGAACAATCTGGCCTTCCCACTGATGCTACAGACACCACATTCGCTCTTTCAGTCGCTTCTTTTTCTTGGATTAAGGTTGCCGCTCCCATTTTCAAAGGTTCTTGAGATGCTTCCTCAGCTTTTGAAATCCCGAAGTTTTGTTCATCGTCCTGATTGGTTGTTCTCTTCTTGTGCTCTTGCAGTGCCTTCAAGAGTTTGACAGTAGGCACAATCATCACGGCGGCAAGCACACTAAACGTCGGGATTAGTTGAAGTTCTCGGACCTGATCCAAAGACTCAAGCTTTAACTTCGAATAAACCCTACTCACCTTTCGCCATAATTCAAAAAGGTCGAGACGGTATCCAGCGTCATCCTTTTCGGTCCCAAGCCCTGGATTTGGTTTAGTCCTCCAAGAATGGCGAAGATGCCCCTAGCAAATTTGAGCAACGTTTAATTGACTGTCAGGGCAATGGTGTTGTACGCACGCAGCTATTGCAAAAAGAGGATTTGCTATGAGCATCAGGCGAACATGCCATTCCGACGCGGTGAGTTTGAGGTCGTTGAGATAAGCTGAGCTTGCTATAAACGCCGGCACCGCGATGCCCATCTGTCAAATTTGCGATGATAACATTAGCTAACAATCCCACGATAAACCCAAATAAGATGAGAGCATACCACAATGCATTGCGCAAGCTCTTCAGGCTGCTGTTTGCCATGGTCCAGATAAAGTCTGACTGTAATGCTCAGGGATGCAATTACAAGAAATGAGAGAAAGATAGAGCACACCGCGCAAATATCCGTCAGCCTGGTGAAACTTGATTCCATTTTTTCGAAAGTGAGTGACTGCACGAGTAGCTCGAACTTGACCGTGTAAATCTTGACAATTAAAACGACCATCTACATCCTCAACTCGGAGCAACTCATGGCCAAGATATATCCTGATTAGCAAGCCACGACCGTCAAACTTTGGCCGTTCTCGCCATTATTCTGAGCGAAAATCGCAAGCATGCCGAGAATGTCGAACGTGGTGTTTGCAAGATAGCCACCGACTGCCTAATATCCTGCAGTCTGCCTAGCGGTTGAGGATCCAGCTGGATATACGATCGCTTGAATTCACCAAAGCAAGCGTAAGATCGCTTCTTTAGGGCTATGCTAAGGCGGAATGGCTCAGTCGCGTGTGTTGAGTCACGTCTCAGCCGCATTTGGCAAGTGTGTGCGTGCGGAGAGAGCTGGCACGTTGGCTATGTGGTGGACACATTCTTTAGTGAAAACCGATTTCGAAGTCCAGCGAGGAAATTGCAACCGATGGACTGGGTGGAAAATGCGGAAAAAGGTTTGACGGAGGCGGACATCAATAACTTGAAGCATGAGATTTCTCAGGCTGACTGTTAGAAGAATCGCTATGTTGGTGGACTGGCGAACGAGTTCGTTCAATTCCGATTGCATCCCCAGAGTTAATTAACACTGAGACGACAGCCATGACTTTTGCTTTTCCTGTGTTTAGTTTCGTCGGTTTCGTCTAGCAGCGTTACGCCAAGAGCCACAAGAACGAAATCCACGCCGCGACTCGATTTAGTCGAAAAGCATCTTATTGAATTTTCGCCCCAAACTCATCCGGCGGGCAATAATCACAGATAAGCCACAGTAAGGTATGAGGGTACTCTTTTTTTCTTGGTGCACCCATCAAGTCCTGGCACTCGTTGCGTGACGCAGCATTTTCCCATTCATTTTTCGCGGGGCTGACCGGCGTCGGACCTCCGAAGCGGGGCCGAGTTCGGTCAAATTGCCGTTCTGATCTCCATTGACGGAGGACTAATTGAGCTTGCTACAGCGACGAGAGTGACATTATTGCAAATCGAATACTGTCCGACTTAGTTTAGTTTCTCAAAATCACGTGTACGTTTCGATCATCTTACCCGAGAGATTTACTCTCAGTACCAACCCATCTTCGAGTCACGGAGGATTCCACGGAAAACCCTGTTGGACATTCTGCTACACGTATCTACACTAGTGCGGTATGCTGTACTCGAGAGCATTTGCAGAATGACCATAATCTTCATTCCAGCTTTGAGAACAATGATGGCGCGGCCGATTTACTGATTAATTGAGGCCTGGAGTTGAAATGGAAGAATTGTCGGCAAATTGCAACCGAGCACCTTGTTTTCCGCGGCGAGGTGCAAACACAGACCGTGGGCCGCGGACCGTGGAGAGACACTGTGACCAGCAGCGTCACCCCTGACTCGCCGGTACTTGCAGCCAGGCCCCTGTCTGACCAACACTATCGAAGTCGCGAAAGGCGATAGCGGCGGGCAACGCTCTCATCAACGAGTGTATATCACCTGGATCTTGGTTTGTTTGTCCCTGGTTGGCGAAGCAAACCAATATTGATTATCACAGAATCATGTCAGCAAAGTCAGATAGAGGTCAAAGTTGGCAGTGGACTTTGGGACTTCCCTTAGCTGCAGCCGGGGCCTTGGCTTACCTTTGGTCTGGGCAGACCGCGGGGTTGTTGTCTGGCCACTCAACCAAGTCCAAATACAGCCCGGTAGCGTCTGTCACGATCAACCAAGGCACTATCCTTGGCAGACTAGTGACCGACGGCACGTTCCCTGAGCCGTTGGAAGGCTTTATGGGAATTCCGTATGCTCTCCCTCCCGTCGGACAACTCAGATTCAGACATGCGGTTCCCGTGGCGGCTGGCAATGAGACAATTGAGGCATACGAGTTGGGTCCAAGGTAGGTTCTGTGCAACTTTAACGTGATGATGGCAATCATGTACTAAGTGCGAAACAGATGCCCTGGGAAACAGCTTGTGCCGTTCACCGACGATGAGTGGCTCGGCCCGGACTGGGAGAGCGAGGATTGCTTGACTATCAACGTCTATCGTCCTAAAGGTCACACAGCCTCCAACAAGAAATTGCCGGTCGCGGTGATGATTCCTGGCGGTGCCTTCAACCGAGGTGCAGCCAGGATGCACAACACTCCGTCCATGTTGGCTTGGTCCGAAGAGCCGTGGATCGGAGTATCGATGCAGTACCGCATCGGTGTTGCTGGTGGCATGAACACTGCCTTGACCAAAAAGGAGGGCCTTCTCAACCTGGGTCTTAAAGATATGTACGTTGCGCTGGGGTGGGTTCAGAAGAACATTGCTGCTTTTGGCGGAGATCCTGATGATGTTACTATTATGGGATTGTCGGCTGCGGCACATGGCGTGAGTTCCGTTGACAACCAATGTTGAAAGCTTCATACGCTGACACTATTCAGATCGGGCACCTCGTCATGGACGTGAACCAAAAGAAGAAGCTGTTCCACAAGGCCATCATGGACTCTGGTGGTCACACCGCACGTGTGGTGCATCCGCCCGAGTCTAAGCTGAACGAGGCGCACTTTCAGCAGTTCCTTGAACTCACTGGGTGCGGGAACCGTCCTGAACATGAAATCCTTCCTTGCCTTCGCGCACTCCCGTCATCTACGATTATTCAATCGGGTCAGAAGGTGTACGAGGAGTCCAATCCTTCGGTTCGCTGGGCATGGCAACCCGTTCTCGACGGAGACATCATCTCAAGACGTCCTATTGACGCATGGAAATCCGGCAAATGGAACAAAGTCCCATTATTCACCGGATCAGCGCACAACGAGGGCGCAATGTACGTGCCCAAGTCCGCGTCTACACCGGAAGATTTTGCAGACTTCTTCCGTACCCTCTTACCGCAACTTTCCGAAAAGGAGATCGGCGAGGTTGAGAAGCTCTACCCTGATCCCTCCAAGTATCCGGAATCAGAGTACGTGGAAACACGGCCTCTCGACATTGGTCCTCAGTACAAGCGAGCCGAAGCGGCCTACGGACACTATGCGTACACCTGTCCAGTCCGCCAGACTGCCATCTGGGGGAGCAAGTCACCTGAGGATCCTCCCGTGTATCTGTATCACTGGGCGTTGAACAAGACTGCACTCTACGGTGCCAACCACGGCGATCAGATGCGGTATCAAACATACAACGCTGAAGTCAGGTCCATCTCACCAAGACAGGATGAGATTGCTGGTCTCATGCACGCGTATGCCACTTCTTTCATTGTCCATGGTGATCCAAACAAGATCCAGGGCAAATTCGAAAAGCGCCCGGAGTGGTTGCCGTTCGCCGGAAAGAAGGGCAAGGACGCGGGAAAGACGATGATATTCGGCGAAGGGAATGACGAGCGGGCTGGGGGCTCCAATTTGGGTACCTCGGCAAAGTTCGTGGACTACAAGTGGGCAGAGAAGGAGTGCAACTTCTGGTGGAAGCAAACAGAGAACTTTGAAGATTAGAACTCCAACATGACTCTCCGAAACATCCTCATAAAACAAATTCTTCTTGAACTGGTAATCAGCCGTTTTAGATTTTGAACGCTCATGCTTTCAAGCCCCTTCATCTCAAATCATGTGTGAGCTCCCGACTTTAAGATAATCTCGCTGGATTACTCGACAAGAAGAGCAAAAGTCATTATTCGTTATCTAATCGTACATATGGCCGTATCTTCATTCTCAGCATGCATTAGAACATGTCCCAGAGATTCGGGAAAAGCTCGTCGATGATCGGAACCTCCGACGACATCATGAGCTGCTGAAACTCAGGAACCGTCGCCGAAGGGCTTTCTACAGTCAACAGCTTCTCAACCACCTCAGCATACTGTGCTAGGCAGAGCTCTCCGAGATCCCAGCCTGAATTCTGCTGATGGGACTGCAGAGAGTCGATCAAATTCCTCGCCAACTTCAGAGACGCGCTCTGGGCCAGCCCTCCCGCTGTATTTTCAGTCTCCAGCGCACAGCGCAGCAGAAAAGTGATGGCGGACGTGAACGCGAATGCGCTCACGGGCAGCCAGAAATCATTCAAGTGGATCTCCTCAAGCTCCTGAACCAACATGACGATCTCCTCCGCGGCGCGGCGAACTTGGATGTATCTGTTCGTCAGCGCGTCGCCAGGCACGGCGTCCTCCTGCTTTTCAATGTCGAGTTCGATCCTTCTGCGGAGCAACTTTGTAGACAGATAGGCTAGTCGCAGGTTTGCGGCGCCAGGGATGTGTAAGTTGTTGCCGCGGGTGATTATCCTTCTGACATCGTCGCCGAGAGAGTCTTCCCATTGGCCCAGGCTGAGTTCCAGTCCGAGTGTGGTTTGCCCGTTATCGTGCTCTCGCTCTTGGTTCAGGTCGTAGACGAACTCCAAGTACTTGTCCAGGACCCCGGTCAAAGTGACGAGCGCCATGAATACCGAAGCAGCACCAATCTCCGTCTCAGTGGCATCTTTGCTTATCAGATACTCCAATGAAGGATCTGGTACGTCATATTGGAAACGTTTGATTTGTGGCGGTGTGCCATATGCAAGGCTCAGCCTATGAAGGGTTGGTGTTAGTCGGAGTCTTTGTCAAGGTGCCAGGGAGACTCTTACCATTTGTCGTGCACCACCAATGCCCACCATATCTTCATTCGAAGACACTTCTCTGGGATGGAGATGTTCCAGTCCGTAGGATCACGATTGAGTCCTAGTGACTGCGCCAGCGACACAGCGGCTCCAAGCTGGATCTCGTTCATGATCATGGAGGTGGTTGGCCGGCCACCGACGTTAAGAATAATGGCGATGATTGTAGAAATTCCGGGGGAAATATGCAGCTCGGAAAACAAGGTTTCTGTTGCTTGGTTCCAGATAAAGCGTGAGTCGGGACAATATTCTGACGGAAGGTCCGGGGAACCTTTCCAAAAGATCATTGAATGAGCGTAAAGAACAGACAATAGTGCCGGGGAGATTCTGTCTCTAGCTGTTTGAAACTGATGCTTGAAAGACATCTCATCCAAGAGTGGGAAACAGATGTTGACCTTTTGGAAATACCTGCATTCAATGGTCAGTAAGCTGCATCATGAACCATATGATGGCAAGACTCAATAGTAGGGTTATCGTCAAGGTAATGTGGGGTGAGATACAAAACCTCAAACCCGGCGTGCCAACGACACTCCAGATATCAGGATTCTGGCACAGATAAAAGAATCAAAAGCCTCACTTACAAGTCAATGAGAGTTGATGTCCATGGTTCAAGCATCTTCTCCACAATCTGATACTTCTGCAACGGAGCCGTCTGTCTAGGTGCAAGACCATAAGGCCTCTTGCGAACCGCAGTGAAAATGACAGGCTTCCGGATACCGCTCGACAGAGACATCGATGGACGAGGTGTCTGACCCCCCTGCCCGGGTCTGGGCTTCACCACACGAATCATTCTCTCATGAATACTTGGTTCAGAACTCAAATAGTCCGCCAATACCTGCGTGTCATTTGTGACCGCCGGCCCAATAATGTGCGAGTTGTCCTCATCCTCGGGACTGTCCAACGCAAGCATCAAGTGCGGATTATTCGGACTGAGCATAACCTTGGGCCCTGAGCTGGATGTCGTGCTGCCGCTCGTCGGTGGAGATGTGGAGGTCGTTCTCACATGTATGCTGTTCTGGGGTGCTTTAGCCGATGCCAAAGGCTCCCTTCGACATGGCGTGTTCGACTGGGGGGTCCGGTATGCCTTCTGGACTTTTCCGGGGTTCAGCGGTGCGCGGCCTGCGCTTCGCGGCGATGGCGGAAACTCGCAGTCAGTGCCGTACACATGGCACATCTGACATGTCGAAGAACTGATCCCCTCTTGTTGCTGGCATCGTGACTTGCGCCGTCTGCACTGCAGGCATGCCGGGCGCAAATGGGACCGGTATGGCCGGGGCGTCGGTTGGTCTGCTGATACTGTCGACATCGTGTCCTTCAATGAAGTCGTCTACAGTTTCGCTGTTCTGTGGTTGCGGAGTCCGGATATCGGCTGATGACTCGGGCAAAGGTTGAGTGGGAGTTGCGTTGTTGATATTTCCCCGCGGAAAGCTCCACAACCACTATCATGGCAAATTCCCGATCAAGGCCGCTAGCGTTGACATCGCTGTTAGTCAATGCGCAAGCTGATAAGGCGGAGGTTCACCGAGATGGCTCCACTTGGAGTTTCCAACGTCGAGTTCGTCTCTTCGGCCTCTACATCTGAATTCCGGAACCATTGGGTTTACCGATGACACACAGTGCCCACGGCAACTCCACCCGCTCTCCACGACGATTAACCCGGCGGCCTGTCTTCCTACACTAGCTCCATTCCAACGCGGGGAAGCCTCTTGTGCTTCTCGGAGCTTATCAGCTGATGGATCCTGTTACCAGGATATCATATTGCGTGGCCATGAGTTATCGGCTGATATGTTATCTGCAACCTATACCATTAACAACCGAGCATTTAGCAGTCCCGGGCTATCAGTTGATATCTTATCGAGTTAGGGAGCGAGTTACTGGTGGTCTGAAAGCCAATACCGGCTATCATTTGTCCCTTGTAATTACAATGAATAAAAAGACTGCCACAACCTAGCCGTTTTCCGCTTCGGAAAAGTCTAGACAACTTGCCCTTGTCGGAGAACTCAACAACTCCAACAACAGCTTACTTGACTTGTTCAAACTGTTTTGACGATAATAGCAACTCCCTTTCACTAGGTCGAGTTGCGTCCACAAGCCCATCGCGTGCTCAAGCACATCATTTGATCCCACTCACGACCCGCCAGACCGGTCAGACTTCCCCGGACTCCACAATGGCAGTCGAAACATCCATAAACGATGGGCAACCAAAGCCGAAAGACCCTGAAATTGCGGAGAAGCGAACGTCCATCGCGGGTAGCGTCGGCGAAGACCTCAAGGCTGGGCAGGTAGAGCTCCTCGATGAGGCCGAGATCTTCCTGCAGCAGAATGGCATTCCCCACTCGCGGCTTCGGGAACTCCTTGACGACGAGGAGGCTCAAAAGAAGCTTGTTCGGCACATCGACTTGACGCTTCTTCCCCTGCTTATGGGAACTGTAAGCCTCAAACAAGCTCACGTTCACTGACCCGATTCGCTGATCACCTCATAGTATCTCCTGCAGTACATCGACAAGCAAGCATTGAGCTATGGCGCAGTTTTTGACCTTTTCGAGACCACAAACACATCCTCCAGCCAGTACTCGTGGCTCGCCAGCATATTCTACATTGCATACCTCGTCTCGGAGTGGCCGGCGAGTTATCTTGCGCAACGCTTCCCCACTGGCACAGTTGTCAGCATCATGGTCCTCTGTTGGGGAACCGTCTTGACGTGCACTGCGGCATCCCACAGCTTTGCTGGTCTGGCGGTTTGTCGGTTCCTCCTTGGCTGCTTCGAAAGTGTCATAACCCCGGCGTTCATGATGGTTACGAGCATGTGGTATACTAGGAAAGAAGCCCCAGTACGCGCGGGAGCCTTTTACTGCTTTAACGGCGTAGGCTCAGCCGTAGGTGGCATTCTCTTCTACGGAGTCGGCCAGGCCGACGGGTGGGACGTATGGAGAATCATCTTTATAATGTGCGGTGGCTTGACTATTGTTTGGGGCATCATCCTCTTCTTTTACCTTCCCAACAATATTCTTACGGCCAAGCGGTATACCGTTGAGCAGAAGGCCCTCCTGATCGCCCGCAGCCAAAGCAACAAGACTGGTGTCTTCAGCAGCAAGATCAAGCCGGCCCAGATCAAGGAAGCTTTCAAGGATCTCCAAGTCTGGCTCTTGTTCTTTTACACCCTACTCAACGAAATCGTCAACGGAGGTATCGCCAACTTCGGCAAGTTGATTGTCAAGGGTTTCACGAAGGATGCTCTTCTGACCACTGCTTACGGTATTCCATACGGTGCCTGGGTTGCGTTCTTCATTTTCACTGGACCTTTCTGCGCTTCGAGATTCAAGAATTGCCGGACTATTGTCATGATGACATGGGTGCTTCCAACTATGGTTGCTGTCTCTCTATTCTTGAAGTTGGACAGAGGCAACAAGAACGGTCTGCTGATGGCCTACTATATCGTAAGTTGAATTTCCAGCCGCCGCTAAACCATGGCTAACCCTGTAAAACAGAGTCCATCTTTCGTCGGCGCCTTGGTTGTTGCCCTTCAGATGCCCTCTGCCAACGTGGCAGGCTACACTAAGCGTGTGACCTCGACCGCTTTCGTCTTCCTCGCCTACTGTGTGGGCAACATCATTGGACCCCAGGCTTTCCTCGCGTCCGAGGCGCCCATCTACGGAACAGGATGCAAGGTTATCATGGGATGCACAGCTGGCCAAGTTGTGATCGCGATAGCCATTCGCTTGTTGCTTATTCGACGTAACAAACAGAGAGATGCTGAAGCCGCGGCGAACGGGAACAATGTCGCAGACGAGGACGACGAGGTGCTTATGGACTTGACGGACTTCGAGAACAGAAAGTTCAGGTACTCATACTAGATGTGGTATAAAATGTATCGCACTCCGATACCAGAGAAAACAATGGATTCGGAACATTTAGCGAAGCTTAGCGTTGGATTTGATAGTATTTGTCATAAAGCACGACATGGAGGTTCAAAACTTCAAACCCCAGCAATCAATGTGTTCACGCCTGGTCTTGAGCATATCATGACACTGTCTGTGAAACCAGAAGATGATGTCATGTAAATCATATTGAAGTCCCTCATGAGTGCTTGAGGATGTCGATAGCGCAACTAGTTGCACCCGAGGATTGCCGAAGGGCATGTCCGCTTAATATGAATTCTAGGAAGGCCTTTTAGCCGTTTCGACTGAACGTGAACCGAGGAGCTCCCAGGAGTCGCCTTGCTTTGAGTTCTTAATCTTTCTGGGTCATCCGCTGTATGCCAGGCTATGGGATATTAGATGTCTTGGACAAATATGAACAAATGCAAACATGAAGCCTGTTGTGACATTCAGTTCGTAGGGCTTTTTGAAAGAAAAGAATCCTCGCGTCTTCGGCTTTTGCAGTTTTCCAGGAAGAGACTGACATCCGCTCGATTAAAAGTCCGAGAAGCCACAATGTCTTCATAATCCCCACCCGAATGATTCATGTTCCCCGGATATACGGATTTACATCGGAGTTGACTTCATCCATCTTAAGCATAGCCACCCAAGACATATGATGATTTCGCACGATTACGAATGCTTAGATTGGTTGAAGCAGAGTTTTCAGGCCCGATTGGGCGCATACTGCGATGATTCAAGTGGAAAGCCTGTCCTCGTTGAAGAAGGTGAAGCCTCGAGCTTCATGTTCTCTGAGAGGAACATAAATCACCTCTTAGCAACGAGACGGTTTCCCAAAAGTACAAGTTCCAGGTCAATCATCAACACACGGATTTCAGAGCACCAAACTTCTACTACCAAATAATTCTAATTTGAGGTCAAACGTGCATCACATTTTTCTCGACACATCAAACAACATGAAAACTACCGGCGACACTTCAGTCAAATCAGCCCCCATAAGGCAAGATGAAGGTGGAGACACTATTCACTGCAACGACCTAAGATGGCTACCTCTCGCCCCGAAAGTTTGGATCAAACTCATCAAGCTGTCACCCGAGACAGGCGCCTACACTGTCATCGTCCGGGCCGAGAAAGGAGGCGTCCTTCCCCGTCACCGACACATCGAAAGCGCCGAAATCTACGTTATTCGAGGCGATGGCAGACATCCTCAAACCGGGCACTTTGCCCAAGGCGACTACGTATCGGAAAGAAAAGGCGCGGTCCATGACCCGCTTGTGTTCGACGAAGAGGTGGAAATGTTGATGATGAGCAGTAGCCCGTCGGCGTTCATTGACGACAAGGGTAACGACTTGTTCTTGATGGACGTTCCAATGCTGCAGCGGTTGGAGGCGTCAACATAGGTCTTGCAAGCCAGCTTCAGAGACAGCGTGACTTGCGCGGAGAAGTGCTGTAGGCAGCCAGATGGATGTTTGGGGGTTATTAGGATGCATCACAGGGACAGAACTTACGACGCGATTCAAGTTCGTAAACAGAGCTAAGGTTTCGGGGTTCTCAAATTACGATGCCAATATGGCTATCACGCGCGACGTTTCTATGTCTAAGGGCAGAATTCTAAGTCCTTTAAGTCCTTCAACTCCCGCTATGAAAGATCTCTAAACGCAACTGATTGGTCTTCTAAAGCTTGGCAATGCCAAAGCCATCTCTCTTAGAACGGCCGAGCAGTCCTCTCGAGATGTCCTTCAAGCTTGCTGTACCCATCAAGGCCATGGTTCTGTGCAGCTCTCGTTCAAGAATATGGAGAACACCCTCCACACCCTTCTGGCCATCCCACGCCAAGCCCCAGAGAGCCGTTCTACCGATCAGGCACAAGTCTGCACCAAGGGCCAGGGCCTTGAACACGTCGCTGCCGCGAGTGATGCCGCCGTCCACAATGACGGGAATCTTGCCCCGGACGATATCCACAATCTCGGGCAACGCCTCAAGCGTTGCTGGTACATCATCGAGCTGTCGACCGCCGTGATTTGACACAATGACGGCATCTACACCAGCCTCTACAGCCCTCTGAGCATCTTCCGCTGTGATGATACCCTTGACGATGATCTTCATCTTGGTTTGAGAGCGCAGCCAAGGAATGACCTCGCTCCACTCCAGGCTGGCATCAACGAGGGATTCGCGGTGCTCGTCGACGATCTTGTTGTATTCCGCCGCAGTCTCTGCGCGGAGGAGCATACCGGCCTTGGAGATAGCACCGACCCTTCTCGATTCCATGTTCGCCATGGAAAGTCCAGGCGGGAGCTGAAGCGGCGTCTTGCGCTCTTGAATCCGGTTCCCCAACACTACCGTGTCCACGGTCAAAACCAGCGCTTCGTAGCCCGCCTCTTCAGCACGCTTAATCAGGCCAGCTGTCAAGTCACGGGCGCCGAGGAAGTAGAGCTGGAACCACGGCTTAGGATACTCGGGGCCGCGCTCGGGAACGGCTTTGGCAACATCCTCGAGGGATGTGGTTGCGTTGCTGGACAGGGTGAGGTTGGTTCCGACATTGAATGCGGCACGAGCAACGTCAAGCTCACCCTCGCCGCCTACGAGTTTCTGGTATGCGCTTGGTGCGATCGCGATCGGGATATCGTAGCGTTTGCCGAGGACGGTGGTTGAGGTATCGATCTTGGAAACATTGCGGAGGACTTGGGGCCGGAGAAGGAGCCTACATAATAGTTTAGCAACGGGAAGGGGTGAAAGATCCATGCGCGGTCGCCTTACTCTCTGAATACAGCTTGGTTGCGCTCGAGCGTGTGCTCATCGTCTGCGCCGGTAATGTAGTAATCCCACACCGGCTTGGGTAACCGTGCCTTAGCAATCTCGTAGACGTCGGAGATCGTGACGGGCTTCGCCGGCGCGTCTTTGATAACAGCCATGTTGAATGCGACGTGGGAGAGAAGTTGACGATTGACTCAATTGATGAAAAAAAGGTGGTATTGAAAGAGTGAATCTGAGTAAGTTCGATGTTTTCGAACACGATCGTTGTTGGCAATATATTCCGAAATTCGGCGTCGCGACATAGCAACACCCTGACTTCTATGGCATCATCGGTCACGAACGAGCGGACGTCCGACGCGCCGGGCCGTGTCAGCTCGGCGGTTCGGTGTCTCCGTTGCCGATGTCGGAGCGGCCGAATGGTCGTCGGCGGGCCTCGGTGAGCAAGCGGTGACACGGCCCGGTTCATAATCGCCGTAAATTACTCAAACCGGAAACTCCAGCATTTCCTCCCGCGTCCAGTATTTCCGCATATTCTCAGCGCTCAGCATCTCAACCTCCTGATCCAAATGCAGTAAAAGTACGTCGCCCCAGGTATCCAGCTTGCTCTTCAACGTCGCGAAATCAAACGTGATTTTGCGGGACCGACACTTTTCCAAGTATTCTTGTAAGGCCTGAACACCATGGTGTATTTGACGGTGCTGCTCCAGAGCCACTGCGTCATCGCCTTGAAACTCTGGCATTTTGCGTGCTAAGAGAGGAAACAGGAGTGTTTCTTCGATGTCGTGGTGGTGCACCAAGCGATAGCAGAAAAATAGCCCCTCCCTGACGACCTGCTCGTTAGTGAGCTTTGTAGGGACGTCAGCAGGGGTGTTGCAGGCATCGTGAAGACGCTTCCAAGTTCGCCGGAAGTAATTATGCTGCTCCAAAAGTCAGACAAGTGATATTTCCAGCGCGGCACAAGTTACGCAACCAAACTCACGTAATTCTGCATCATATCCGACAAACGGTTAAACACTCCAAGATCTGAGGGAGGCAACGGCAACATTGGGGGCTCCATTTCCGGGGTCTTGCGCAGGCGACAGGATGGTGGGGGTGCTTGCAGGTTGAGCCTCTCTGTCGTTGGCAAAGACTTACCTACCTACATCACTGATACTGACGTGTGAACATGAAAAAGAGAGTTATATCTCATCAACTGCGCGATTCTCGCTTTCGCGCTTTCGCTGCATACGCTATGCCCGAGTGACAGGCGAGTCATTGGGTTGGATCTTGCGCTAGTACATGGCGATTTGCTGCTGTAATCAGCGTGGTCCGTCACGTAATCAGCACTCACGGCCATTGCCCCATTTACAAGCATTGCAAGTTTGGAACTACCATTCGTCAAGAAGAATCTTTGTAAATTTGTCATCTACACTCATGATTCCGATAGAAGATACGTTGATGTTACTCCGCAGCTTGAGTAGCGACACCACCAGTCCACGTAAGCTTCATGACAACAAGAAACGCTGAGAATGTTGCTTCAATGTTGTCTTCCTCTCACAGACGGCATCTCATAAACTATGCTTTACGCTCTAGTATCTTGTATGCCCACACCGAAGTGACCCAATATCATGGGCGTTTGAGTGGCAGTGACTTCCCATGAAGGCCATTACTTGAAACCACGAATATGAAGCGACAGTAATCCCAAATCTCAGGCGGAAAATCAATCTGAACATTGATTTATGGTCTCGTACATGTAAGTGTCAACCTGAAATTCATTCATACCATTGACTTCAAGTGGCTGGTTTCAATGGACTTAGCCTAGAGCCTGCAAAAGTACCTGTGATATAAAACACTCCGTTTCTCGAATCTCGACATAACCGTTCATAAATAGAACGAACATGTCGTCTGCTTGAGTGCAATGCAACCTGAGGCCATCTTAATAATGAATACGACGGATAGCATAAGCTTATGCCCAACTCTCATTTGCAACAGCAACGCTAAAGCTCAAAGGCATGGGCAGCAAGATAGGAGATTACATGTATGGCCAGTACGTTCAAGTTATTTTATTTTCAGTGGCAATATGTTCGAATACCAAGCTGAGATGCGACTCTTGCAGGATGAAGTTCATAAGACCACGCTGACATTGATGGGGTTGCAATACGAACTGCTGTCAGCGTTCAATTCTATCTAATTCTCTTGGCTAGCCAATCATTCGACAAACAGTGCGGGCCGCGCCGTGAACTGAGGCGATTAGGAAGGTGAAGTTGTGCACCCGGACTTATTTCATTGGCTGACTCGGTCTTCTGTCGTGAACGTTGCAGAATCCTTCGCCGTCAGCAATGCAGCATCCAGAACGGTAACTTAGTGCGAGCTCTTCAGCTTCGATTTCATAGCCCATGATAAAGTGAGGAACTGCGGGAGAAATCAATTCTATAAAGGTTCGGCAACCACCAGGTCGTTTCTGTCCCATCTGCTTCCCCAGGACACCACTAGCGCGTCTACATCTCTAGGCAACGGCCTAAATCGCAATCATGAAGCTTCTGAGTCTTGCTCTTCTGGCCCCCTTCGTTTCCGCAGCCTGTGATACGAGCAAGAACGAGATCAGTCTCACGTTCATGTTGAGCAACTTCTACGATTATGAAGTAGAAGAGTTCTGCCCGGTAGCCGGAAGCTGCGGTTAGTACCTGAACCTAGAACCCTATGACCGAACGCTGGTAAACCCTCACTTCCCAAAGATATGCTGACAAAGTCTCGTAGTGAACATGCCAGCCGGGCCTGACGAGTGGTCTCAAAAGGCAGACTGGGCTCTCATGAAGGCAAATACCTGCGTGAGGTTCTACAAGTATGTCACTTGGGCTTTTTTCCCCGTGATTTATATAACATTGACTATACAGAAAAACTAACATGTGACTTTCAGAGCGAACGACTGCCCGTCTGGTGTTGAAACATGGGAACCGCCCTGCTATGACACAGACTGGGCCGTTTTCATCCTTCAATCCTGGCAGGATGGTGCGATCAAGTCTTACACAGTTTTCAAGAAGTAGGACGATCACAAGTCAGTTGTCTTGCCCAAGCTTCGTCGCAGATATGGAAAGTTTTCGGCATGTAAAGGCGGTCACAGAGGTGAGGGACTTGCGTACTGTGAATCTATTAGTTGGACAGTGATCTTCGAGCAATCACATGTATCCTTCAATGGAGCTACTAGCTGTATGGTGAAAGTATACATAGATGTCTCTATAAATGCAAAAAGCACTCCGCGCATCGACGATTTCAAGTGGTCCATTGCCCGTAGCGCTTCAATTCTGTGACATGCCTAGCTCCAGTGTTCTACGCTGTTAACATCATCAACCTAGCTCAAGCTGATCGCGGTGTTGCTGCAGCTCTTATCTCTTGCACAGGCCAACGTATAAGCTCTATGTAAACAGAGGGAAGCAGAGACTCTATCACTCCCAAGATTGCCTCTGGTACCGAGTCGTCTCTGAGCCAGCATCTTTGATCCAAACGACTGAGAAGAACACACCAAAACGCCATCATTACCAATGCCTCGGGTCGTCTGTGTATGGACATGTCTCTCAGAAAGTTTTCGGAAACAGCGCCCGCAAACATCATTGCAGCAATCTTACAAGACGCATTGCCCGCCTTCCCAGCTATGGCGAAAGACCTCTGCAAAAGTCTGAATTCCTCCTCATACAATGATCGATTTTCTCCGTCCGACGCGAACGCTGATAGCCTTTCTTGCAGGGACTGAATCTCTCGATGCGACTCAGACATCTCGGATGTTGAAGGGTCAGCCCAGGAGTCCAGATTTGTTTGCAATGATGCCCAAGAGGAATTGGCTTCCAGAGGCCCTCTCAGTTGGCGGACTAGTGCAGTGCAGCCACGGATGGGAAGAATCCACTCAGGCGGTCCCGGAGGGTCGTTATTAAACAGAAGAGAAGCCGGGTCCTCAAAGGCGGCGAAGTAATAGTTTGACATGAGAGCAGAGCATGCGAAGAGAGCATGTGCCTGACTTCCCGCGTTTTCCGGCATCAGAGCGACGCCAAACTGGCTGAATGCCTTGGCTTGGTGGTCCCACGCAACACGCTGGTAGTTTGTCGGACTCTTCGGGTTGAGGTGGTGTAGATGTATAGCTGCTACGGCTAGGATCTCGTGTAACACGTAAGGATACTGAGGTGCTAGGCTGGGGAGATCAGATTTCCATGAGAACATGGTTTCCATCGCTTCGGGGCCATGGCTGAGGGCCATACAAGGCGTTGTTGATGTGAGGAAGTGGTGGAATAGACCGAAGTCTGAGGCTGCGAATGAGTTCACAATAGGCACAGGATCGTTTTTCTCGTGTGCATTCAACTCTGGAGAGGAGCCCGAGCCGCTTCTGGCTGAAGACAAGTTTGAGCCTGCGTTGGACGCATTGAGGCTGCAGTTTACAACAAACTTGACGCAGCGGCTGCATGGAATGTTCTCATCGCACTTTCAAGTTCAAAGCTGTTAGCTTCAGGCTTGTGATTTGATATGGAGAAGACATGTGACGAACCTTGATTTTCTTCCTCTTACACTCCTGGCATCCGTTGCGTGACTTCGTATGCGACCTTCGGGCTTGCCCCATTGTGTCTGATTTCTTGGAGCTCTTCCGAGAGGTCGAGGATAGTGCTTGAATGACTGACGTGATCATCCGCTGCAATGAGAGATGAACGACTGTGGTCGGGATGAGTGCAAGTATTATCGGGGAATCTGAGGTGAGAATCAACCGGTTAGTGTCTTTCATCGCCAATAACATCTTGGACTAGGGTTGATTTAGTTAGGGTCCATTCTATTTATGTTTCTAAGACTGAATAGGCAAGGTCTGACAAGTATCTCACTGCCGACCATGACGTGGGTTCCAATTACAATGCGCCAATTACTCCATCAACTACCCAAGGATGTTCATGCAATCGAAGTCGAAGCATATTCCTTGATTCATTTCCGCTCAAATGGCTGCTCCACATCCATCTGCTGTCTTTCATAGCTTCCACCATCCGCGTTGTTCGACAGTTTCGAGATGTTCATCGTCAAGATGCCGTTGATCACAAGAATGAGCGTGGCGGCCAGCTCCTCGAAGAGATACAGCCAGACCTTGGCGACGACCGAGCCTGTTGCAGCGCCGATGGAGCTGTTCTTCGTCGCGAGGTAAGCCAGCGTCGCAATGACCCTGACGCCCACGAAGGGAAGCGCAGCCAGCACAGCAACGAGCAGCATCGTGGCCGCTCTCTGCTGTTTGGATCGACCATCGGAACTAAGACCACCCAGGAAGACGGAAAAGCCTGCCGCAGCGAGGAGAATAACCCAGCTGAGGAAGAGAATGACGGCGCCGACGATGGCGATGGTCCAGCCCTTGGAGACGGTCTCCTGCGAGGCATTGCCCATGATTCTTGACATTCCGACGGCGACGAGGACAACACCGAGCATGGTGAAAGTGTGATATTTGAGGACGAAAAGGAGGTCTGTCCTGCGGTTGGCGTTGCGCTTCTCGGGATCGGCGTGGTAGAATTTCCTGTGGCAGATTCTGTTAGCATCGACGCTTTGGACTCACGCCTATGGTGACATGAGAGGATTGCTTACGCTTCATGAAGAACGCCAGATAACGCCAGCAGCAAAGGCGACAACCCGATGCTTGACACAATGGACGCGCCAGAGCTGGGAGTGTCACTCAGGGCCAGGCCAGAGCCGATGATTTTCAGACTGCAAAAGACGAGTAGGTAACCCCAACCCAAAAGCGCCCATCCTCGTGTGCCATGTTTATAGGTGACGAATGCTGTTGGGATTGATATGGTGATGAAGATGATGAGAACAGCGAGAGAGTATTTGTCGGAGACGGTCATGCTGTTGGGGCGACTGTGAAGAGGTAGGACTCGGGAGGTGGAAAAGCGTCGATAAATAACAGGGGATGGATATGGATTAGATAGAAAAGGCTTGTAAGCTCCAGTTGGATTGAGATATAAGATAAAACTATTGATGCGGAGCTGGACTGGCATACAACCACTGGCAAAGCCAAGGCTCTTATACAGATCTGTCCGTAAGACATAGTTTCCATTGCTCTGGCGGCGAGCCATGAAAAATTAGCTATTTCCCATTTCAGAGGTATTGAAACCCACATTCAAGTCAGGCAACAGCTCGGTGCTCCCGCAAAATGTCACTGCCTCACGATATCTTACATCCAGCGTCAACTTCATGCCTGACGCGGAATTCTCTGCCTTACGCGGAGGGTGCGCGACCCATCTCAGCCCTGACTAGCGGTAGATGCAGTCGGCCGCTGGGGAACAAAAACTGGGTTCGATCTGCACTCCCGAAAGGCACCAGCAATTGCAACGGGACTTTGATGGTGGGAGAAAAGGATAGGCGACAAAAAGCAACCAAGTCGATGGCAGCGACCGGAGAAAAGATGGGGCTTGGCATGAGCTTAGCAAGCTTAGCACCAGGCTAACGTTTTCACCGGCCGAATCGCCGATTTTTGCGCCTGAGACGGTTGATTGATGCCTTATGCGGTCGCGGACTACCGATAGGAGTTGCGATGTGGCGCAGAGAAGCCGCAGCAAGTGATAGACGGGGCGGATAACATCTTACTGGCACTCAGTCACATTGAGAGATGACGTTGGGTGCTTCGCTTATCGATGGAATCTGTAGGCTTCATATGTCCCCGAGAGGCCAAACCAGCACAACCTAGTATTGAGATTGGATACCGACGACACTGTTCAACTCCAAAGGTCCTTCCACATCTCCTTGAAACCGTAGTGAGGGGCTCTCGAATCGTAAATTTTTGCTGTGTGGCCCTCCTTGCCAAACCGATCGAAGATGGCCGCCCTGCCCGCGCCAGCTGAGTCGAACAGCGGTTTCACTGGTCTCGTTGCTCTCTGCCTGATGGCTTCGGCCACCAGAGGCGCAACATCGGCATAGCAAGTCGCGAGTTCCCGGTCGAGGGAGTAGTAAGGCTTCTTAGCCAAGTCTGGGGCCATCAGGTTGTAGGAACGCGTGATCGCGTTGATGTTTTCGATGGCGAGAGTCATGTAGGAACGTTCGCCTTCCAACCATTCCGCGTCCCGGAAAGGTGCAACGACCGCTGCAGGAGCCTTGGCTGCAGCTGTCGTGGCTGCAGATTCGGCAGCTGCATCCCCCGCCGCCTGTTGTCGAATCTTGACCATCACGATATCGTCCGTGGAATTGGTCGGCACGGAGATGCTCTCGATATTCTTTTTGCGCGGATTGCTGATCTCCTCAGCTCGAGCATACTCCTCCGCCCGCTGCACCTGCTCCTCCAAGCTACCCCCGCGCGAAGAAATCATCCTCGCCACGTGCCTCTTCCAGTCGTTTCTCAGTCTTGACCTGAAGGTCCCCACGACTTTTGCGAGCTCCTGCTGTTTCTCAATCCACGGCGGCACGATATCCTGCCTCTTGATCATCTTATTCATAATGTACTCCGTCGTATCGATGAACGGGTTGTCCGCCCTCGCGTCTCGCTCGACTCCCTTGCCGCGGGGAATGTTCTTGAACTGGCCGCGCGCGATCGCGTTCTCGATTCTCTCGTTCGCCAGGGCCGCAAGTCCGGAGAGCGTATTTGGCATGGCTCGAGCATTGGGTTCGAAGCGCTCGCGGAACTGCTTCCTCATTGCCTCCCGCTCGTCATCGCTGAGACCGGTCTGGTCCTTAATCCCGAGGCCGGTATATGTCGAAGCTCGTTCGCGGGCATTAGCGGCGCGTTGGCCTGCGTTGACTTTCGGTTCTCGTCGTATTCGCATATCGACCGGCGGGATCTGGTATTGCCCTCGAAATTCAGGCTTCAGCGGCTTCCTCGCATCGTCGAGCATGCGAAGGGCGGTATCGGAGTGTGATTCCTCGCCAGTCCAAGGCTGCGCAGTCGCCATTATTCGGGTGCCTTCGCCTGCTGAGTTGGGCATCCCAGCCTCGGCGAAGGCGGACGCGAAATCAGATTGAAATTTGGCTGTCTTGACCTTGTCAAGGAGCTTCTCCTTCAGCTCTTGATCGAACCCAGCGTCTTCCACGGCTCGCCGGCCGGCGCGACCGCCGGTGAGTAGAGCTTCCTCCGTGGCTTCTTCGAGTCTCCGGGACATTGCACCCTTTTCTTTCTTTGGTGTGTCATTCTTCTGTTCGGTCTCGGCAGCCTCGGGGGCTCGATCGGAGGAGTAAAATCGTTGAGCTGCGTGGATTCGAGGTTTGATGCGCCCAGCAGTACGCACACAGCGGCGGCAGGTGGAAAACGTCTTCGACATCTTAGTCGCCATATCTATAGTCCCAGGCCCTGGTTGGGGGTATTGTTGTGCGCATCGCTGCAGATAAAGGCCGACTTTCGGGAAGGTACGCGATGGAAATCGTGATGTCAGTGAAGGAAAGAAAGTGGCGATTGACGGAGTTAAGCACTGGCCAACCACCGAGCAGCCGAGGGACCCGCAGGAGCTCTCCATATTATCGGGACCGTGCCACGGATGGGTCCCCCATATTCGGCACCAGCCAACGCAATCATCGGCTCCGGGGCTCCGTGTGGTTTACTCTGTTCCATTTCGAGGTCAATTCCCTCATCAATCACGCGACGCTCCGGTCAGACTCATACCACCCATAACATCCATGACACCCACTTCAGTACATAAGCAATGTTGCTGGGTCCTAGATGAGACCAATCGATTGGTCTCGAGAGTTCGTTTCTTGATAGGTAAGCGGACAGTTGTCTGTCCGCTATTGAGCTGGTGGCGCTGTCTTCCAGTTGTGATTGGCTCCGTCTCTGACGCGACTTCCTCCCTGAGAGCATGGGTGTCTTCAGCTGAACAAATATCCTTAAGATTCTCAACTGCAAGCGACTGACCCCTCTTTCCCATATTTTTCAGTACATTTACCACGTCTTTACCTTGTCTTGACTTCCTGAGACATATTTATGTACAAATTCAAAGTTTCGACTATGCTCATGAGATCAGGAATATGGTGGAGGGTCTGGATACATGTAACGATGATCATGGGTATGGTCGAGGCTCAAGTGCCTTCATCTACAAGCCAAACCTCCGCGCCTACTACGACGAGGAGATCGCCATCCACCATTACTCCTTGGACCCACTCAGAAGGAGCAGACTTCATTGGTTACTATGATTATGTTGGATGTAAGCAACCGCCAAGGCCTCTTTGGAGCTGCGTCCGTTAACAATCTCAGGGACATCTATGCGATGCGGGCGGAATTCTTTCCTAGCCAGCGACTCTTGGAATGCGTACTGTTGCAACTCAGTCGATAATTCATGTATCACTGCTGCAGGTAAAAGCGGAGACGACTGTGTTGACCGTGCTGGCAAAGTGGTCGGGATCTGGTCAGTCTGATCCGTGTCTTTGGCCGTGTCTCTCACACATGCTTGCCCGACAGGATCCTTACGCTGACATCTGAATTCTGAATCAAGCGACTCCGGCAAGGAGTGCACTGGCGTGACTATCGTGAGAACGAGCAAAGACTATGAGAAGCGAACCTTCTTTCTGTGCTCAGGTGCAGCTCACATTGCAAACACGTGGTACCGAACCACGTATGATTGTGAGTTAGACTAGTCAATAATCTGCCATCCACTCACGCTGGTTACTATGCCATGGAGAGTATCAGCTAACCAAAAGCTAGTAACAACGTCAACCACGAGCACTTCAACATCATCGTCAACTTCCAGCGCAGGTGCTAATCTCGTGAGGCCGCCTTCTGCCTTCATGTTGGGTTGGATCCCTGGCGTGTTGCTTGGTCAATAGCATTTGAAACAGGAAGACGAGCTGGGATTAATGGCTCAGTCCCAACGCAATTCAATGATTTGATCAAGATTGTTATGTTACCAATGGATATTTGTATACTGTGATGCCTTAGCTCTCATGCCGTGAAATCAACCAGTACCTCGTCCATCTCCCTGTTGAAAGTGCCAAAGTACTCCTGCCTCCTGTTCTCAAAAGCATCAAACATGGGCTTCGCTGTGCCGACAGGAATCTGTTCTTCTCCAGCTTTCCATCTCTCATAGACCTCGTCAACGAAATCAGCTACAGGCATTCCGATCTCATGCCCGTTCTTCAAGTCTGGCTGGTTCTTGGCGTCATGCAACTCAGTTTGAACAGCAGGAGGGTAAACCTCAATGACGTTGACCCGGCTGGAAGCAGCCTTTAGCTGTGCTCTGAGAGCTAAGATGAAGCCGTGCATAGCGGCCTTCGAACCACTGTAGTTGGGGCAGCGTTTCATAGGGATGAGACTGAGTTGCGAGGTGGTGTATACCAAAGCTGTCGGGTTAGTCTGCTTCGACAGATGAGGTAGGAAGGCTTTGGTTAAGTGAACGTGAGAGAGGTAGTTCGCTAGCAGTTCTTCGTACACGACGTCGAGGCTGACGCTCTCAGGCTTCGTGAAGTCTAATCCTCGCTGAACACCAGCATTGAGGAAGACACAGTCCAGGCTGGGGTGTTCTTTGAGAACGGCTTCCACGAATTGAGGAGTCTGTAGTAGACGTTAGTATTGGAGCTGAGAGACGTTGGGGTCAGATTAAGCTTACCGAGTCAAGTTTGAGGATATCAACCACGATTCCTGCAGCCCTGTGGGTTCCGTGTTTGGCCACGAACTTGTCAAGGTTCTCCTTTCGTCTACCCGCAGCTATGACAAACGTCCCATTTTCAACGAGCTTGTCTGCCAGGGCAGCGCCTATTCCCGATGTTGCACCGACGAGAAGAACTTTCCTGTAAGGCAAGGTCATGGTTGACGTTTGATGTGGATATGTCGGAGTAGTCCGTTCGTAGCAGGCCGAAGTTCTTGACTCCTTGAGGTAAACGATAATTTCCTTCTCTTTCTGAAAATAGGTTTGCGAGAAGATTGGCAGCATTCAGTCAGTCTATGACCGTCATCCCCAACTTTATGTGAAGTCTTTATACGTTATCTGTCGCAACTGCATGCTCTCAACTCCAGTTTGTCAGCGATGGTTGGATTTATCAGCAAATGTGGTTCTCTACGTCCTAAGAAACTCGACTACAGCCTTTTCCGAACAGCATCTGGCGTGATGTTGTAGACGAAGCGGTCCGTTGTGGGCTGGGCTCCTCGGCTCAAACTAGCTTCACGATGATTCGCCCAATGACAGCTTTGGGACGACCTCGGATTACCCCCACAACTGGACTACCAAGATTCGCCCCATGCAATTATCAACTTGGTGTAGAGCATCAAACATTGTCACCAACGCGTCTAAGCTAGAAGCTCTCGTAATCATGGTCTCTTAACAGCGTGAGTTGGAACTGAATTTCTAGCCATTAGGATCTCAATGTTTTGAGCCTCAGACTTTTTGAACAAACAATCTTAGTTGGCGTTGGTCAGCTTACAAGCTTCGACTGAAAGCTAAATTCATGATCCCTCATTCCAGGGAATTGATCAGTAGTTGTGGTGAGTTTTATATACCTGCGTGTTGACCCTGTTTATTTTCTGATCTCGTACTTCTACATGTACGGTATCAACGCTCATGGAATCTACTCAGCTGTTCTTGTATAAAGCATCCTGCTGAAAATGACCAAGTCTTATAGTTTGTTGTGTATTGAGATGTACAAGACTTCAGCCTTCGCCAAAACCTCCCCTTTCTCGTCCTCTATTTGCGCAGAGACGAAGTTCTTACGACCCTCGATCTTGGAGATCCTAGACCTCACAAGAATAGTACCCGGAGCCGGTACTGGCTTAAGGAACGTCGTATTCAGATACGCCGTTCGGAAGTCTTTATTGGGCTCTGCTCCCTCAGGCCTCTGTGCCACAATTGTCATGCCCGTAACTTCGTCCAAGACCAAGGCGACGACCCCTCCGTGTGCCGTCTCAGGGAAACCGATCATGCCATCTCTGAAAGTGATGAGCGAACACAATTCCTCGACCCTCCAATCAGGTGGCTGTGGTCGTGGGTAGAGCACAAGCCATGCGGCGATAGTATTCGGGGTGTTGAGCGTGCCTCCGACGTATGAGTTTTCCTTTGTTGGCAGAATCGTTTTGTTTGCAGATATTTGAACGACGTGCGAGGGGGTGTCGAATGCGTCAAGGATTCGAGCGCACCACGGGATGGATGCGAAGTGTTGGTAGTCGGGGTGCGACTTCACAGCGTGAGAAGTCATGGCTGACGAGTTGGCAACTGCTTTGGGATGAGTTGCAAGGACTTGCAGCTGACGGTATCTCAAAGATGTGGGAGGGGTGGGTAGGATGAGTTACCTCGGTTTCGTTTTGCGGGGCCTTTTTAGACTCCGAGGTAGATAGACAGGGTAACAATTGGTCATCCGTCAGCCAGTACTTGCCAGGTTCAAGTTCCAAGACAATATGTAGATGATTTTGAGGAGTTGTCAGACTTCACTCTTGTAACCCTCATCTCAACATTGGACGCGTCTCAGACGATTCGCCTTGTCATTGTCTTACCCTAACGCATATCGGACGACACGTGGAAGGTTGCGCGTGGGCTGCCAAACCAGGCACCGCCCAAATGACTCAAGAATTCTCCCAGAGCCACGAGATTCGATTAAGGCAACCGAGCGACCGAGTCTGGGAAATCGGACTCCCGGAAAATGATTCAGGACTACATAAACTCTTTTTAAGCTTGTTCGACGCAGACCTTCCACGCGCCTACAGTTTCGCGCCTAGACCTGATGCCCGCTTGTGCTCTTCTCGCCATGCAAGATCGCTCAGAATCTCCTCGCTTCCCCCGCCGATGACTTTCAGACGGAGGTCGCGTGAGATCTGCTCCGTCATGGTCACCCCTCTCTCAAAACCCATCCCGCCGTGTATCTGCTGGCTCTCCCTCACGGCCTGTTCAACCATTCTGCCGCCCTGGATCTTTGCCAGGGCAATCCTGCTCGCGACGTCCTTTGTCTGCCAGCCGTGGATCTTGATGTGGTATGCTATCTGCTCCAGCCAGGCCCAGTGTCCCTCGATTTCTCGCGCAAGTGTCGTGAGTTTGTGGCGAATAATTTGATGGGAGGCAAGCGGTTTCCCGAAAGTCTCGCGGTCATGCGCGTGTTGAAGTGCTTCCGAGAGACATATCCGGGCCTGCCTATTGCAGTCCACTGTGAGAATGAAGCGCTCTTTGTTGAAGTTGCGCATTATGATCGGAAACGCTCCGTTCTCCTCGCCCAGCAAATGATCGGCTGGAACCTCCACGTCCTCCAGAATGACCCACGAGGAACCGCCCGCGTTGTGGCCCGAGTTGTGGATCTTCCTGATCGTGATACCAGGAGACTTGAGGGGCACGACAAGGAGAGAGATACCGCTCCGACCAAGTTCGCCCATTCGGACGGCAGTTGTCATGTGCGTGGCCCACGGAGCACCGGTAACCCACTTCTTGCGCCCGTTGACGATGTAATGCTTGCCATCAGCCGTCTTCTCGGCTGTCGCGCGTATGGCACTCACATCGCTGCCGGCCGTGGGCTCCGTGATGGCAAGACAGAAACTCGTCTCCCATGTGAAGAGGCCCGGCAGCCATCGTCTCTTCTGCTCCTCCGTCCCCGCTGTCCAGACAGGCGGGGCGCCCACGTTGGAGGCCCCCGCCAGAGCGAGGGGCACCCCGCTCGGGATGCGGGCCATCTCGTCCATCAGGATCAGCTCGTGAAAGACATCGAGCTCGTCGAACGGGATGCCCGCGATTGTCATGAGCTCCTGGGGCCGGTACTCCCTGGGCACGTCAAGGAAAGCCAGACCGGACTTGGCGAACTTCAATCTCGCGGCCATGGGGCACTCGCCGGCGGCCTCCCAGTCCTGGGCGTAGGGGAGCAGGTGAGTGTCGACAAATTCGCGCACGTACGCCTGGAATCTCCGGTGAGAGTCATTGTAGTACGGGCTCTCGAGAGCATTGAACCAAGCCGGTTCGCCCCACCTATTTTCGGCCGTTGGATGTCAGCTTGGGAACGGACGAGGACGGGGTTAGGGTCGGGACAGTACGGAGCGAGGCTGCCCACCGCCGTGCGCCCAGGGTTAGGACCAGTCGGCACCGGCTGCTTGGCAGTAGTATCGGACATGTCGTTGTGATGTTGTGATGGCTTGGTTACGCAATCGTTTGAGGTGGATGATTTGATCTGCGAGGGCGAGGGTGGTGGCTGGGAGGGACACGAATCCGGTTGTCTCTGAGTAGCATTTGTGAGGTTTTGATAGACCAGCCAAGCGGAAAACGCCGCGGCGAAACTCATTGTGAGAGCGCTTCTAAGTTGCCACGAAGTAGAGTTTACTCTCATGTGAAGTTTGAATCAGAACCGACCCGAGTTCAATGCAAGGGGGAGCAGCTCCACGCGAGTCAAGATGGTATCCACGACTTGCCCAATTCGTTCATCCCCGCACACGTCTGAGTGCCGGCCGGTTCATCCGGGAGACGACATGGGGGCTTGGGTCTTCCGCCCGGACGAGACAAACCGCGGAGTCCTGACAAGTCCCGGGCTCGGATTTCCCTGCGACTGGGGCGGCTGGGGCGCTTGAATATACGACCAATGCGAACCGTTCGATGAATTACGAGTTTCTCACCGGTTCTTGGCGAGAACGAAAGCTTATTTCATTGACATTCCCAAGTACTCGGGCGCCAAGGCCGGTCAATGTGCTCAATAACAACGTCGTATGAAAAGCCGCCAATGGGCGTACCATGTTTGTATTGCTGTCTAGACAGACAGGGCTACGGAAATCTAGGGATCGTAGAACACAAAGGGTTGGTTATGCTAGGTGGCTACACTGTTGTAGACCTGAGATCTAGAACCTCGACAATCTTCCCACTCCTAGGGTTGACAGCGAGTTCCTGCATAGTGACAAAGTTAATCTTCAGCTCATTGATCAGGTCCTTCTCGACATGTTCTCGAAACATCGGTCGTACCACACCCAACTCCTTTCGGAACCTAGCCTGCAGCTGTGAACTTTCCTCCTCAGTACCCGGTTTGAAAGCAACGTTCATGGTCAGAAGGTCCTTTCTGTCTTTTCTCGTCACGACGGCCTGGATCTTGCCCACCGGCCTGTCTTGGAGTACTGTCGAGACAATTCGTCGCAAGTCCACGAAGTCAATAGATACAGGCCCGAGTCGGATGGCAGTACGGTCTCTGTCGAGAACACGGAAGAGTCCCAGCGTCGGGTCAACCCACGCAGCCCGGTCGCCGGAGGGATAGCGAATGATGGGCATGAGGCGCCGTTCGACGTTGGTAACAACGAGACTTCCCGCCTCCCCTGGAGTTGTGGTCACCTCGCCGTCGTCGTTGACGATCTCGACGATAATGTTGGGGCTGTTGACCTGGTGGAGGCGAGGATCGTTGTTGTAATGCTCTGGTTTTGGTGGAAGGCCGATGATGCCGCAGTCCATAGAACCGTAGACGACCGATCTAATGGTTGCGTTCGGGAATGCTGCCTTCAATAGACCAGCCTGGTCATCGTAGAAAGCCTCGCCCGAGAACAATAGTAGACGAACAGAGGGATGCGTTTTTCCTGCCTCGAGGATACGTTCTGCCAGTTGTGACATGGTCGTGACTGTAGCAAGAACTACGGTTGCTTCAAACTCGACTATATGTCTTTCCATGGACGGAATTCCGACGTGCCCGGCGACTGGGAGTTGGATAGCACCTCCAGGGAGATGATACACAGACAAGATATGCAGCAAGAAACTGCCATAGAGGTCTCCTGCGTAGAAGAGATTGGCGACCATGTCACCCTCTCTCACACCACATCTTGCTAGGGACTCGGCCAGCTGAGTTGAAAGGCCATGAAGTTCCCTTTGGTCGTAAAATGAGACCTTTGGGTTGTTTGTCGTTCCTGTGAGTGGTGAGCTATTGACACAGATAACATTAAACCATGCCACTCACCTCCTGTCTTGAAGATGATGCCGTTCTTCTGCTTCGATGTCACAACTTGACTGTTGAGACATGTGTTTGCCCTCCAAAATGACTCATGATCAACAGTTGGTAGTTCTTGCAGTGAGACTGGCTCGTCTTTTGTGACAATCGTGGACTCCCAAAACTTCGCGTAGAACGGTGAATTGAGTCTCACAAACTCGAGCAAGTCTGATAGATCTCGGGGGTTGACCCCATTCACCTTGGATACTGTCATGATGTCGTCGAATTGAGTTGAATTGGCTGGTTAGACTCCCGGAGTGCGGCAAAGTCAACTTTCAGCTTCAATAGATAGGATCAATCAAGAGAATCTAGGCCATGACAACGGAGATGAGCAATGTGCGCAAGGTTTGCCGTCTAATTATCAGACGGACAGCAGTACCCCGACCTCAGCGGAGGCTGATAACTAACTCGATGCCACCATGGGACATCCTCAATTGCTCTGTACATCGGTTGATAGAGTTCGTACTTGCAGGGACTATGCGACAGTTGTGATAAAGGCGCAACTTGCGAAATCGAATGTTACGCAGGTAAGGTGAGTGATGGACGCGTGCATATCGATGAGAAGGTTTACCCTAGAAGCCTGTCTCACGTAGCCTCATTTCTAGAAATCCACAAAGAAGCCGTTTAAGCTTTCTGGATTGCACCGGCTCATGTCACTGCAAGCCTCGATTGAACGTGCACCGAAGCTCCCGTTAACCCTAACCTTGTGGCCACGCGTTGACAGAGAGGGCTTCGAAGACGGGGAAACCAGCATGGGACTGACAGGAGAGAACCGACGAGAGACTTTGCCCGATATATGAACTTCATGACATGTGTTTTCTCTTCACTTATCTTTGCCCCCTCTTCCCGTTTTCCCCCGAGTGGACCGTGGCGTTATGGCACGGTCCCTTGTTTTGAACAATTGGGGGACACGCGGTTTTGTTTGGGGTTTTGGGGGTGGTTGGAGAAGATGGAGAAAAGACTCAGGGACGTGACCAATAGAGTCAATCGAAATAGATGCTCACAACCGAGCGGTTTTCAGGGTCTTGTGTCACCGCAAACGAGATTCAAGCTCAAACGCAGTGTGGAGTTCATTTCCGAATCAGTCGGAACGAGCCAGGGGTAAAAGTGTTGGGGTTGAGGGGACTTTGATTGTGGATTTCCAAGCCTTTTTGTTATCCGCTCGTGGGACTGAACCCTTGGACTTCCTCGTCAGCTAAACTGAATGCCGTTTAGTTTTGTTTAACCGAGGAAGCCTCTTCTTGGAATTCCAAGGATTCTGCTGCAGGATAGATCCGCGGGTCTCAACAGAGTTGTTGGAATACTGCTCACCGCCTGGCGAAAGCGGGTGGCCTCTTTCTGAGATATACGGTGTGTGCAGAATCATGTCAGGGTCAGAGAGACAAACACACGTGGTCGCAGCAGAGTGCGAGGAATTCTTTAGCAACTCTCCTGAGTCCTAGGGTGACACAAACTTGTGAGAAAAGGCGAAAGGTGGCTTGAACCGTTTTTTGAGTCATGGGAGGCGTTGCGGGAGCCTCATAACCCGAAGCTTTGCTTTCTTTTGCCTGGTGTCTCAAGGCTAATCCCAGTTACGAGTCGCGTATTCTGCTGACACTCGAGCGATTCCAAACACTCACCATTGGGACACTGACCATCGTAATTTTTTTCTGCCGTTCTGCCATGCAAGTCTGGACTGTTTGGACCCCTATTCCATGATCGCCCTGGCCATGAATTCGACCCACCGTTATGCTGATATGCTAAAAAAGGAGAGCCACGTCGCGGTATTCGCAGCAAGTAGGCGGTGACAGCCAAGACCCTTAATTTTGAGCTGGTGCACCCGTGTGTGCGTGTGTGTGTGTGTGGCCGGTGCCAGTTTGTATCTGAACTCTGTACTTTCCCTCTTACCTCGGGCAAGCAAGAATTTTTCACCCTTCTTTCCGTTTTCTTCCAGCCCCATCTGGTCAAGTTCTTTTTCACTTCAATATCTGCGCTGCCCTGAAGAGACTTGAGCTGTCTGTTCATCTCATATACTGCAACGTATAGACAGAAGGCTCTCACACGTCCCAGGTCGCGCCTTCCACACACACAATGGCGGCCCGTCAACGTACTACGACCGCGGTGGTCGAGAAACCCCAGCAGGTAAGTCGGGACTTTTCTTCCGGATCGCGATCGATCGATTCACTGACCCTCATCTAGAAGACCTCTGAGCCTGAGTTCCCTGATATCCAGACCATCAGGGACGCCATTCCTGCTCACTGCTTTGAGCCTTCTCTGTGGACTTCCTTCTACTATGTCTTCCGCGACTACACCATGGTCGCGACCCTCGTCTGGGCTGCTCTTACCTTCATTCCCGGCATCCAGGACCCCATCCTCCGCGTCGCCGCCTGGATGGTCTACGGCTTCCTCCAGGGACTTGTTTGCACCGGCATCTGGATCTTGGGTCACGAGTGCGGCCACGGAGCCTTCTCCAAGAGCACCAAGCTGAACGACTGCGTTGGCTGGGTTCTCCACTCTTTCCTCATGGTCCCGTACTTCTCCTGGAAGTTCTCTCACCACCGCCACCACCGCTTCACCGGTCACATGCAAAAGGACATGGCCTTCGTTCCCGCCACCGAGCCCAAGCCCTCCAAGAAGCCCCTGTTCGGCGCCATCGACCTCCACGAGCTTTTCGAGGACACTCCTGTCCTCCAGCTTCTCACCCTGATCGGCCACCAGCTCTTCGGATGGCAGTTGTACCTCTTCTTCAACTCCACTGCTGGCAAGGGCAGCAAGCAGCGCGAGGTCGGTCCTCTTGGACGCTGGTTCCACGTCAGCCACTTCGTCCCCACCAGTGCTGTCTTCCGTCCTAATGAGGCTATCTTTATTGCCATCTCTGACCTTGGTCTGGCAATCACCCTCGGAGCCCTGTACAAGGCCGCTCAGGTCCTTGACGTCTCCACCGTCCTGTACCTCTACCTCGTCCCGTATCTCTGGGTCCACCACTGGCTCGGTATGCAATCCCTCGACTCCTAACCCTGGAAGCTCTTTTTAGAGTTTCTAGGGCGTACTATATGATAGTGTGCTAATCGATACCCCTCAGTTGCCATCACTTACCTGCACCACAACCACCCTGAGGTCCCTCACTACACTGCGGAGGGCTGGACTTTCGTCAAGGGTGCCCTTGCCACCGTTGACCGCGAGTTTGGCTTCATCGGCAAGCACCTCTTCCACGGCATCATCGAGAAGCACGTCGTTCACCACCTGTTCCCGTAAGTTCTTCGCCTCGCCCCAAACCTTCGTGAGTTTCAATTACTAACAACAATCAGTCGTATCCCCTTCTACAAGGCTGACGAGGCCACGGAGGCCATCAAGCCCCTCCTCGGTGACCTGTACCACCACGATGAGCGCAGCTTCTGGGGTCAGCTCTGGTCTGTCTTCGGCACTCTCAAGTACGTCGAGCACGACCCGACTTGCCCCGGTGCCATGAGATGGGCCAAATAAGGAATTCGTATCAGCGGATTCCCCTTGATTTAGACGCATTTTAGACGAGTGATAGACATAGACATCTTGGTTCAACTCCGCGACCGCAAGAGTTAGAGTTCGATAGAAGGGGCGAGCATAGAGTTAGTTGCGGAGATAGAAAGAATCTAGACAAATGGCAGGCCAAAGCTGAAAACTCATACGAAACCCAACCGTGCTGTGTACGCGCAATTAACAGTGACAACTCATGACTGAGTGGTTTGGTAACTCATTCTCAATGTGCAAGTCACTCAGTACCTGACAATAGTAACTCAAGACCGAGGACTTCGGAGACCCATTCCCGGTATGCAAGTCACTCGCTACCTGAGCCGCTTAGTCAATAGTTACATTTTCCCCAAATTGGGAACTGCCCAGACTGGACAGCAAAACGAGACGTGATAGGAGGACGCGGCAGAGTACGACAACAGACTCAGATCATGGGTTGTGTATTACGAACAGAGTTTACACTTAGTACATCAGATTCAGAGTCGAGTGCAACATATCTCCATGTTGTCTCTCGCATGAGACGCGGAACCCTTGGTCAAGGGAAGCCCGGTCATGTCACCAATTCTGGACGACCCGATTCGCACCAGCTCTCTCCAGGCGACTGGGGCTCCGAATGCACACCACCGTGCATGTTCCCAGGAAGCTCAGGCCAGCTCCCCCGTCGTCCGGTGTAATATAATAGAGTTCACACGGGTTGAAACAGCGCATCACAATAGCCTCACATAGGTGCGATACAGACCGGACTGAGTCGTGTTGAAAATCGCATCAACTTCGATACCCAGGTCCATGTCACGACATAACCGACCATGTCGCTACAGAACCGACAAGCGCGACCTGGGTCTGCTTGCAGAGAGGCACGGCGATGGCAGGACTAGATTTGCACCGCCGGACGGAGTATTGTGTGTTCATCCTATATCAAAAGTCCCGACGGTCTGGCTGGGACTTAACGCCATGATTGATCGCCGGTCAGTTCTGGTACAAGTAGCGTCTGTGTCTCTCGCAATCGTTCGTTCTCGCCTGGCGCTCAAGACCTATCATCCCATCATACTGTCTGTCGTTTCTCTGTTGGCGTCGAAAGCACTGACTTGGACATCACCTGTCTAAGTCTCAGACAACATGGCCTCGGCTTACATTCTCGCCATCTACTTCCTGGTGATCATCTTCGCCAGTGTACAGATCAAACACAAGATCAACAACTTCAAGTCTCCTCTCAGGAAGGTTCCGGGACCTTGGTACGCCCCTTTGACAAACCTCCATCTTCAATATCTCTTCTCTACTGGTACCATCTGGAAGTTGGTAGAAAGGAGTCATCGCAAGTATGGAGGTATTGTTCGACTAGGACCTCGCCAGGTCTGGATCTCTGACAAAGAGGCCATGAAGACAATCTTGGTGAAGACGGATCTTCCAAAGGTTGCCATGTACGCCGAGATCTCTCGTGATAAGTTCAGCCCCGGCCTGTTTGGTGAAATGTAAGTTCTCTATTTGCCTTCCTCAGTCGTCTTTGTCCCTTGGTTTGATCTCTAATCTTCATACAGCCGACCGGAGCCTCACAAGCGCCTTAAGCGTTTCTTGTCGCCTGCCTTTACTGTGGCTTACATCGACAACCTGGAGATGTTCTTCAAGACGACCGTACGCGATGTACTCAACAAGTACCAAACTCAGATCAACGCCGATCCTGTCTACTACGCCAAGAAGGGCATCGAGGTTGACTTGATGGACGACCTCCACAACGTTGCTCTTGACATGTAAGTCGAATCATTCAAATTAGTTAGAATGACGCTTACCAGGCGCAGTATGGGCGAGTGCTCCTTTGGAAAAGGATTCGGACAGACCAACCCAGACAGCATGATCGAAGACGGAGTCGACGAGAAAATTTGGAAGTCCATCCCTCGCTCCATTTTCGATGGTCTCAGCAAGCGATACCAGACAGTCTACGTCAAGAAGTTCTTCCGCACCTTCGGCATCGACATCCAATTCGACTGGCCCGCCGAGATGATCACTGCCATCGACGCCGTCGTCCAACGTCGCAAGCGCACTAACGATGTCGAGCGCCGCGACCTTCTCCAGCACCTCATCGAGGAGGGCAAGAAACCTGACACCGGAACAATCATGTCTGCCCGTGACATTGTCGACCAGATGGCCGAGATTCTCCTGGCCGGCTCCGAGACCACGTCTGGTACCATCGGCTGCCTCTTCCTCGAACTCGCCCGCAACCCTGACGTCCGCCGCAAACTGTTCGAGTCTCTCCCCGCCAAGGGTTTTAACGACGATATTGTCACCAGCAAATCCGTCCGCAGCGAGCCCGGGTACGAGTACCTCGAAGCTTGTATCAAGGAGAACCTGCGCCTGCACCCCATCGCATCTGAGATGGGTCGTCGAACCGGTAACCAATGGGTCAACCTCTGCGGCTACGACCTGCCTCCTCACACCGTTGTCTCCGCTTCCTACCGCGACCTCCACCGCAACGAAGAATTCTGGCCCCAGGCTGAGCGTTTCTGGCCCGAGAGGTGGCTGTCTGAAGACAAACGCGAGGGCGCGCCCGCTCCTGAGTAAGTCCCTTAAGTTCTCGGCGTGAAAATCCTCAAAACTAACGGAAACCTCTCAGCATGGACGCCTACTACCCATTCTCAGGAGGCAAGCACTCTTGCATTGGCATCAAGTGAGTCTCGGATTCATGTTTCTCGTCGATCACTAATCTAACGAAATCTAGCTTTGCTTGGGCAGAGATGCGAATGGTCGCCGCCAACCTCCTCCAGAGATTCGACGTCCTCGAGGTTCCGGGACAAGACATCGACTTCCGCCAGTACATCACCATGCAGTTCGCCACAGGTCACTGGAAAGTCGTGCTCAAGCCAAGAAACTGAGCGTCTCGGACCCTCAGTTCTCTCGGACCGAGACTATTACAGAAATTTGAATGACACATCACGTTGATGACAAGGGGCCACGACACGGGGTTGCATTGATTTTCGCACATTGTGTGTGTGCAATTAGAAGACCTCTTTAGACATTTTCTCTTACCGCAGTTGCACTGGGCATGGAGTTACTGGCACCGGATGGACATTTACGGCATGCAAAGCGACTTAACGCATCGAGTTGGACAACCTCAGATAGCATAGCCCAAGCAGAATACTTTCAGATTGAATTACAAAACCTTCCACTCAATTCCCAGCAGAAAGTCGGTACTCGTGCAGTCACTGTCGGACCCAGCCCGATGGCCTGGCCCCTACAAGCGCAGCTGCATACTGTATCATGAGGGTTTCCCGATTGATTAAAAGAACCTACCACACCCGTAGATCTGGCAACTGACAGCACGAAAGGCCTCATACTCCGCATGCCAGTTACCCAAAGTGGCCGGTTGACGACTGGTAATACTCGACACTGCAGCTTTCACATGCAGATTGAAAGCTAAACTGCAACCAATCACAAGAACCCCTCATCTTCAACCCGTGTCCTTCGAGATGGGTCTCTCTATCCATGTTCAACTGACGATATCTTCTCACTTGACAACGGATAACCCAGTCAACCCGCCACGGGGAAAGGGGATACCAAAAAGCTTATTCAAGTGGTTCTGGTGGAGAAAAGCGCGTATCGTGGGACAAAAGGACCGCGGGGGTCCCCAGCGAGAAAGTCGCCGGCTTGGCTGCCCTGGCTTGTCGTAATCTTTCGAACGGAGTGGAACCCGGCAAATGCGGATGATACGGAGGACGTGGCAATGATCTGGTCACTGGTCAATCGAGGAGACCTTTGGCCAGCGGGGCAGTGTAACTCTATGATATTGAAGAGCAAGAACGAGAGGGGTTATTGTTGATAAATCATACTTCACTGTAGATACAGAGCAAAGCAAAGCTTGCTTCACTTCGGATTATCCCAGCAACGTCATAGTAATCTTTGAAATGCAGCTCTTTCCAATAAAACGATCATTGCTGCAAGACGATCGGCTACTGCAAATCAATTGATACTACTTTGTGTACCAGGTAGTGAATATTTAGTAGATTAGTTTGAAGGAGTATTGGTTTTCAATACCAGCAAAACGTATCTGTTAGATGTATTTGATGATGGAAGACGCTCTATGTGGATTGGAATCTGCACTCCCACTCCCTCCGGCTGAAGCTTCATTGACCTAATATGTGATTGGATGGTAGTTGCTTAAAATGTTTCACCGGCCATATCAAAAAGGTCGTTTGCATACACACGTATGTACAGAATTGGAATAGAATGAGACGTCTGTGTTGGCTCGTCTACTGATAGCAGTCATGTCTGTCGATAGGTACGGATACGATACCATTAGGGGCCACTACGGCGTTGCTCGTCCAATATGTATCTTGGAACCTGGCGGGAGTTCTGGTTACTCGATTACATCGCTGGCAATGTCCTCATCAAGCTCGTACGGACGAGTGTCTCATCAAATCGCAGGTCGCTTTCCACGCGGTAGATAGAAGGCCTCTCGCCAGGCTTTGCGGACCAGGTGTAAGTGTTCCATCTTTGGCGATTCCTACAAGTCTTGTCATCGCACCAATATATGTGCTTTGAATCCAGGTCCTGGGCGACTCCCAGTGACAATGGGTCCATGAGCTTAATCCCATTCCCGTCCATGGTTATTTTGCCATGCTCGTATCGCACCAGCCCTTCAGAACATCGCCGTAGGTACACAAAATGACCTTCTCTCGCCCAGGAATACGTAGTACAACAGAGTCGGCATGCCACTCGATGATTTCGGATTGAGATATCCCAGGGGTCGGGGAGGAAATTTGTTGACTGATTCGAGCCCAGAAACGCTTGCGATCTCACAAAACAGTTGTCGGTGATCTGTTCTTTCCCAACTTCTCTGGGTGAGGTGGTCTTTTCTGGTATTGGTGAAGTCGAAAGCCGTGCACCAACACGATATTCCGTTGTCAGGCAACAGCAGGTGGCGGAGTCGAATGCTCTTAGTAGTTGTCCATCGTCGAATTCGAAGTGTGGACAAAGCACCTTTCCATACTTGACGGACATCGCCTCCAGTTGTCGTTTCAAGTACGTATCTGAGATTTGTTCCCCTCCCGGAAACGAGAACACCGGCAAGCACCATTCGAGCTTGAAGCCCATGTCCGTGAAGCCCATGTGCGACGGATTCATGATTGGGATTTCGTTGAGGCTGAACCGAGGAGGTTGGAATTGTAGAGAACGAGTCGGCCGACCATTTTCATCGTGGGGCATCTGGCACTCCGTACAGCTTTGAAAGAGAAACGTCTCCAGTGCAATTGACCGCCTTGAAGACATGTTCTCAACTTTTCGGATTTGCTGATCGATGGTGTCCAGAGACAGCGTCATATGAACGCAAAGCTGGATTGTGCCCTTATGGATAGCACACGTTCTCAATCGAGAAGTTGAAGAAGACTTCGGTTCGCGCTCTTCAGGTGGGAATAGCAGCCTATAGTGTGGCGACTTGCAAGACCAGCAGGGGAAGCCGTCTGACCATTCCACATGGCGGCGCGGGAGTGTGGCCACACAGGAAGAGCACAAACCATCTTTCACCATGTCAGCTCGTCGTTGGAGCATGAGTTTTGCACTGTCGTCTTCAATCCACCATCCCTGAGGGTCAATACAGATTCGAGACGGAACCTTGGTTTCCTCGTAATTGTGGAGTGAATGATCGTGTCCGATCCGCCAGAAGTCCGAGCAGACTTGCCGCAACATGTAGAGGTCCTCAATCTCGGCCGCTCGCATTATTTTCAAGAGTATTTCCTCTGGAAATTGGAGTAGTCGACTCCCGCAAAGGTTGCTCTTGTAGTTTATTTCCCAGCTTGACGGACCAACAGGCCATCGAAGTCGAGCCTCTTGTAATACCGGAGAAGGGCTCTGGGAGTTTTGCTGCGGTTTGGGTGGAGTCAAGAGGTCTTCACTCCATACGTGCAGGAGAGACGCTCCCTCATCGTCGCATGAATGAGATCGTTGGTGGGAGGCCATGGTATTTCGATGTGCGTCGATGTCTACCTTGGACAATAGGAGAGACACAGCTCGAGGGATATGAGACCCATCTTAGGATATGTATTGCCGTCTATGGAACTTGGCTGAATATAAGTACCGGCACTTTAGGTTTCTCCGATGTGCCACACCGATAGTTGGGACAGTTTAGCGTTCTTGCGAAGTTTAATGGGAATATCTTCCCAGTGCTCGACGAGCTTTCCTCATTAGGTGAAAATACTAGGAGGCCGTCAGGGTGACAGATACAGTCTTCGCCGCCACCTTGAGAAGGACAAATTTTCGCTGCTGAAGAAGCCAAAGCAGCCTCAAAGCCTATCGAGGGACCTATCACAAGATTAGACGTCGAATGTATACTCGCTGGGTATGGCCAGGTGTCGAATCAAGCAGAAAATAAATAAGGGTTGATGTATTGTAATGCGTGACGCATCGTCAGATGCAGTTTTCTTCTTTCTTGGCAACGAAGCGGAATCAAGCGGGCAATTAAGGCACAGTTTCTGCGCAGAATTGCAGATAGTTTTCGGCGCGAAAACTATCCTATCCATACCTATGGGACAGAAAGATCACAAAGATCACAAAGTGAAGTAGAACCACAGTCATGATACGTAGATTGCTTATTCATCGAGAGAGAACCGGATACCACCTTTAATTGGTCAACTCGGGACTGGAGTCAGCCAATGTCGGCAATGAGCTCGGGTTTCAGCTCGCTCTTCCTTTCTCCAACTCCAATCCATCGCCCTGCTCTCTCTTAATCATTTCCGCAAGATGCGCACAAGTGTTTCTTGTGAGGCGTGCCGGTAACGTTTCCCCGTATGAGATTCATTACTCAAGATATGGGTCTAACGATACTAGGAAATCGAAACTAAAATGCATCCACAACGGTGATCCGCCATGCGATCGCTGCGACAAGTTTGGATATCGAGATTGTCAGCTCACACGACCTCGTCCAAAGCCAATCAGGCGCGCGGCAACGCGAGCCCGTATGCTTGATGTTGAAGCGTCGTTGAGTCCAAGTAATCTCTCGTTGTTCACTTCCGAGCCACGCTCAGTTGAAAGTTCTGACAAAGCATTTAGCTCATACCATCGCGAATGGCCCAAGTACGAGACCATCCAACATTCTGCCAGAGGGTGTAGATTCTCATTTGCAGAATCTAACAATCAGAATAATCATCAAGGCAATGCATGTCTTCATGCATAACTTCCCAGAGCTAAATATGATTCACCCTGATCTGTTCCATCGGCAGTTTGAACCGGCGCACGAAAGGACCGCCAACAGCAAAAACCTTTTGGCGGCTTTACTAGCAGCTGTCAAGAAGGAAGAGTGCTACATCGATGGAAATTGGATGACTGAACTGCTGGAAAGTGAGAAATACGCATCCTACTGTCGCAATGGTCTTGCGACTGCCATGTTACAGTCCCCAGATGTCAACGTCGTCCAAGCCCACCTCATCCTCACTCTATATGAATGGGGAGTCAGAGAGTTTCAAAAAGCTTGGGTTCACTGTGGTAATGATTGACTTTCAACTGGGCTGTCTAAACATCCAGCTAACAGGGCCGTACTTTAGGTATCGCGGTTAGGATCATGCAATCCTTGCACAGCGCCCGGATGGCGCCGTTCTCTCTTGATGAGTCAACAAATTCTGACAAACCGGAGAAAACTTCTCAAATTGTCGAGACGTCTACCTACTGGGCCTGCTTCATCCTGGACTGTACCATCAACTCAGGGACATATAACCCTCGAATGCTATCCGTTTCCGAAATGATTCAGCTTCAAATTCCTCGACCGCCGTCGGCAACCGGCTTTCTGTTCGGGTCTCAGCAGCAGTCTTTAGCCGAAAAGACTTACCCTCTAGGCGTTGAGGAATGCTATGAGATCTTAGCAGATGGCTTTGCCGTCTATGCCGACGTCATGGCTTTCGTATACAAGGATGGTCGAAAGGCCCCCGGTATGTGCGCCGCCGAAAACTGCCCTTGGGTGCCGGATTCAAAGTGGGCGAGAATTCGGCAGGACTTAGAAGCATGGAGGACGAGAACGGATGACATCCTGCACTACCCGACCCAGACTGTTGGTGCCCACGCAGGAACCGGCTGCCGTGCGTTCGTTTACATCAATTTGCTCTACTACCACTGGTATGTAAGCTTGCTGGGTTTCTGATATTGGTACATATTTCATGTTCCTTCTAACTAGTAACATGTCTAGCATTCTGATGCTTCACCGGGAGTATTTTCCTTTCTTGCCGAAACCAAACGCCGAACCACAGGGACCAACCGATCCACCGTTTCTTGAAGCTGAGGCTCCTCCTCAGTGGTGGCAAGAGAGCGCCCGGGAGCTATTCGAGGCGGCAGGCCATGTAGCGACCATATTACATGACGCTTCTGAATGGGGATTGACAATGATGACTCCTGTGCCGGGTTTCTGTGGCTTTTCAGCATGCTATCTCAACCTCTATGCTCTTTATTTCCCCAACATGACCGCGGGGCATAGTCCGATGGCCAAAGATTTACTTGATATGGGGCTCGAGTATCTTAAGGAATTCAGAAAGGCATGGGATCTAGGAGAAGGCTGGGTAATGGAGTCCCCCCAACCTCTCATACCAGAACAAGCTGACAAAGGCTGCTTAGATTAAGACGATTCAGAATGCCTCATTGCTGTTCGAGCAAGTGAACTCGAACGCTGACCAATACCGCCATACATCTCGCCGCGACTTTGAAGCGTTACACCTGTCGGCTCATGAATTCAGGACCGTCGATAGGTCAGAGCAACACATGGCTTTGATTCGAGATGCTCAGCAAAGAGTGGAGAGCATGGAGGACACTGATCTTGGAAATGGGTTGGTCCAAGACGATGCGGCTGATCTCGAGACCTTTGATCCAGTCGCCCTCATGGGAGACCATGCATTGTGGCCCACTTGGAACTCTGCATTTGAAGTAGACACCTTTGGTAGCGGCCTCTAGCCTTGATAATTCATCGCGTCTTCCCAGGATCGGGTGACTATCGCCCCAGTATGCTCATTTGCTCTTTTCTCGAAGGCCCAACTGGCAGCACGCACCCAGGAACAGAACTTAAGGCTGATGTGCATTGGAGAAAATCGCGATTGGCTATACTGTGGGCTTGTCAGATAGGTCGTTATTTTCGTGTCAAATTTAAACACGTGCTGGGTTTGACCAAAGCCGATCTCATTTCCGACCTGATTTCCGACCTCGCATCGTAGGTCAGACTAACCACCCAACGAACTGTTGAAAGTAGCGCCTTGTAATCTTTAGCGTTGACTCTCTTATCTTTCATATTAAAAATTTTCAACGTGACATTCCCTGTCGGCATATGGCCCAGGTGCTTGCTTCATAAGGGCCAAAAGTTCTCCAGTGTAATTCGCTCGTCAAGTTCCTCACTCTCTCGTTATTTCCTCTAAATCTCATTTCGTCATGGCTTCCAAGGAGCGCGAAGATAGTCTCGTCCGTCAGACTTTGACAGCGGACATGTTACATGATGCCCTCTCGGGCATGTCTATGGCCACGAGGGCTGTCCATTCAGATGACTTCTACACCCCTCATCGTGCCATCGCCCCAGGAATGCACGTGGCGGTCAATTACCGGTACGCGAGAAACCCTGAGGATCTCAAGCCAGGGGACAACACCGATGTAAGTGCTGCTTGCAACCAAACTTCGTATCTGACTTCCATGTTTGCTGATCAACATCCGATAGCCTAACGCGCCAGAGGATTCTCATGTTTATTCGCGGTATACGGCTCCGAACTCGAGTCGGCTCGAGACGATTCTCAAGAACGTATTTGGAGGTCACACCATTACGTACACGAGTGGTCTTTCTGCGTTCCATGCTATGATGGTTTGCCTGAACCCTAGGCGTATCTTCATCGGCCAAGGATACCACGGCGTTCACGGTGTCATCGACGTCATGACAAAGTTGACTGGGGTCCAAAAGCTGAGCTTGGAGAACCTCGACGAAATGAGAGCTGGAGACATCGTCCATGTCGAAACACCGCTCAACCCGACGGGTGAGGCAGCCAACCTTGCCTACTTTAGCTCAAAAGCCCGCGCGGTCGGGGCCTACCTCAGCGTCGATGCGACCTTTGCCCCACCTCCTCTGCAGGACCCTTTGCAAGTTGGAGCTGATATGATCATGCATAGCGGCACCAAATACATCGGAGGCCACTCGGACATGCTGTGTGGCATCCTTGTCGTTCATCCTGATCGTGTCAAGGAAGGATGGGTCGATACACTCTATAAAGAACGGCAAGTCATCGGGTCTGTGATGGGTAGCTTCGAAGGTTGGCTTGGTATCAGGTCAATTCGAACTCTGCATCTCCGCGTGATGCGACAATCACAGACCTGCACAAGCATCGTTGCATGGCTCGTTGGAGAGATGGCGCGCCCTGGGTCCATAGTCAACATGGCTGTTGCAGAAGTTCGGCACGCTTCATTGCAGACTGAAGCACTTCAGGATGGGTGGCTCCAAAAGCAGATGCCCGGTGGTTTTGGAGCGGTCTTCAGCTTATTGATGAAAAGCCCTGAGCATGCCAAGAGGATGCCGAGCAGGATGTACGTCTTTCAACATGCGACGAGTCTCGGAGGAGTGGAAAGTTTGATGGAATGGCGATCAATGAGTGATGCCGCCTGCGACAAGCGCCTTCTCCGGTTGAGTTGTGGCGTGGAGGACTTGGAAGACTTGAAAGCGGACCTTGCCCAAGGGATGGAGAGTCTGTTGAAGGATTTCCCCGTTGATTCAATTGTGTAACCTAGGAAGCTTTGTAGCCTTCAGGTCTCAGCGAGATTCTCGTAACCAGGCGATAAGTCATAGTTCGATGCCAGCCGAAGAAAGAAAGGCCGAAAGGACAAATCGTTCTTTTACTAAAGTGCATTCAAACTCATTCATATGTTTCTGAAGAACGTTTAGTAGCTACTCCGGTATATTATCTTACAGGAGACTTATGTCTAGTTAGATGTCTGTATTGTTACAAATCTTGCTCAAATATACTTCTGCAATCTTTTTCAAACCTTCTTCCACCTCAAACAAGCCAGAAGAACTGCCAACAGCTGTACTTTAACCAGAGGCTTATCATGAAGATTTCCTGAATCAGCTCTCGGACTCTTCTCCTCATCGCCGTTCCTGCTTTCGACAGTTGCTGGTGAGTCTGGCTCTTCAAACCTCACCTTCCATCCCCGGAGTAGAGTCATACAAAAGGCTGCCGTAATGTACATAAACCCAGTGAACAGTTGTGCGCCAAGATAACTGCCGGTTCCTGAGACTATCTGGAGTGCAATTGGCTCGCTGAACGTAGAGGGTAGCACCATGCTCAACCACATGAGATTCAACCCGGAAGGAACCTGGTTTAACCCCAAAACCTCAGCCATCAAGGGCGCAATTGTAGCCCAGAAGTTTCCGGCAACCAAGCCTTCGCTGATCGCATAGAATATCAAGACCCCATAAGTTCTGGCGTTGACCCAGACGACGAGGGAAAGTACTCCGGCGATAAAAGTCATCAAAGCAGCCATATTCATCCTCCCAAAACCGTCGCTGAAGTACCCGATCAGAGGGCGACCAATGGCCTGACCAAAGTTGAAGAGAGCACTGATAATAGCAGCCTCGGACGGTCGTAGCCCGATCTCCATTGCGAAGTTCGCGAGACTGAAAATGAGAATGAAGTACCCCAGCATCGTGAACGCACTGAAGCCGATGAGTAGAAGATATTCCTTCCTTTTGAAAAGGCTGATCTCGAAAACAGACTGTTTCGAAGTAGTCGCCTTCTTTCGATCGCGTATCAAGATGGTGCAACTCGTGTTGACGCAGAAGGCCAAGACGCCCAAGATTCGGAACGCCCATTGGAGACCCAGGTTACGGATCATCGCACTTGCTGCCAGAGAGTATACAGCTCCTCCTAAGCCAGCTCCTGACAGAGATATACCGCTGGCAAGGGATCTTTTTGTCGTGAACCATTGAGGAACAACAGCTGCGGTCGGGATAAAGAGGAGTCCAAGACCTATGCCGAACAATACGCCTTGCGTCAAGAATAAGTGCCAAATCTCTGACGCAAGGCTTGCCAGTAGTAGACTGGCCGTTTCGAAAACAACGCCGCATAGCATAGTCGGCCGGATGCCATACTTTGTGACCGATAATGTCGCGATGGGAGATGTAAGCAGAAGAAACGCGAGGCTCAGACTCCCAACAAAGGCGTATTTGAGCGGTGATGCATTCGGGAAGGTGTCATGATCGAGGTAGTATGCCAGGAACACGGCATACGCCGAGTTGAACCCCCACGAGTGACCGTTGATGACAGCCGCAGCTGACGTACAAACCCAACCATAACCACCGTCAGGGGGCTCGTCGACCACCTGCCCTTCTGAGATATTGATTTTCTCTGAAGACGACTTATTTTTTCCAGGAATATGAGAATAATCGTTATCAAAGTTTTGTCCAGAACCCGTTGGACTGAGCATCGCCGCAACGTTGCATGCATTTCCAGGAGGAGTGCTCATGATAGTGAGTAGATGATGCTTTCAACAACAATATGAAGAACAGTTGTAGTAGAATAAAGTATCACGGATCACAACAGTAACAGTATATCACAGGGATTTTGAAGAAAATTACACTTACTAAGCGTGTTTAGTCTAGGCGTTTAAAATGAAGGCCGCTCCTCCGATCGGTGTCTTGATTTCGGTAACAAAGTTGCCTTTGATTCAGATCCGACTGAGATCCGAGACCCGGGTTGGCCAATGACACAGCCCATGTCTTTCTAAATAGTGGAGCCATTGATATTTCCTCCGAGTTTACGGTGCTTAAATCACTTAAAACGATTTCCAATTGGTGTGAACCTATTTCATTTCATTTTGATGCAATAAGGTATTCGCTCGTTGTAGAAACACGCGTAATGTTGGGTGTCCATGTCCTTGGGTCGTGCCTCAAAGGTAAAGCGAAAGCGGTATGGATGGTACCGGCAGGCTTTCTCTCGATGACCACTGGACAAAATCAGAAAGACAATACCGAAGTTGAACCTCCATACTTCAAGGTGTCAATCCTGCGCTACGGCAAATATAACAGTTGATAAAGCAAAGTCGCCAAAGTGGGAACATTGGTGTGACTCAGATTCAAGTTCAATATGTGAGGTGAAGCATGTGATCCTCAGGGGCTCTTCGTTCCTCACTGATTCCAGTATTCGTTTCTTCACAAGCTCCTAAATAAAGCACCAAGTATTACTTCCATGCTTATTGCAGACGATAGCAAGTCAAATTTCAGTAACGAGATGCGAAATAAAAAGTCATTCATGTATCTGCAGGCGAAATTCAAATATGAATCTTTGCAGGTTTGCAACGTTGCAAAGCCCGTCATTAGCAAGCTGGATAATAAAGCATTATCATAATGCTTTCGACGGTCGACCATCTTTGTGGCCACCGGCACATGTCGAATACAAGGAATTCAAAGTCGTCGGTCTTAGAAGAAACGTTGAACCACAATCTAACATCATTGACAACGTTGTCTCTCGTCTCTTGCGGTCGACTACTGGAGAACGACTTTCTCATTTGCGGATTTGCACTAGCGAAGTTACACTGTAACGCTTCTAATAGAACCAGAAATGATCGTCCCGTAATAGCATACGCTGTTGGCGAACTGTCCAAACTTCCCTCTTCCATGGTCCGGCTGGGGTATGTCTTTACTTGAGATCTGGCGCCTGTGTCACTGCATTGCACGCGGCCTGGAAGGTATTAATTCCTCGACTTTGATCAACACTTGGCAAGAGCTCCCGGCCGAGAGTTCCGCTGTCCGTCCTCTAAATGTACATGCCGAGTTGCGCATGGAAACCCGCGTTACCGTCTTCCCACCCCTTTTCGTATTCAATACGAAAAAGTGTTATGCGTAACCCAACTTCAGTGTTCGGCATTTGACACCAAGAACGAGTAGTACAAGAGCCAAGGATGCACTTCTCCACAGCTCATTTTGACACTTGTAAGAGCTCGCTTTCGCTTTTACTTGATACGAAAACGCACTCTGTTTTTCATGACATCCGGGTTCTTATAACGCCCCCGATGTCTACTGACAGTGATGTTATGGGGCTGAAAGGCCTGACACAGTGACTAGCAAACAGAAATACGTCAGATGATCAACTAGATCTCATGAAGTTGATGACGTGTCTGACCTCGGAATCTCGCCGCACATGAAATATCTTACGTCCTCCGCCCAGACCAAGCGCAGAGTAATCCTTGATTCCATGTTTTCGACCGTGTCACGCTGTATTCTTCTGATAGGTAGGCTATGGTCGCGACCTCTTTGCCGGGTACAGAATTGGTGGTGTAGCACGAACGAAGCCCATTTCTTTTCAAGACAATCGTCATATCCAATACGATCATCCTTGGCAAGGACGACGAGCTGGGCATCCGTATGAACTTTCATCCAACGATCCTTGAAAGCTGCGGCCGGCTGCGTGTCTTGAACGCCAGGCTATAAAGCAAAACAAACTGCTAAATCGGAAGGGCTCAAAACATCCCGAGTCATCACTCATTTCTCCTGAGACGCTTTCGGGGTCTTTGCCATTCTTTTGATTTCCGTCACTCTTTGAACTGTTGCCTGAAGTATACCTTTGATGCTGAAATCATTTTTCAGAACCCCTTCCGCCTCAGCAAGAAGCGGGAAAATGTCTGCATTGGCTATCTTCTTGTGGGTATTCTCTGTTGTTTAGCTCCTATTGATATTTCAGAGAGTGACCAAAGCTGACCGGATCCAGGACTTCGATTACCTTACTGTCCTTTCCCGGCAGTGTCCTTGCTCGATCCCTCGATCCTACCGCTACAGAATGCATTGGAGCCAATTCCACGGGGCCCTGCCAAGTCACTCCAGACTGCATAGATCCTATGTACAACACTGGTATCATTGACGAGGTCGTGAACCTGTATCTGCCCGCCCCTCACTGGCGTATTTCCGGGCACTTCAATGGCACCCAAGTCGATTTCAATTTCTACCTCCCACCCGAAGAGAAATGGCAAGGCAGATTCTTCAGCTACGTCTATCCCAGCCAGAACTCTACGGCGTCTGATGATAGGATTGCTTTTGCTCTTGACAGCGGAGCCTATCTCATTCAAGTCTCTGGCACATTGGGCTACAGAGCCGACGCTGCTGCGGCCAAATTCTCCCGTTCCATCTTGGACAAATATTATCAGCACGTGCCGGATCATACCCACGGTTACATCTATGGAGGCAGTGGTGGCTCTTTCATGACAATTGGTGCCATCGAGAACACCTTTGGCATTTGGGACGGTGCTGTACCCATCGTCATGGCCTCGCCAGTCTCCATCCCATACAACCACGCAGCACGAAACTTCGCCTCTCTCGTACTGGGAAACAAATCGTCTATAGTCATCGATGCTATCAGAGCTGATGACCTCCAAAGCATTGCTGCCAAGTTGGGTGACGTTGAGACAGCCGCTTTGAAGGAAGCCACAATCATGGGGGTTCCGGTGATGGCATGGGAGAATTACAACAGTCTTGCCAGTACCGAATTCCTCAAGGTTCTCGCGGATACTGTGAAGAACATCGACCCTTCTTACGCTGACGACTACTGGAACAAACCTGGATATCTTGGAACGGAAGACTCGGCACTAGGCAGAATCGTTCGCGGTGCGTTCATCAATTTTACCACCAGTATCGTGGACGTAACTCTCAACGGAAACAATACGCCTGTCGCAGTTGTTCTGGAGAGTTTGCCTGGCAACCTCAATGCTTATGATGGTGTAGAGTTCACGCTTATGGGTGCTGATGGCTCGTCGACATTTGGCTCCATCAACGGCACCTTCAACAATGGAACTACGATGACTTTGACTCAAGACATCCCCCCTTCAGTGTTGGGCAACATCACCAAGGGATACCAAGTTCGCATCGACAACAGATGGTTCATTGCTCTACACTCAGTCTATCGACATCAAATCCCGAGTCGGTCAGGATTTTACGGGTTCGATCAGTTCAGGGGCAGTGATGGGAACCCAATCTACCCTCAGCGTGGTGTAGAAGTCGCTCCCGCTGTTGCACAATCTTCATCCGGAGGAGCTACCCACACCGGCAATATCACCGGAAAGATCATCATGGTGGACAATCTTCTTGACAGCGACGCTTTCCCTTGGCATGCCGACTGGTACAGATCCCAGGTGCGAGAGTCTCTGGGCGATCGTTTCGATGACAATTTCCGCATCTGGTACACCGAGCGCGCCGACCACTTCTTCGATTCCGTTCCAGAGAATCTCCGAGACTTCATTGTGGACTACACTGGCATCTACGAGCATGCCATGCGTAGCCTGGTGGACTGGGTAGAGAAGGGGATTCAACCGCCAGCGTCGACAAATTATACGGTCAGGGACAGCCAGATCGTTGTCCCGGACTCGGCGGATGAGCGGCTTGGCATTCAACCCACCGTCGAGCTCTCAGTCCACGGTCCGCTTTCAGATACGTTTGAGAAGGGGGCCGCGATCAACTTCACCATGAGAGCAACAACGCCTGTGGATGCTGGCAAGGTGGTGGCCGTTGAGTGGGACTTCTTGGGAACAGGCGCCTTCGAAAGCGTTCCCTTCGGTGAAGCTTCCGAAGCAGTTGATTTGGATGCCCAGCACACTTACGGAAGCTCCGGGGTCTACTTGTGTGTGGTCAGAGTGACGTCGCAGCGCGAGGGTAACTCTACTTCGCCCTTCGCTCTAGCAAGAAATTTGGGGAGAGTGCAAGTCATCATCGAGTGATGATGAGAAACAGAGGCTCCATTTCCTGTGCTATATATTCTGAATGACATAGTTTACGTTCAGATGCTTATCCGAATATATTTCATATTGAGCCTAAATCGCCATTGCCTGTGCTATTCTTTGTGACCCGCTCGAGGAATTCCGTCTTTTCCAGCCATTTGTCTCCATTTCTTGTTGCTTCTGTCGGTCTCATGTTGCCCTTAACTGTATTATGGGTTCTTATAGGGCGGTGAAATTTTGTTGGCGCCATTCTTGAGCTCCGGAGCCTTCATCTTAGCAAAGTCTAGATCGGGGAAGATACGCAGATTGATCGGGTGACCAGTCTTCATGCGCTCGCCGAATCCTCCAGTCGGCAAGGCTCCCAGAGCTTTGCGCTCCTCATCTGTGAGAGGGTTGTACTCGTTCGTCATGCACACGCCGCAAATGTTGCAGAATGTCTTGTTGAGGACGTGGCGCCCGAAGCTGTACCGACCGATGTTGGACGGCTCTTTGGCGAATAAGACCACGCGCTCTTTCTTCGGATAGATCCATCTATAAGCATTCTGCTTCGCTATCAGCCTCGCGTTTTATTCTGTTTCTCACGATGACTGATTACTGACCCGCATGCAGATGCTGCAGTTACATTCGGCGATATCATCGTCGCACTTTTCGTCTATCGGCTTGCTCATGAAAGCCACCGTGACTGCACCGCAATGGCATGAACCAGTGATAGGCTTGTATCCGTCAATGTCAGACGGGAAGGGACCCTGGTGGTCTGGCGGTGCGTATTTGTCTCCAAGAGCGGCGCCATCATATCTACGCGGCGAAGGTTTTAGCTAGAGTTGGTTCCTGGACGATCCACCTGGTTGGTTCAACAATTGAAGTTGAGAACAAGACTTACGGCTGTTTTTCAAGCGCCCATGAGTCAACGCCCTGAATGGCCCGCACCTATTTCAACTTCTCGTCAGAAAATGTCGCCAATTGACCAGATACCGATAGTCTTACGTTGAAAGCTCGCCCGTTTCCTCCTATGAACTCGCCCATGACAGGAGTGGCACATGTCGGACAGAACTGCGAGGCCTTGTGAGCGAAACGTCACGTAGCCATTTCTCATACTCAAGGTCTTACATACCTTATGAGCCAGACTTTTCTTCCCAAAAGCGTACTGCGTCAGAGAATCTTTGGTACCTTTGATGATCTCGAACTTGCTACCCTCTGCTGGGAAGACCCAGAGGTACCCCTTTTTGTGGCAGATGCTGCAATTGCACTCCATCGCTGACCTGATTTCGGGGAGCTCGGCCTCGTAGACGAACTCGCCGCAATGGCAATTGCCTCGATACAGGCGCGGTCCATCAGGCTTCTGACCCTCCACTTCACGAGGCTCGGGTTGCTGATCTCCTTCTGACTTCATGCTTCTGGTTGTAACCATGTTGGGCAGTCTAGGAGTATAGCTGATCGAAAGCTTCTGGAGTTTTGGAAGTTTTAGATGGGAAAGAAAACTTCCAAAGTGATGAAGTGAGGAATGCTGGAATACGACGCGGTTTTGATAAGATCTGTACTCGCTTCCAACTGTCAGGATCGTAACCCCGCGTTACCCCGCGCCCTGATATTGATAGGCAACCTTCCTTCTTTAAGACAGGTATGAGTTCAGCTTATGGTGCGTGGCGCACTTAGTTCGAAAGTTGCCATAGAGATGTGAAGCTGAAGGACTCTCTCATTGGCCTTGACTTACATTTGCATGCCGTTTCTGACTTATCTGGCGTTATGCCGGTGCAAGAATTCACCCCGCCTCCGCTTCAATTTCTAGACAGGCGTGAATTGCAGCACTTCCCATGGAAGCAAAATCAGCCCATCCCCAAGCTGCTTGACAGCCACTGACGTCAAGTCAGAGTGCGGCTGACCAGCTTTACTGATCGTATCAAATTTCACGGGTGGATCTTCAGACGTTTGGTGAAACTGGACAATTGCTTGGAGTTCTTCCGATATGTCTTGCCCGTGCACTCACTTGATAGAACTCCGGTCACCGCCTTCAATGCATAAGGTTGCCTGAGATAGTGACATGCAATACTACAACGGTGTTCTTGGCGGCTTGGGGTACGGTGTTATCAGTACGACTCATGTTAGGGAAGTTCAATCACAATGGCCTCTGGCTTCCTCGCGAACAGGTATCCTCTCACATTGATGGTCTGGCGATGGATGGGCTGTATGTAAGAGTAACTATCTGTCTGAGCGGACGATTTCGTCAATATGCTGATAACAGCCTCCGACTTATTCTTAGCGATTTGCTAGTATATCAATCTCGCCGTTGACGATCTTCATGCGTGACAAAATTCAAATGAGATGTGCCATATTGAGGTTGCGTTCGGGCTGCGGACATATGGTCTTGCGATACTCCAAGTTGACGGACTCACCTTGAGAAAGTTGCCGCCTTTAAGTGTTTATCATTGAAGCAAATCTGCGGTGCTTAGGAGCAACGGAGATTGCCAAGGCGGTGACGTGAACGACTACTCTTCAGTTTCACGATCCGGGTACGCTATCCCGCCGGCTGCAAGGGATGAACCGCTTAATCAGCCTGCGCATCCCACGCAATTGAGTTCTTCCAATTAGCTGAACGGTGTTACTGAAATCCGGGTAGGGAGATCCATGGCCGGGACTAGGGTTCCGGCAGGTAGCGACTAGGATGAACATCGTGGCCGGTGGGATACATCTCATCCCCTCCAAACGCAGCCCGCGTGCTCCGTTTGATTCATTGGCCTCTAGTTCATTGGTTCATCCCCAAACATCCGCTGGATAGTGCTATGCAGTTGACAGAATGACGGGCCGTTTCAGTGCAAGTATCGGCCGAACACCACAGCCCCGGCGACGGGTCTACGGACTACCAAAGTCCGTCTCTCGCCGAAGCGGCTCACTATATGTCGTGTTTGCCGTTGCTTTGTTGAACCGGATGAACACATCAAACCATCACTTCAACACTCGGAAAAGCGACAACCACACCGAAGATGGATGTCTTGAACAACACCTCTTTTACCAATGCCGTCACCGATCGGCAGGATGCCTCCACTTCCCCGTGGTACATGGTAGCATCATGCGCAACCGTGATACTGGTTTCGCTGTTCTTCATGAGAGACCAAGGCACCAAGCTCCCGTACTTCAACCCGAAAAAGCCCTTCGAATGGTCTTCTGCTCGAGTTGTGCAGGACTTCGTCATCAACACCCGCGAGAAGCTCTACCTCTCAGCCAACAGTCTGTTGGGAAGGCCGTTCCGTGTGCTGGCTGATGTTGGCGACTGCATCATTCTCCCTCCTGAATTCGGTCAGGAGATTCGCAATGACAAGCGATTCAGTTTCACAGAGGCTCTTTGCGAGGTGAGACTTTGCTACAAGTTTATCAGTTCACGGTAACTTACTGAAAGTCAACCAGGATTTCCAAGGCCACTATGCCGGATTTGACCCGTACAAGGAGGCCTGCAACCCAGCTGAGAGACTTCAGAACGTTGTCAAGTTGAGATTGACCAAGACTCTGGGTAAGCACACGTTGAAAAGCCGTTGCAGAACACTTCGACTCACACGAGGCGCCGCAATTTAGGAAAGATTACGCCCATCCTCGCCTCGGAGGCAGAAATGATCATTCGAGAGACTCTGACTGATTCTAAAGGTAAGTACTATTGAACTGTAGCTGCTTAGCTCTCCGTCACACATGTTCTAACACGAAACATACAGAACCCCAGGAGGTGGTCCTCAAGGAGGTCATCCTCGACACTGTTGCTAGGCTTTCAGGTCGCATCTTCTACGGTGAGCGTCTGGGCCGCAACATGGACTGGCTACACACCGTCGTTGGCTACGTCGAAACGAGCGTGTTCGCCATGCAAGACATGCGCATGTGGCCCGAATTCACCCGTCACATCGTCACTTGGTTTCTCCCCAGACCTCAAAAGCTCCGCGCGTACATCAAGGAAGCAGAGAAATTCGTCAACGAGGAGCGAAGACTCCGGAGCCAGGAGTCCCCGAAGGTTGAGTACAACGACGCCATCGAGTGGTACGACGAGATGGCCAACGGCCAGAAGTACAAGCCGACCCTTGGCCAGCTGATGCTGGGAGCCGTCGCGATCCACACCACGGCCGACCTCGTCGCCCAGGCCATGTACGATATCATGCAGCATCCCGAACTGATCCAGCCTTTGCGCGAGGAGATCATTCAGACCATTAGCGAAGGAGGATGGAAGAAGACCTCGCTCTACAACATGAAGCTTATGGATAGCGTTTTGAAGGAGAGCCAGCGCCTGAAGCCAAACCAGATTGGTATGTCACGTAACATAACAGCCCTAGCAACTCGAGTTTACTGACTTTGAATTAGTTGGAATGACCCGCAAGGCCAAGGAAACCGTCAAACTCTCCGACGGAACTGTCATTGCTCGTGGAAGCTCTGTCTTTGTCTCGGCTGAGCGCATGTGGGATGCCAAGGTCTACGAGAACCCCCTTGAGTTCGACGGCTACCGCTACTTCCGCGAACGCGGTGGCCCGAACGATGCCGTCAGCCAGTTGGTGAGCACCAGTACCAGCCACATGGGCTTTGGTCACGGTATTCACGCCTGCCCTGGCCGCTTCTTCGCCGGCAACGAGGCCAAGGTGGTCATGGCCCATCTTCTTCTCAAGTACGACTTCGACTTCATCCAAGGTCAGAAGCCGAAGTGTATGGAATACGGTTTCACTTGCGAGTCCGATGGCTCCCTTAAGGTGAAGGTCCAGAGGCGACAGGAGGAGATTGACTTGTCGGTCCAGGAGTACTGAGTAATTTTCGAAGCTGGCCTTTAATCTTTTGGGTCGCGTGCATTGAACATGAGCGAACATGGTTGCGGTAAGGATAAAGAGGAAGTTGATTGTTAGAGTCGCATAGGGATGCATCAGATTGGCAAGCTTTCATTTGTATGGTTTCGCAAGTACATATTTCAATAGAGTAGGCAGAATCCCATCTTTCGGTTTTTTGACGTGTACGTAGACCTATCTGGGTTTGCCTCAATTGTTCGCGATAGCAAGAATTTGAGCAAGTCGCATGCAGTCCGCGCTGCTTCTACTTCGACAAACTACCCTTGCGAGGATGAAAACGAACCATCACAGGAGGTTTTTTCCACATGAAAAACAACTTCGACTCATTAACGAAATTGAGCTCCTCATTGACAAGTTCCCAATCATACTTGAACACCATCTTCGCCAAGATGATGTGCATCTCGAGGTAGGCTAAGTTGATCCCCAGACAGGCACGGGGTCCTCGAGAGAAGGGCTGACTAGCCTCCTTATTATCGCTGCAGGACTCGTCCATCCAACGTTCGGGCCTGAAAGAGTGAGGATCCTTCCAACACCGCGGGCTGTGAGACATGGCCCAGGGGTCCACGCTGACCGTCACACCCTCCGGGACTTCATGGCCATCAATGACAGCACCCGGGCACACCCGCGGTAGTCCAAAGGGGCCGGGCGGGAATATGCGCAGACTCTCTTCGATGACCGCGTTGAGGTACGGCAACTTGGCGGCTGCCTCGCCGGTAATCTCATCTATGGAGCTAAACGCCCCTCGAACTTCTTCGTTCAGCTTATCGAGATACGTCGTATTCTTCAGGAGGAAATAGCTCAACACGAGCAGGCAGGTCGTTGTCGTCTCGGAGCCTCCTACGATCAGCGTGCTCGCTTGCTGTATAAGCTCGGACTTGGGCACCTCGCTGCCGCCTTTGCGTAGGATGTAGGAGAAGAAGTCACTGCGGTGTCGAGAGTCGCCCATCTCGAGACGTTTGTCCAGCTTTTCTTCGGTCAGCCTGTGGTGCTCGGCAAACATGGCCGCCGCGTTCTTTGGTAGCATGAACGGCAGCGCTAGGTTGATGATTGGGAGACGTTTGCGAAGGCTGCTGAGCCCGTTGAAGTAACAGCCGTCGATGATCAGAGAGACCCAGAAGTTGGTCTTCCCTTGAGCGACGGCGTGGAAGGACTCTCCGAAAGTAAGATCGCCTGCGCGAGTGTCATTACGCTGGTTGCTTGGACTACGAAGACAAGAGGTGGAAGCGTCAGACGTACCAATGATGTCGAATGTCAGCCAGGTGAAAGCTTCGTCGAGGTTGATTCCTGCGCCTTCCGGTCGACCGATTCGCTCAATTTGATCGAGGAACATATCGACGTATTGGTGAATGACCACCTCTTGATCGTGGAGGGCCTTCGCGCTGAAGGCATGCGCCAGATATCTCCTCTGTCTGGCATGTTCTTGAGGGCTTATTATAGAGACAATACCTGGGCTTGTGCCGTCGAAGTCGTAAAACGCCCCTTTCAGAAATGTCTGCTTCCCCTTGACGGCATGGCCGTATATGTCGCGATATGCCTGCGGCGTCGCAAACGATAGTTCATTGGGAGCGATCCTGACGACCCCGCCTGTCAACGAGGACATCGATATCGTCAGCTGGGTATTCGGCCGTAGCTACTTCTCCTGTAGAGCCACTGACCATACTTTCCGTGGGTTCTCTCCATGATAAAAGGGTGTCGGCCGGATGTCCATGATGCCGCGTACCAGAGCTATGAACTGTGATCAGTCGTCCCATGCAACTTCTATTAGGATGCTCGAGATTCTCATCGCACGTACATCCGATAAAGCCGCCAGCCTTGGTCCGGGATACTTGGCGAGTGGGTGGAAGAACAAGCGGTAGATGCATAGAAGGACGACATATCCCTAGATGAAAGATACATGTCGTCAGCCAGCTTGATCGTGAGGGAACCTCCCGGCGGCCACACGTACTACTCCACCGAGTGTTGCGACAATAGCAATCGATGAGCCCGTGAACATTATCATCATTCGAAGAGGAGTTTGCAATCTTGCTTGATGTTATGGTTTTTTACTGATGAATAACTGTCCACGAGAAGTGTTTCCGACCAGACGTGAATGAGGGACGACAAATCAAGCAGGAGCGAAGCCGACTTCGCGATGTTTTTTGACGGGGGGTTTAGACTTTACATCGCCCCCAAGGTTTTAGAATCCCCATCTTTGTTTAATGCTTTCCCATTCGATTTCCCCTTCGACCAACAGACGGAGAAAACCCTAAGCTCATGAGTCGTAAGCCTCCGTGTGAGGAGACCAGAACTTAGTATTCGTGCCCAAATTGGCAACTTCACTTGTAGTGCAGCCGACCGAAGGTCGACTGATTTTCTACCCAGTGGCATTTGCCGAGGCAACGGTGAAAGAGAATGCATAAAAGGCCAGCTCTATTTACTCTCATCGTATTCGTTGATGCCAGATACAGCTCTAATGGTAGGAAGAAGTGCGACGGTGGAGGAAGTAGCCGACCTCCGCTGGCCTCGGAATTAAAAGAGTCGCCAGTAGACTGTGCCGCATCAGGCCGTGGAAAACACCGCGTAGCATGCTCAGCTCACTTGGCGTGTAACGCAAGCATTCAGGGAACAGATTTTGAAACTGCAAAGTTGGTGGAATCTACACCACATAGAGGGCGAGTAGAGAATACGTCATGTTGGATCGCCCCTCATCATGGCCTCCCTGGTGAGACGACGTTGTCTTCAGCCACCCGGATGTGTCTTAGACAACGCCGTTCGGTAATCGGGATGCCAGATCCACCTTCATCGCCCGGGAGACTTTTCGAATCAGCTTGTGTGTCCTTGCTACAAGGGAGTTTCTCAAGGGATCACTTAGCTCCTGATGGCTTAAGCCGCCGGAGCTTTCATGATTGAAACAAGCTGCCGCAGTTGCCGCTGGGTGAGAAGTATGCTGTTTGATGCCGGAATCCGGCTGCGGTAGCGTCGAGCGCTATCTGGTACTCTGGTAAGGGAGCCGAAGATGAGGTCGGGTTCAGCTGTTTGTGTGAGTTAGCGTTAAGTGGGTGTTTTCAAGGCTAGCTGGAGGCGGTGTAAGAATAGATTGACGAGATGTAATTACTGCTTGAAGCCTAATGAGAGTAACAGGAAATGGTTTGTATGATACAGGAAGCCGCGACTGCTGTGGCCCTTCACGATCTTCCGGACGGTGCGCTCGAACTAGACCTCCGCCTCTGGTTCAGCGGCCTCGCGTCGCCATTGACCCGCCCGTTAGCCTGGCCCCTCGCCATCGCCTGCGTAGCAGCCAGGACGACGGTTTGATCCGACCACAAGCCGACCCCGGGATGGATGACATTGACCGTGTCCTCGCCCTCCTCCATGACGACCTGCGGGAACAACGTGGCGACGACCATGCCGGGTCCGCCGGCCGCGGTCTTGGCACGAGTTCCGTACTCTTCCCACAGCTTCGGCCTGTGTCCCTCGTCTTCAATCTCCTCGATCTCCTCGTCCTCGAGGTCCTCGCTCAGGAAGAGCTGCTTGGAGTGCTGCAGCTCGCTCCACAACTTGGCGCCGGCCTCGAAGAATCTGGTGAGGCGCTGCTGGAGGGCGATGTACTTGGTCGCGGGAACGAAGGCGCAGAGCTCGCGGTAGACCTCGTCCTTGGCCTGGCCGGCGACGTTCTTGCCGGAGCCGTTCCTGTCGCAGGCGGCGAGGATCTGGCAGCGGAAGATGGTGGCGCGCTGGATGTCTTCGCTGAGGTACTCGAGAATGTCGGCGCCCGCTCCGTGGAGGTCCTGCGGGAGGAAGAAGGGCTGGAAGATGTGGGAGCGGAGGAATCTCGCGATCACGGCCTGGGCGACGAGGCAGCGGAGATCGGGGGTCGAGCCGGACTTCGGGAGAGGGACGCGTCTGAGGTACTCGAGGTGGTGAGGTAGGGTGACGGTACTCTATTTCTTTTGTCAGTGTTTTGGAGGTGCGATTGGAAGAGGGCGCTTACGAGTGTGTTGTCGGATTCTCTGAAGAACTCTGTTACCAGGCCACGAGACTCCTCCGCGAACGCATCGATCTCACGGCGACTGTTAAGTGTTAGCGTCATGCATGGATTGGAGTAATGACAGACGTACAATCTGGTGAGCTCTCGGTCGTCGTAGTCGTACAAGAGGTTGACGCCGACGTCCTTCTGCAATTGTTGGAGGTCGGATTCGAAGATCTGGAGTTCGGCTTCTCTCGACTGCAGGTCAGCAGCCAGAAGTGTCTTTTCCCTCGCGACCCTATCTCTGTCAGAGGTCAGAGCCTCGACCTGGGCCGAGGACTTGTCGGATGCTTCCTGCAGCTCCGCCACCTTCTGTCTCGCTGCCTCGACTTCCTCCTCCTTGACCTTCAGGTGCTGCTGCGCTTCATCGAGCCTCTGACTGGCGACAGCGCTCTCGGCCTTGGTCTGGTTGTGAACACCGACCCTCTCTTCGAACCCTTCGATCAAGACGCGGCGGGCTTCTTTCTCGGTCTCAAGTTCAGTCTTGATTTTGCCGACCTCGGTCTCTTTCTCTTCCCGGATGAGGCGGATCTGTTTCTCTGTCTCCGTTCTGATTGCGGCGACCTCGGAACTCTTCTCCGCCAACTCTTTCTCCTTCTCCAATCTGACATCGTCGATTTCCTTTGTCTTTTCCTCGACCTCTTTCCTGAGCCTCTTTTCACTTTCCATGAGCTTTTCGAGGTCGGGGAGGCCGCTCAACTCTCTTTCCATGTTGTTGGCGGAAGAGATCATGCCGCGTATCGCCTCGTACAGCTTGGAGCCTTTGAAAGATGGTTTGAGATTGCCATTGCCATTGGTGACGCCGTTGATGGCGGGTTTTGTCTTTGACTCTGCTGCCATCTTTGTGGTGGTGATTATTCAACAAAATAGAGTGTGAACTGGAAAGATTCAGATTGAGAGATATCGAACTCTTCTCTCCGGTCATTATATGTCCTCAATTCCCAGCGGGTGATAACCAGAGCCCAAGACAGACCCGAGTCCCATTGGCAGCCTCGCTAGACCCTATGGCCGTGGCCATTCTCTGTGATTTGCGAATGCTGGAGGCCGTACGGCAAGATGGTGTGATGTCGCATGTGTAGCCGATTCATTCGTCAAGCTCGCCTCGTTGGGTTTTCGTCCAGTCGAGAACGGTTCGGTTCGCCCCTCGGGCATGGCGGCACGGCAGCAGCTGCACGTCTGTCTGGCGCGGGGTAGCGGGACCGCGGCCGCCGGCGAGGCTTCCGGAATCGACAGAGAACGGTTGGAGAAATGCGAAGAATCGGGCATGTGGGATTATCCGTAAATAGTTGTTCTGGCCGGGCTGATGTGGTTTTCGGGTAGCAATGAAACGCGTCGCGTCAACCACTCGTCCTAGCCGAGTGCCAACTGGCGTGGCAGCATTGGGTAGGTAGCCAAGTCAGATCAGCTGATTGCCCAACCATGCCCAAACGCCAACAACGGAGAGCTTTTGGATGATCAGCAGACATGGCCCGGCGGCAGCATTTTGCGTCTGTTTTCGAAAAGATACAAGAGTATCTCCTGTGGCTCTCCACCCAACATCGGCAACGGTATCGCGGCCTGTTCGGCCACAGTCCAACCATCCTTCTTGATAAGCTCCCAAAGACGGTCTTCGTCAGCGTGGCGGACCTTCATCGCCACCAAGACCCGGGTCACGACCTCCTCGGTCCTCTCTTTCATTGCGTTGTTCTGCTTATGGATGGCCGTCCAAGTATCGATGAGAGCGGGCAACGCGTCGACGTTGTAGGTGCAGTCGCTGAGGACCACCAAGTCCCAAAACTCGGCTTCAACAGACCTTCCGAAACCCATATCTCGCCCATAATCCCAGTCGAGGTCTTCAAACCGCGGTTCGATCCTGCTACCGCTCGTTCTGGCCATGATATCGAGGTTGGACAGGACTCGTTCCTCGGCCTCAGGGAGGTCGGTCATAACAATGTCAACCTTGGGTCCGTAGCCGAGCCCGCCTTCGCGACGGATCATATGCGTCAACCCGATTCCAAAGATTCCAACGCCACATCCGAGCTCGAGGATGTTGAGAGGTTTGTTGTCCAAAAGTAACGATTGCAGCGTACGCATCGCCAGAGGGTGCCCAGCAGCCAGGCCCGAGTCTCCATTGCAGAGCAGCCATAACCTCGAAACGACCACCATTCCTGCATCCCATACATGACGGGCGATGCTCTCGCCAATGTCTTCTTCCACTTCGATGCACGGCAGCGGCTCACTGCCAAGTCGTAATCGTCGGAAACACGTCGTCGGCGCCCTGGGAGATTCCTTGTTGGATCCGATCGGCCACGTGACAGGTACATCGACGTCCGCCCAAAGCGGCACAATCTTCCCCTCTTCGCCGTTGAGTCCGGCCATCGCGATGTCCGCTGCAGTCTCAGCAGACCGTCCCGAGCCAGCTTCGATGTGCACTCTCAGAGGTGTTTCGCAGTTGAACTCTGGCTTGAGGTGTTGAGCCGGGAAATCGGCTTTCATGATACGCATGCCGGAAGTCCACTGAAGCAGCTTCTCTCCAGCGAGAGTCATCGGCTTTTGCTTTTGGCATTTCCCCGGCGGGTGTTCCCAGCCGAGCTTGATCTTGATAGGGACCGGCTCGTCATGAGCGAGGAACGAATCGCCAAGGTCGGTTGTGACGGTGAGAACGACATTGAGAGACCATGGGTTCTTCTTCTCTTTCTGGTACGTGAGCTTCGGGGCTCGGAGAAGCCGTATATAATGCATTGGGTCTGATCAGTCAAAAATGACTTCTTGGCTTGTGGTATCTTGTTTTGGTGGTTTGTGTTTTTGTCAAGTGATTGAAGAGTCGGGACCGGTCCCGGGCTTAGTCATGGATGTACCTGGAGCGCTGAATTACCGCCTGCACCTCGTCCACCGCCTATTTCCTCCAGGTCCTCGTTCGGCAAGCACAGCTTTCTCTGGACATCTTCATCGGACACCAGAACATTTCAACTACACAAGCGCGACCATGAGGCCGATCTAGTGATCCCTCAGACTCATCAGCTCCGAACAGGAAACGTCTCGAAGCGGAGGTCGCCGCGACCGGACGCTATGGACGGCAATACGCACTACGGACGACTCCGATAGCAGGAGGTCGGCGCCACTTCTTCGCCGTGATAAGCATCACGGCGATAAAAACCACCAGCAGAACCAGGACCGCCCCAGGCCCGTATCCATGGAGTGAAGCAAAACGGCTTTTCGCGATAGACTCACACTACCACTCTAGCTGCCAGCCAACCTTCTAGCCTCAGGTAGCTCAAGCGACCGACCGACCCTCACGATGGCCGAAGACCCTCTCCCCAAGCGCGACCCGAAGACCCTCCTCTCGTCCCTCCTCGAGCTCACCGAAAACCGCATCGTACCCCTCACCCAGCGCGGCGTCTCCTCGGGAAGCAAACTCTTCGGCGCCGCGATCGTCTCCTCCGCGACCCTCGAGCCCTTCACCGTCGCGACCAACGACGAGCGCGCCTCCCCCCTCCTCCACGGCGAGATCAACTGCATCCAGCAGTTCTTCACCACAACCCACCCGGACCCGTCCACGCGCCCCTCGCCCCGGACCGACTGCCTCTTCTTCGCGACCCACGAGCCCTGCTCCCTCTGCCTCAGCGGCATCGCCTGGTCCGGCTTCCGCGAGGTCTACTACCTCTTCACCTACGAGGACAGCCGCGACCTGTTCGCGATCCCGCACGACATCAACATCCTGGAGGAGGTGTTCCGCGTGCGCGCCGCGGGGGAGACGGACGAGGCGCTGGGCAGGAGGGAGCTGTACAACCGGACCAACAAGTTCTTCACGGCGCGGAGCCTGGCGGATCTGGTGGGGGAGCTGCCGGAGGAGGAGAGGGCTCGCTGGAGAGGGGAGACGGAGCGCGTCAAGGGGCTGTACAACGCGTTGAGCGACACATATCAGGAGGGCAAGAAGGCCGGCGCGGAGAGCTCGAGCGTGTGGAAGTAAGCGCCGTAATTCGTCAATGGCCGCGTCGGGAGGGTATTTGGGGGTCGGCGGGGGCTGGAAATCGACGCCGTTGAACGCGCCGGCGATCGCAAAGATGAGGGCCAGATTGGCGGCTATCTTAGCAAACTATTTACGTATGCGCTGGCGGAAGCCAGTCCAGATCTAGTGATTATGCCAGCGCGACTTCTTTTTCAGTCCTGGTCTTCCAGCTTCATCGGATTTCTTCCGTCGACATGCGGATGCTTTGGCCATGTTCTACCGAAATGCTTACTTACAACTGCATCCTTGACCTCATTCAGTTCGCCGGGCAAAGACCTCCGTCGCGGTAAGGGAAGGACAGCGACTCTGCAGAGATCAACGATGCATATGGCCCCCCGTTGGTGACTGCCGACGACGATCCAGCAGACCCAAGGCAGCCAGATTCGCGTCGAGTCCGAACCGGTCGGTCAGTCAGTCATTCAGTCAGCCCTCTTCCCGCCCCCGAAAGCTGCCATGCCGCCGGTGAAGAAACCGGACCCCAAACCAACGCACAGTGCTGAAGAACCAGCCTCTCGTGAAGAAGCGAACGAAGGTGCATGGCGCGGGGTAAAGGCAGGATAAGCACAGCAAAAATAGCGGGGTGGGAGGATTCTCTTGGTCGGCACGAAGTACTCCAAGTACCTCTTCTCCAACCTCCACGCCCCCCCCTTGACGATGCGTACTATGCTCATTGGTCATGATCGGGCCACTCTCGACATTTCCATGTGGCCCCCGCGACTTTACGTGCATGAGAGGCGTGTTCTTTCGGGCGGCGTGGAGAGCACGTTGTCGCCCGTATTGGTACAGGACGGGGAGTCCAGGTTGGTGGTGATCGCCGTCTTCTTTCACGAGGGCCTTCCTGTCTCCCGAAGCTGGACCGAAGCCTCATTTGAGCCACCGCGCGGGAGTGGTATCACGAGCTGAACGTATATCCGAGAAGAAAGCGACACTACTGCGGTGCGAGTATTCTTGAGTTGGGTTTGACGCCGCCGGGGCTGGGCTGCATCTTGGGAGCTGCGCCTGGAAGGTGAACTAACTCCAGGGAGACACGAAACGCCGTGCAGGAGGAAACTCCGCTGTAGCACCACGTTAACGGGGACAGGAATAGCAGTGGGTGGCAGAGAGAGGGCTGCTGGAGGAACACGTCCGCAAACTGCCAACTGCTGCTACCCACCTCCTTTCGTTTCGTTGGGTGTTCTCGTCTCGAAGATGCTGCGTTACCCCTCCTCTCCTTCGCATGTGGCATCCCGGGCTGGCAGGGGAGGGAGGAAGGGATTGGAAAGAAACAACGCAGCAGCCCACCGCGGCGGCCGGCCGGACAAACGCGGCGCGGACAGGCGCGGGGAGCGGCAGAGAGGCCTATCACGGGGGTCTTCGCGGGCCCAGTCCAGAGACCGTTGAGATCTGTCCGCCGTACGAGAGCATCATCAATCTTTTCATCGCCGTGTTCCGTGCGACGAGAGACAGTTGGCTCGGGTTCAGCGCGGCCGCGGCGGTTAGAAGAGACCTGACCTGCGGAAGGCAGGGAGGGAATCGTGGGCAGACCGAGATCGAGGTGGTGGTGTGCGCAGCTCACGTCCCGTTGGTTGGATTGATGATGACAAGTGACGGTTCAGTCCGAACACCCACCCTCCAGTCCGCTTGGGGACGGGCCGACACACAGAGCAGCACGGCGAACCGTCGAAGGCATGCCTGCCCTGGTAGGTTCAGGGTTCAGAAGCGGAGAGAGAGAGAGAGAGAGAGAGAAAGAGGACGAACCAACAACCTGTCCGAACATGGGTTGCGGAAATGACGCAAAGTTGGTCTGTAATCGGCCGCCCCAAGAATATCGAGGTGCATCTGGCTCTGCAGACTGCAGACCGCGGCGCAGCGGATGATGTTGCTGTGCCGCGCTGTGCTTCTCGCGCAGTACAGAGAGAATATTGCATGTCTGCGCTGCGGTTCATTTGCACACGAACGCTGCGGTCGGGATTATCTCTGCTGGAAGCCAGTCAAAGTCTGTCACCGGTGGGTAGCAGCAGTGAGTAACACGGCAGCGGCGCCTCTTCTGCGGTGCGAGGTGAGTGAGAGTGAGAGTAAGAGTGAGATAGTAGGTGGTCAGCTTATTCAGTGTCAGATAGGTAATCAAGGGCTGAGCAGACGCTGCGAGACATTTGAATGCAACTGTGGCATTTTCTTTTTTGAGATGTTTGGGGGTTACATCTCTGGGTCGGAACGGCGGTTAGAGCCAGGCACTAGATAAACCATCTCAGAGACTTGTGTTGGTTCCTGGGCGGAAAGGATGAGATCCCATGGTCATGATGTCAGTTGCCGGTTTGACGTGAACAGGAAAGCAAGTCTGGGATCTGAGAAGGATAGAGGCGCATTTCCAAGGCCTTCCCCTCCTTCAATCGTGCTTCCCCCTCACCTGGTTTCGATATGGCTATCCACACTTCCAGATTCGATGAGGAACAGATATCCCCTGTGGTTTTCGACAGATGGGTCTCGACAGGGCTCACCTCACGATGGGTTTTATCCACTTCGATATCGAACGGCTATCCCCTGCCTTTGAAGTTGACGATGTCATCTTGGTGATCTGGTCAGTTGTCAGACGAACGAACATCATTGGCTATTGGCAGAGAATGCAAAGCCTACCTACCCGTCTTTCGAATTGCCCGATTTGTGTATTTCACTGCAATTTTAAAGCCTCTCCAGAGGATGCAATGCCTCAGCTCAAGGCGGGAGTCGTCCTGGTCATGCAGATCTGACCTGCATTCCCGCCGGGAAAAGTGCAAAACAACTCTCGTCTGCAACCTCGTTGTTCACTGCAATCTTTACTCATTCACAGGGAACAAGTCAGCTCAACTTGGGTTCTTCAAGGAGTCCTTTTCCACGATGAGGTATCGGAACTATGCTGAAGGCATCCCTAGATTGCGTCCAATCTTCACCCTTCACTAGGAGAATCAACCCCTCAATAGAAACCAACTGATGTCTCTCCGCATCTATCCAGTCTCAACCGACTTCTTCACCGTTGGAAAGGGAGCCGTCAAACATCCAAGGGACCGACTCAGCCTCCTCAAACCACAGCGGGAGGAGCGGCATCCTCCAAAATCCCATCACCAGTCCATCCAAGACACGGCTTCCCGCCTCTGATCCCATCACCAGACCGTCCGTCCGTCAGTCAGCCGCGAATTCCGTACCATGATACGACGATTCACAACAACCGCCGCCTCGTAAGGCTACCACCGGGGCCCCCTCATCCGCGAATCTAGGCCCCCAATCGTGCACATTCACGAGATCCTCGCTCCCTCACGCCGTCACCAATCATCTCGCAAGCCACAGTACCACCAAAAACCGCAGCCTGCTTCGTCGTCGTACCTTGCACTTTTTAGGAATCCCGTATACCTACCTCCAACCGAGTAAGACATGCCTCCAAACAACGTGGTGCTTCCCGCTGCAGGGTCGTGATTGGGCCGCCTTAGCGCCGAGCTCTCCAAGCCCATCCCGTCCCACTGCAGCATCTCATCACTTCCACCACCACCACCTGCCTCCCTCGAAATACCAAAACCAAACCTCCTTTTTCCCAGCCTTGTGATATTTTACTTCTTCGCGACGACGCAGCCACACACTCCCGCCAACCCCGGGACGAGCAAAAAGAAAAGCAAACGCTCAGCCCGTTCACCCGCGCCGCCGCAACCACCACCGCAAAAATGGCGCTCTCAATCACACGCTCGTCACACCGAGCTCGACAGAACCCCCCCGGTCAGGACCTGATTGAGTGCTCCCACACCAAGACATTATATTCACAAACATTCACACAATTTGCTTCCCCTCCGTACACCATCATCCATCCTCTCCAATCCGGTATAGTTCCATCACAATTGTCCCTGCCTGGTAGGTGCTTGCCAAAACGGAGCTCCAACCACCGCAAATAACCGCCTAAATGACTCTTCCATCACATCACACATCTGAAGGCAACCACCACACCAGCAAGAAAGCCAGCCACACCGAGCGGTAGGACAACCCGCCGCGGTCTCGTCTCGGAGAAGCCTCAAGCACAATCACAAGGTTGAGTCAAGCACACCTCCAATCAACAATCCCCTGAGAAGGGAAACCACAGTACATCCTCAATCAGCCGAGCCTCGCGAAAACCTGACATCTGAGGTGCGCGCCGCGATACCCCCTTCCATTCACAGGACACCGTCCCCAGCCTCGCGAGTCTGTACACACGCGCAACCGCGTGAACGACCGTGTAAGCGCAGCATCTGGCCATCATACCCTTGAACCTGCCATACAGTAGTCTCTTCTGCCTGTTCACACAGGACTGCTGTCGCTCGCGCACACATCTTGACGCCAGGCGGCTGGGTACCGCAAGGCAAACAAAACAAACATTTTCCCCTCGATATCTCGAATACACGCAGCCCCGTGCCAAACGCGCCTCATATCCTGTCAACCGTGCAGCACACGCAAACATGAGGTCTCATTCTCCTGCGAAGAAACCAAACGCACAAGCACTCCCAAGACCGTAAACTCGCAACATCCATCCAACCAACCACACTCTCCCCTCCCCAGCCCCGTCCTCGTCTTTCCAAGGGATAAAAGAAAAATCTCTCCCGTCGGAGACCCAAAACCATCCGACGGAAAACGGGGGGTGGGAGGAACATCAGAGCGCATCGAGTCAGTATAGAAAAAAACAACAAACCTCACACCCCCATCAAACAAAACTATTTTCCATAACCAAAGTGAATCATGTCTCGAAGCCCAAAGTCCACTACCGCGCAAGGAACACGCACACTCCCCCCTAAGCAGAGCCTCCTCCGTCGGGCTCAAAGAGACACGCGTATGTTCGAAGTTGTGTCTTGTCTGATACGTAAATGTTTGTTATTCTGAACTTATCGGCGCGCGCCACGGAAGAGTGACGAGACATGCGTTGAGGTTTTTTAGTGAGGCTGAATCTCGCCCAAGTCAAATTGTACGAATCCCGTCAGGTTTTCTGCAATCACTGAAACATATTTGTTTTTTGCTTGTGACTCCCGGACACACCTAACCTTGCTTGCTCTACCAAGCCAGAATATCATCGCGGCGCGCAGACCGCCGCACCACTCGCCCAATTCTACCCAAAAGTCCCAGCGACCTCGTTCCCATGGTCATTTGACACAGACAATTAAGCATGATGTTGCGTGACAAGGGGGCAGAGGGATTCGATATTCGCATGAAGACAATCCGGCCAGGGTGCCGGGGGTTCCAGCTCGCGTACCCCGCGCATGACCTCATAACACAAAGAGCCCCGCGAACGCTCCTTTGAACCCCCCGGGGGGCCGCACGGCCGCCGTTCGAACCCCCCCGGCCACCGCGATGCGTTCGAAGGCCGGGACGCGGGACAACAGTTCGCTTCGAACCACGTGGATCCCCTTACCTGCAATGGCCCAAGGATGATGTGAATTGCGACCGGGGGGCTCTTGGTGATGAACTGGGGCCACAGGGAAAGACACGTCACGGTGCAAAAACGCAAAAACGACTTCAAATGTGTGAAGGAATGATACACATCTGCTTTCTCAACTACTACCGACTCATGCGTACACCGAGCCAATGAAAAGGGGTATCTTATGCCAGCACTCTCCTACACCCTGCTCTCTCAAGAAGGAAAATGTCGACTCTATGCCAATGTTGAGAGTCGCAAACATGAAAGTGCGATGCGCCTCCAGGCGCTGCCGGCCGCTGCTGTGCTAATAAACAAGTAAATCCAAAACCCTCGCAAGTCGCGTCCGTCTAAAAGTTCAACTCGTCCTTCGCCAAAATAAAAATAAAATTATTACAGTTCTTCCGTTCGTGTGCCAAACACAGCGCAGCAAACACAAAAGAGTATTCCAGAATAGAGCGCTGTTCCATGACTCAGCCGCAAATGCGGTCTCAGTCGTCCGTCAAAATTCTCGTAGCCGCAATCAAAGCATGCTTTTGGTTTCCCAACACAGGGTCGACGTGTTCGTGTAGTTCATCCTCGTTTGTCCCATTCGCAAAAGGGGATTCGGAATCGAGTGGTCCGTAGGTATCTTGGGTATCGAAGAAAAGAGATCCTTGGTATGTATCCCAGATGCATAACAGCTCGCGCCGGATTATGTTTATGGTGATAAGAGAGCAGGCCCGTATCCCTGGTGCATAGATAGAGATGGAAAAAGGAAACTCCCTAGGAAGTAAGGCCCGGGCAACAGATTCCTAATCGTACAATGGGCAACTCCGTCCGTCGGTTCGATATCGGTTTTTTTGGTGTTTTCGGTATTTGTGGCTCGGTGGGATTGTCCAGTGTCCAAAGGCATCCGGGCACGAGACAAAGGAGACCAGACAGAGTGTCCGGGGAGGATTCTAAGCCGTGGGGTTGCGCAAGATGTCATCGCAGTTGGCATCGAATCTCAGGTTGAAGAGACGAACACCCTGCATAAAACGCTCCGTGTCGTCAAGCTTGCGCTCGCGACCAAAGAGGGTCTCGACAAACTCGACACCGGCGTTCTTGCCGAGGGAGCCGCCCTTCTTAGCGTTGAGCATGGGAGTCTCGCAGGACTTGAGGAGCTTGCGGAGCTTGTCCGTCAGGCGCTCGCCAGAATCGATGAAGTCATCGAGGATCTCCTTACTGTCCTTGCTGCGAACAGTCTCGACGATATCATCCGCGCGCTGGATCTTGCCTGCCAGTTGGATCAGCAAGAGCCAAAGCTCACCAGCCATTTCGGTGATGGGAGTGCCCTGTCCGTGGTGGAAGACGGTCCAGTCGTAGATCCACTTCCCGAGGGAGTTGGAGTCGAAGACACTGCCAAGCAGGAGAATGGGCTCCTCGGTCGGATCCCAGTTCTTGAGGGAGTAACCCGGGGGGATCTTGTGCCTCTTGGCATCAGCCTCGGTGGCCTGGCGAGGCGGCGGGGCCTTCCTCTGCTGGGAGCTGGAGGGACGGACGGTGGCGGACCTCACGGGAACGGCTCCCGAGGGGCGGCGGACATGGGTGGATCTCTGGACGGGTCGAGAGGGAGAAGGCTGCTCGTACGCAGTATCAATGTATCTGAATCCGGTCTGCTTAGGATAGTGGTAATCAGTGACATATCCTCGACCGGCGTCTTCATAGAAATATGTCTCTTGAACAGAGTGCCTCTTGTTCCTGGAGGGTGACGACTGCGTAGGTAGCAGGTAGGTACGGCCATCCACCTCAATGATCTCGTCCTCGTCGGATTCCCCGAGGGGCGTGGAGGTCCGGACATAGACAAAGGAACTTCGGCGCCCGCGCCTGAGATGCGACGGAGTGGCCCACGAGTGCTTGCGCGAATGATGACCACTACTCACATTCAGATCTGCCGTGGCATAATGGCCATCGCTGGTGTACCGGGGCGAAGCCGTCGGGGGACGAGGGCTGTATTCGCTGAAGCCGGAACTGGCATGACGGAAGTGCGCACGAGTCGCCGGTCGCTGGGGAGTGGCACTCGGGTAGTAATACTCGGAAGAGCCCCGAGGAGAGGGAGTTGGTGTTGCCGACTGGAATCGTTCCCGGGCGTAGTAGTAGTCATCGCCGCGAGGCGTGGAACCGGAATAGGGCGAGTTGTAGTGGGCCATGTTGGACGATTTCTTGGATAGCGTCCCAAAAGTCTTCGTTTCGTTTGAACGTCAGCGTCTCCTGCTGCTGCTGCGTCCTCTGGATGACTCTTTGCGTCGATCCTCTCAAATATATGTAGAGGTGGTTCGGTTTTCTGGTTTCAGATGTCGTCGATGTCGTGCCGGTGTCGAAGCACGAAAGAAGGTGAAGCAAGTCACCTTGATATACGGTCGGAAGATATGGGAGGAGTGTGTTGTCTTCTGTGTCCAAACATGACCAAGTTGGATGACTGCTGTTTACCCCGTCGATGACCAAGGGTTTGATCTGGATCGCCAAGCTCTGAGAATCTTCGCGGCCTGGGGGGTTTGGTGGCGGAAGATGCTGGTAGCTTCGAGAGACTAGCCCGCGGAGCGAATAATGACGTCTGATTTGATGACGGATGGTGGATGAGGCTAAATGGTGATCGTTCAAAGTGATTGGCAAAAGCCAAAAATATGAGAAGACAGAAACTGAATCAGAGGTTGGAGTGGGTGAACCGCTATTTAATTCGATTTTGTGTGCGAGGAGAAGAGGGTGAGGGAAACAGGATGGTGGACCAAGGGGGTGGTGTGCTTGGTGGGACTTGGAATGACTGTGGACTTTTGCCTGAGAAAGCCCTTGATCCTTGCTTCCTGCACCGACAGGGATGGCAGGGGTGGCTGGCCTTAGCGTGCTGAGGACACGGAACATGGACCGGCCCAATTTAGGCCGCTTGGAGAACCATCTGAAAAAGTTCCCGTGAAAAGGGGTGTGTGTGTAGGAGACTTGGATGAAGTATCTTTCCGCCGTGTCTCCAGCCCGTAAGGAGGGTGCAAAAATATCCAGCAGCCACACCGTACAATGTCAGTCGCTCGTGATTGCTGTACCGCTGAGAGAGGTGGTGGTGCTCTTCTCTCAGTCCCAGGCCAATCGTCGGGCCGTCGTCCGAAGTAGTGATTTTGTTTCGTGCGTCTATTACAGCGAATCCAACGCCAGCAAACTGCGACTCAGCTTACAATGTCCTTGGTTCGCCTGTCGAACGCACCAATGCGCAGGCGTCTTCAGCCAACTCGAATCCTGATTGAGGAGGATGAATGATGGTGATGAGGCCGATGACTCTTGCCGCTCACGCTCAGTCCGTTCGTCTCGTGAGTCTAGTTGGTCCGGCGCAGCAAGCCAGTGTCAGTCAGTGTAGTGATATCCGCGCAATAGGGGTCGTGCTGTGCCTTCTTTCGTGTAATAACGAGGCCAAGTACAGAATGCCACTATTGTATTGTCGATGCCTTGGCCAGATGCGTTTGCTCACACTCGACTGGCTGTACTCGTAGCAGTATCCGTATCAGGCTGCTGATTGCTTTTTCTTCCCGTAGTGTTCTTTTCCGGGAGTGACACACACTATTGTCTACCGCGGTGTTTCGGGAAGGTTGCTTCTGTGTCAATCTCAACCTGCCATATCCGTCGACGCCGGGTAGAATGGGACAGAAAGCTGAAGATCGATTTTCACACCTTGGCTCGTCTTGCTGGATGACAGAGAGTCAAGACTGGGAGTGGGAGGCCTTGTCGTTTCGATGAGTCGACGCCAACGTCCGTGGGATCCCGGCTAGAGTTCCTAGTGTAATCGCTGGGCGCAAAATTTGAAAAAGAACCCCAGGAATAAAAGTCCAGCGATCCCAGTGATTGCTTGCGCTGCCGTGTGGGAAATTTCGACTGTGGTTGGTAAGCGAAATTGGCCTCTCGCACGAACAGGCGTGTGGATAATTGAATTTGTAAATGGCATCCAGGCCTCAGTCACCCCCCTCACAAAAAAGAAGTCCAACGGCGAACGGCGCGGCAGCGGGATCTCTCACCGGGTCCAGTGCCGCTAGAGCTAGAGCGTTCAAGGTGAAATTTTTTCTCTCGCTGGATGCCCCTGGCGTAACGTGGCTGGCCGCTGTCCGGTCCTTGATTATCGAACAGGGCTGCAGTTGTTGGGATTCCTGGGGTGAATCATACAGTGTCAAGGTGAAGTCCACCGAAACACACAAGCCCACCGTACCGGCGAGGTCGAGGATTGTGGTAGGCTGAGCAGAGGCTAGGGAAAACCTTGAGATGGGATTGGCATGAAGGTGATTTCGTGGCCTGTAGGCGCAATATCGATGGAGATTCCTCGAGGATGAACGACAAGAGGAAGGGCGTGCGACGATGCTTGTGGCGAAAGGGATGCAGACTCGTCGGTCAAAGTCTGAGGAATGGCCTGTGAATGCTTATTTTCGTGTTGATTCTTGGTGATGGTGTTGAGGTCAAAGTTGGCGTCGTACGCAATAGCAGTATCCGTACAGAGTAGGCAGACGCTGTCTGTTTCGGCCGCGCGGTGGGCTCTCGGTGAAGCTGGATAGGCGTGACAGCGGAGGGAAGGGTCAAGGGTCAAGGGCCAAGGCCCAAGGGAGACGTGAGCGTGAACCCTGGATCGAACTTTTCACGTCCCTTGCCTTGGTTCTCGTCCCTTGGATTTGCGATTGTGGTTGGAAGACCCCTGGCCGGCGTTGAGGCGAAGTCGGTTGCTCGGTCCTGTGGCAGATGAAATGTGCCGCGGGCTACGGATAGAAGTAGAAATGAAAAGTTCGGACCGTGGTGTTATTCGAGAGCGGAATGCGACAGGAACGATGGCGCTTGGCGCTGCGCGACGGGAAAGACGAGCTGGGGCTCGGCAAGACCGGGATGCCAACGACGGGCAGAGAATCGTGATCAATGGCTGCAGCTGCAGTGAACCACAGGCGGGTGATTGACTTGGAGTCTTGGAGTCTTGGAGAGGGCTGGTGTCGTATGGCGGTAGGTTTGTGCTTGATGGTGTAACAGACGTGCCGCTTTATATATGACTGCCTGGATGGTGCAACCGAAGCAAATGAATGATTGAGGCAGACGAAGACGATGGCGGCGTTTGCCTGCTGGTGTTGTTGATGGCAGGTTGCGACGGGCAATGCAGAAGAAAGAGAGAGGAAGGGGCGAGGGCGAGGGCGAGGGCGAGGTCGAGGGCGGGGTTGGATTCAGAGGCTTTTTGATGCACTCAAGAGACACATGACGAAAGAACATTTGAAGCGGGAATCGGGAAACGGGGAGAAGACAGGTGCGTCTTGCATGCAGGTAGGTGATGATGGGTGATGGGTGAGGGAAGATAAGAGGCTCAAAATGAAAGTTCTCGGGTGATGGGAGAAATGGTCACCACACCCTCATGATGACTTTGCCAACGTGAAGAATCAAGTGACCGAGGTGTAAGCGCCTGCAATGGTGACGAAGCTTCGGTTCACGACGATGAGTGGAGGAGTTCGTCCATCATGTGGTCTCATGCAGCCACTTCAACATAGAACGCGGGGTGACGGGGTATGGGCAGAGAGGGGCCATCCGGACCATCGGACCTTTTCCACTCTCCAATGGTCAAGCCATCCCTCCCAATTCGAGGTGAGCCGGTCTGCATTATCAGACTTCACCGCGACTTCACCTTGATCTACATCTGGTCTTACCTTGCCTTAGGTAGGTACCTAAGGTGAGGTCGTTAGCCTCCTTCCTCACCCGGAAAGAGGCATCTACAGAATCCAATAGATGACTAAGGTACCTTACCTCCTGCCGTCTGGGAAAAGAAAAAGGAGGAAAATGGAAGAATTTGGAAGCTCCCGTCGAAAATGCTGATGTCCATGCCCAAGGCACCGAGACCCAAGGTAGGTACGTACTCTTTTCTCCCATCTTCAGATTTTTCAGATGGTTTCCTCCGATTTTTGCCTACCTTATTACTTTCCACAAATCGGGGGATGCGACTTCTGCAAGCCCACGATGATCCGATGGAATTGCACTTTCGGGACTTGGGGATGCACGTCACCCGCTCCTGTCTCGTCCTCGCTTTTCATCTGCCCACCTGCATCGTCCCGAAGGACCACAGCAGCACGTACTTCGTACACCCAGCTGGGACGGTCGTCGTCGTCCTTCGCAATGCAGACCCCTGCATTAGGCTGAGGCCGCCGCCGAGCTGGGATGAACCCGAAAGCAACGACAATTTCAACGTCATTCTATCACTTTAATTGGCATGGCCTACACCAGTCCGTCTTTCCTTTTTGCCTCCTCCTGTCCATCACTGACAATCCGCTAATCAAATACTCCCAGCTCTCCAGCTTTTTCTTCTGCTCCGACCTCCATCCAGTACGACGCGCTACGGATACCCATCACTAGCGGCTTTTCCATGTATTACTGGCGTCTCGACATCCCAATGACTCGAACGCGAAGAGGCAAGAATAGGTATCAACACTACTCTGTACACTACCGACGGGACGGAAAGACGGCGGCACCGGCCAGGGTATCGAATGGAGTCCCATCGCCGCCCCGCTTCGTCGAATGGGATTCATTCCAGCCGATTGGTGATGACCTCAATCGCTTCCGGAAGTCCAGACCCGCCCTCTCTTTTCGGTGCCACATCCCCAGTCCCGTCCCGACTGGCTCGGTCGTTTTTTCTTAGCCCTCTGGAGCCAACCCACCACAATGGACTGGTGGATTGCCGGATGAACCTCGCCTTCTTCCCCGTTACCATTTCCGCCAGTTCAGTTCTCCGCCATCCGGTGCCACCAACAAGCTTGCTTTTGCGCAAGGCGTAGAGGCCATTGAGTTAACAAAGTATCGCTTCCTCCTCACCCTCCTCTACTTCGATGGCTCTTCGTCAACCACGGTGTGCGGTGTGAGCTCGGTCAAAACATCCTCCCCCTGTGCAATAAGCACGCACAGCCGAGCCGGCGCCAGGGGTGGAAAAGGGGGAGTTGGTTCCTCAAGAGGCTGGCGATGGCCCTGTCTCACCTTGCCTCGCTCCCTGCACACCGGCTGGCGTGCCCATTGCTCGCTCTAGGACCAGGCATTTGGTCCGGCATCTCCAATTTCCAACTACATTCATTGGCCTCTCACCTTGAATCCTGGTTTGTTTTTATTGTTGCGACTCACCTCGCTGGCAAGGCAATCGCCGGCCAGACGCACCCTGGCCTTTTGCGGC